ACCACTGGTCCTGTTAGCTAGGGATCATGGGAGTTGTAGTCCCAAAACATCTGCAGGGCAGAGTTTGCCTATGCCTGTTTTGGGGGGGTGGGATGGGAAGAGACATAAGGATACCAAAGACTATCCATTTGTTTCCATGAATGGATCCAAACTTGCATCATACTACAGTGGTACCTCAGGTTACGTACTTAATTCGTTCTGGAGGTCCGTTTTAACCTGAAACTGTTCTTAACCTGAAGCACTACTTTAGCTAATGGGGCCTCCTGCTGCTGCTGCGCCACCAGAGCACGATTTCTGTTCTCATCCTGAAGCAAAGTTCTTAACCCAAGGTACTATTTCTGGATTAGCGGAGTCTGTAACCTGAAGTGTCTGTAACCCGAGGTACTACTGTAAAGGTGTCTTCAGAAAGAGGACTGTAGATTTTTTAAAGAGACCTTAATATTATGTGATGATGTATACAATAAATGGAGTATCTAAATAAAACAAAAAAGAAGGAAAGAGTCATAGGGTTCCGGGCAGTCTTTTGTTTTAAACTGTCCCTTCCAGTATGACGGATCCTTCTACTTGGCATACATTATAATATAAATAATCCTGCAGTTCTTTATTTCATGGTATGGCAATGTATAGGAATGTTTGGATCTAGGTGATGCTCCCTCTTAAAAGATGGTCTGTAGCACTCTGATATTCAGCTCCATTCTGCTCCCGTTTGTTTTAAACACCCTGACCTAAAATGCTTTGCCTAACTGTTTGATGTGGAACCTGCATGTAAATCTAAAATGTGTGATTTGCATAGTTAGCTCTAAGATTTACATGCTGCCCCATGTGAATTTGATTTCAAAGCAGTTTATAATCACGTAGCATCACACCATTTGCTGTGAGCATGTATATACAGTGGTACCTTGGGTTAAGTACTTAATTCGTTCCGGAGGTCCGTTCTTAACCTGAAGCACCACTTTAGCTAATGGGACTTCCTGCTGCCGCCGCGCCGCCAGAGCACGATTTCTGTTCTCATCCTGAAGCAAAGTTCTTAACCTGAAGCACTATTTCTGGGTTAGCGGAGTCTGTAACCTGAAGAATATGTAATCTGAAGCGTATGTAACCCGAGGTACCACTGTACAGGCATGTTCACCCAATGTATATGTGCTCGCAAGTGTCCACTGCAAAGGGCTGCCCAGCAAGTGTGTACTACATGCACTTTCAGGGACATGTATTTTATGCAGATTCTACATTAAAAATTTCAGTTAGTGTCTCCACCCAAGAACTTTGTACTGAAGAGGTCCTAAAATGGAGAGTAAATCTGCCTTGTTAAATGTGATAGCTCCATAATCTACTCAAGAGTATAACATTCTAAAAAAAGATATATTCTGGTACCCAAAAGCAAGCATAATATTCTTAAAAGATTTTAAGGAAAATGTGTACATGTGTGTGGGAAGTGGGGGAAATCCTCTGAGATAAACATTCCATTTCTGGGTTTCCAACTGAGCTGATAAACATAGATGTCCAAAAAAGCCAGCTGTTCCCTTTCATCTGTTTGAAGTGCAGCTGGAATAATGCCCACAGAGCCTCCACCAAAATACTTTCTTTGAAAGCAGCTTGCTAATTGTCTTTCAAGGGATTAATTCCACATATACAAAAAAATGCGAAAGGGAGCAGATGCCACCTAATGGACATTGGTAGTATAGCCTTGCTATACTAGAGTCCCATGGACTGCAAGATCAAACCTATCCATTCTTAAGGAAATCAGCCCTGAGTGCTCACTGAAAGGACAGATTGTGAAGCTGAGGCTCCAATACTTTGGCCACCTCATGAGAAGAGAAGACTCCCTGGAAAAGACCCTGATGTTGGGAAAGATGGAGGGCACAAGGAGAAGGGGACGGCAGACGACGAGATGGTTGGACAGTGTTCTCGAAGCTACCAGCATGAGTTTGACCAAACTGCGGGAGGCAGTAGAAGACAGGAGTGCCTGGCGTGCTCTGGTCCATGGGGTCACAAAGAGTCGGACACGACCAAACAGCAACAAGTAGTATAGCCTTGCACCGCATACAAAGGACTATATCACAGTAATAATTACAACATTGACAGTATACTCTGCTCTGAATGGTTAATGTCTGTTGGGAGTGTATACACAAACAAGCAGAAGCAATTGTGGATCAGTTGCTACGAATGTAGAAGTCATATTGCAACACAGTCTCCTTGTTTCAGACACTGCTTAAATTTTTAAAGTTTCTCTATGGCAAGTAGAAGTCTACAAACCCAACTAGGGATATGCATTTATAATACTCTATCCTAACAACCGTGTATATTATGTGATTACAGAGTTCTAGACCTTCTGAGGATAAAACTCAGTAGAGAAAAAATCACATATTTGTGTTTGCCATATGGTAATTTTGGAGTTCATTTTCTATTTTCAAATAGAAGTTATTATTCTTAAACTATACAGCTCCTGTCTTCTGCTACATGATTGCTTTAAGCCTACAGGTTATGCAGGTTGAGGAATGCTGTGAATAAGTTAGTTTCCAAAATTCATCTATTTAAAATACTGTTTATTTGTGATTTAACATTAATTAGCATTACATCTATGAGCAATTTCCAACAACATTTATATATTTTTTTCCACAGGACACAGAGTTGGCTGGCTCATTCTTTATGCCAAAGCAAGTAAATAGAGGCATTAGCAAAAAAAAGGTGCAAATAGTTCACGGTTGCATTTTTTAAAAAATATTTATGCACATTGCATTCATTTAGATATATTTTTTAAAAGTTATGAAAAGCATAGTTCACAGGTTACTGTTTCTACATATGTTGTAATACAACACAAAAATGTAGAACATAAACAAAGTTAAGCAACTTATAGATTTCCACTATTTTTTTAAAAAGAACACACTGATTCCAGTATTTTGAGATATCTAGAATATTGTTTCCAGAGTCACTCCAGCGCTGCATTTTCACACTTACACAGTCAAAGCTAACCAGCCCTGCAACATGCTATAGTCAATTTTTTTTCATGCCAAACCACAACCCAGCCATATTTTAACAATCTATATACGGTATATATTTCAACTGGCAATCTGGGAGTCACATTGATATTTGAGGTGTATTTGCTCTTGTGGCTACTGATGAACAAAGGCTAGTTTAAAGGCCCTAGGCAAATTTCCATGTTTAGCGTGTATTTACAGGTTTGAATTTTTCTTTCTTAAGTTTCAAAGCAAAATAAAGCTACCAGCAAAAAGGAGCAAGTGGCAGGATCAGTGCCTATAGCGCTTGACTAATTGGATCTAAGATTCCTTGAGAAGGCAAAACTCAAATTAAAATTATCCCATTAAAATCAATGATAGCAAGGGGAGAACGTGTAGCACTCCATATGAAAGCCTATACATTTTATATGAAACGGCTGTTCCATTAATTTAATAAAAAATACCCCCAAATCCATACCATATATTTTATGAAAAATAATCCACAAGCTACTATTCTCTTTACCTCCAACCCCTTATTCTTCCCATTTCACGTTCCCTTTTTCGGTTTTGTCTCCTTCATTTGGTTGTGGGCTTTTCCAGAGGATCAGTTGATAGTGCAACGTAGATGCAGTTGCTTCTAAGCTGTTGCATGGAATCTAGACTCCATCCCTTGTGGAAGCACTTTTGCCATGGGCATTTTGCATTTTCCTGCACCTGGGTGGCAATGTTCACTCGAACAAGCAATCTTTGCCACTGGAGTGCTGCCGGAATGTAGCTGCATGAGTTTTACACTCTTCACCCGATGGCCTTCACATTCTGTCAGCATGGTACCAGCACTCTATATCTGCAAAGAGGGAGCTCACAGAGGACTTGCAACTGAGTGTCTCAAGGCAAAGAGGGAAAGAAACCCTTTGTGGCTTTATCTTGACCAACAAGTCAGTCCTCAAGACTTTGCCCTGAGAATTTAGTTGGACATGCTGCAGAAGTAACGCAGAATGGCTAAGGGACATACTCGGAACTGATCTCCTGGATAGGCCATATGTTAACAAGTTTATTTTTCTTCATTCAACAGCAATACCATGAGGAAAAAAATACAGTAAGATTTAAACCTGAATCCAGTTAAGTTTATACGCTTTCAACACCCAATAATCAGCGGTTCTGGATTCCTGAATTATATTTAAGTATACTCTACACCAAGCGTCCTTAAATACATTCTATTGTTAAATGCTTGGTTTACATGCCTATAATACTTTATACTGAGTGGTATACAAAAATTTCAACGTATAAAATTCTTTTTCTGTTTTGCCATAGTTAAACTAAGTTATCAATGTTAAGCGTATAAAATCCCCTTTATTGAAAAATAAGGGCTTTCTCCCTGCCCCCCCAACTGATAGAATAAAAAAAGTTTTCAAAAATTATATCTTACTAAAATGAAGTATTTGGCAAAAGTTATTATCGATGAATGCAATTTTTACAGAGTCTGTAAAATTCCAAATGCAATTCCTTTTACAGTTTTCCCCTCTTAATATTATGTGCCAGTGTATCATAAATGACCTATGGTTGAAAAGGTGAGGTGAACAGCACCCTGTGAGGCAGGGGTAAAACAACTGCTATGGTCAAAATCACAATACTAAGAAGTATCATCCAATTACAGAGTGAGGCAGTAGATTAAAAAAACCAACATTATCTGATAACTCAACAGCTACCTTAGTGACACTGTGCTGAAGGTCTACTAATTGAGAAAACTCTCCATGTGTAACCATAAGGGTATTTGAAATTACAATAGTGCTATATTGGAACACCTGCCAGTGTTAGTTTGTGGTGGACCTATTAAGTATTTCAAACCCTCATAGTAATTCTTACACCAACTAATTAAGAGATGAATTCTTTGCTTCATTAACATAACATTGTTTCTATTTAATTTTATTTTCCAGTTCTGCTTTTAGGTTAAGGCCCATTTTTCTGCACAACCCTACCTAACGTGACTAAAACGTGAACTAAAACATGGGTTTGAAATGTGCAATGTAGCCTCGGAATGAACTGCACTCAGGCTTCCACCTTCTCCTTCTTTTTATTCTTTTTTAGGAAAGATGGAGTACGGAACTTCTTCTTCTTCTTTGATGGTGATTTTGAAGGAGAGCCCTCGGGGGAAAGGGTCTCCTCAATTTTTTCAGAGGCCTTAATGGTGATCTCCACATTCTCTACAGTACTAGTGGTTAACTGGCTGACTCTGTGTGCAAGATCCTCGTCCACATCATGTGAATCTTCTTTGCCATTCATTACAACAGCCGGCATCTCCAGAGAGACGAGGTTAGCATCCTGTTGGTAATCATCATTTTCTGTAAAAAAAAGAGAGAAAGCAAACGGAGGCATTTTACTCTTTGTTATACTGACAGTTATGCAGCAATTCTGCACAGGTCTAAAATGCAAGCAGCATATTGGGACACGGAGAGAATAACTAGCAAAGTTCCCCTCCTTCCTCTACTAATATCTTATTTTTCTTTAGGTATTTATATCCCACTTTCCCAGGCAAAATAATCTACAAAGCGGTGTTTTCCTCTTGCCCCATGTTTTATTTGAACCAACAAGCCAGAATGTAACCCATTAGCTATATTAATTGTAGGATGTGTGGAATCAAGGTTTTCAGCTACGTCCTAGCCACAACTGGACACTTACAGACAGTATATCTGAATAGAATTTGATGCAGTAGCAATTCCAACAGAGCAACATCATAGACTGTTATGTTAGCCTTGTATTATGAGCCAATGCACACATATAATCCTGGGAAAGAAATGGGAGTGCTTTCTCCAAATGATACGAACACAAATTGTTGCAGGAACAGGAGATCAACATGACGTTGAAACTGTCTCTAAGTGACCTGTTCTGAAGAATGAATGAGATTATAGGTAAACCTACCCTATTTAGAGAGAAGATATTGGATTTAAACTTCTGATAAATCCAGAAGGATTCTTAAAAGATGTAGCTCAAGAAAATAAATCATAGTCTTCACATATTGGCAAGATGACTATATTTTCCTTTCCTGATCTAAGTAATTAAAAGTAATTGGCAAGGAAGGGTCTAATAGACTCACGATACTGCATAGGACATTACATTGTATACCTTCTACTTTTTCAGGGACATTTTGTGGGGACTGAGTTTGAGAATTAATTTGTGAAACAGATGACCCGTCATCTGAGAATAATTCCTGATCAGCATCTGTAGGACAAGAGCTTGAGTTAGTAAAAGCCATGCCAAAATGAAATAAATGCAAGGAGATCAGTGTACGTTAGTGCATACAAAACACAAGCAACTTCACTAGTACTGACCTGATTATACTAATGTTAACACATATAATTATACTAATTTCATCCTATTAGTAACCCAAACTTAGTATATTATCCCAATTATTTAGAAGTATTCCATGCAAACATACGTTGGTTACTATACAAAATAGACAGAACAAACTATGCAACGTTAGTGCTGAAAATGCTAGTGTTAGACAACAGCAAATTAGCAATTAAAGTTCCTTATCAGATGCTTTGAATGAAGATGGGTGGAAAAATTGGTTGTAATGCAATATTTTTACCTTTGAATCTTTATGCTTTCAAAAATAAGAAATGGGCAAGTTAGAAGTTTGCTAGCAATAATATCAAGACTGAAGACAAGAGAAAATACTACTGTCAGACTGTTTTTTCTTGAGAAATTATGATTTAAAGATACTTACCTTTTACCCTATTGACCTGATACTAATTTCTAAGGCAAGGACACAATCCTTTGTTTTCAGATGCCGACATGCACTTATAACAGCAACATGAGAAAGCAATACAACTATGTAACAGATGCCATCCTTCCTTTCCATATAAGCCCTTTTATAGGATTATGAAATTTAACAAGTGTCCAGTTTAAAAATTTACCCAAGACTACAAGAAGTAGTGAGAGTAAAATTAGGGCTGCCATACGTCTGGATTTTTCTGGACATTACCAGGATTTCAAAGGTGGAATTGACATCCGGGGAGGATTTCTGAAAGGTGGCACTTTCCGGAGGATCTTAGGCAATTCTGAAAAAAGCTCAACAACTGTTGGGGTGTCCTGGTTTTTACTTTTTGAAATATGGCAACCCTAGTAAAATAGCATGTTCAAAGGGTTTGGTGGGTGAAGGGTAAAAAAAGATGACCAGCCAGTCTAAAGAAACTGCCCTGGCCCCCTTGGATTGGAACAACTATTGGCCAGCTGTAAATACTCTCCTCCTTGGGGAAGGTGGTTGAGAGTGCAGTGGCTGGGAAACTGCAAGCATTCTTGGAGGACAGATTATTTACATCCATTCCAATCCGGGTTCAGGCTTGGCCATGGGACTGAGTTGTCTTTGGCCATCCTGATGGATGCCTTTACAGACAGCAAGACAAGGGGAGTGCAATCTTGCTCCTGTTTCTTGATCTCTCTATGGCTTTCAATACTACTGAGCACGCATGGATTGGCTCCATGGAATGGAGTGACCCCTGATCAAGTCAAGATTAGATTCCCTTAGAACTACAAATCACATTGATTCATTTCATGTTTTAATATCCATTGATCTAAGTAGGTTCAAAGGGGCCGAATAACATTCAATATTTTACTGGTCATAACACAGCATAGCACTACAGAGAAGGAAGTTGTGAGAGATAAATTCTTGCCAGAAGAGATTCAGGCCTTTAAAAAGTGGAGTTATTGAAGCTGCCATTGATATTATTTAATGTAATGGCTCTTAATTTAAAAATTTAAAATCATTTTTGGTGAATTTAAACTTCACTAAATCTTTACCTGAATATTTTCCATCACCAGTTTATCAGAACACTCACCATCTACTCCTTGTTGCTTGCGTTCGATTGTCCGCTTGTACTCTTCCAGTTCCTTTTCAGTGAGATGACTGAATGGGTTGGGAGGGGCTGGTGGGGCATGCTCGTCTTCTTCAAACTGCATTGGCTGGAAGAAAAAATAAAATAAATTAAAGGGGAGAAAGGCAATACAAAAAACAAGCACATTAAACAATTACAAATGAGCCTATTGCTGGTGATAGGATCCTTCAAAGTAAGAATCTGAAAGCAGTGCAGCATTTTCAAAAACCATCAGCAGAACATAGAATTGTAGAGTTGGAAGGGACCATGAGGGTCGTCTAGTCCAACTCCCTGCAATGCAGGAATATTTTGCCCAACATGGGGCTCAAACCCATGGCCCTGACATCAAGAGTCTCACACTCTACCAACTGAGCTACTGTATTTTTCTGTGTATAAGACTAGGTTTCCCCCCCTAAAAAATAATGTCAAAAATTTGGGGGTGTCTTATACATCTCCCCCCATTTTCTTAAAATGGAGACCCCAAAATTAAGGGGCGTCTTAAACATGGGGGCGTCTTATAGACAGAAAAATATGGTAATTGCTTCAATTGCTAGGTTAGTGAACTTACAGAAAGGGTCTTTAATCAATACCAGGTTTTAGTCAAAACAAACTTTAAAGACTTGTAGAAAGCTTGGCCAGTGTTGTTTTTTAAAGAATCCGACAATTTCCATAGCAGTCGTCCACCTGATCTCATAATACATGTATTATGCTTAAGATGAAAACAGGGGAACAATCCTATCTTCAGTGAAAAATCACATAACATAAATTATTGCTTCTCTAAAAACTCTTTACAAATATTTTAAATAGGACTCATGGTTTTAAAACCTGCTTCTACTTTGTATGAAGAGTATTACAAAAGCAAGGAGATAATCATATAAAATGTGGTGTGACTAAATGCTGAACATGCTTTAGATCAGGCTTCCTCAACCTCGGCCCTCCAGATGTTTTTGGCCTACAACTCCCATGATCCCTAGCTAGCAGGACCAGTGGTCAGGGATGATGGGAATTGTAGTCTCAAAACATGTGGAAGGCCGAGGTTGAGGAAGCCTGCTTTAGATGTTATATGCTTAGCTCAGACAATGGATAACACTTACAGCACTGGGCTTTTTATCCACTACAATTCCAGCAAGCAACTGAGACTGTGGACCTGCAGTTTTTAAGTCATACCGATTTTGCTCCCGAATCTGGAAGGGGGGAAAGCAGAAGGGTTTTGAAAAGCCTTTTCACAAACACACTGAAGTATCAGGAATCTCAAACTTCATATGGGTCACAGAAAACAGATACTATAGTTAATCCATTACTTTACTGTTATTTGTTTTCATTCTAGTCAATTTGCTCTAAAATGGTTACAAAGCCATTTTAGAAAATGACAATGTCGAGTGTATTTACATTTTTGCTTCGACATGCATGAAATATTATCTATATCCAAATTGTATGCCGTTATTAACCTGGTGTTTTAGTCTTCCGTTCCACATAGTTAGATTTAGGAATCAAGAGTAGCAAGTTTGATTAAAAAGCAGGGAGTTCTCAGGCAAGCCATATACATTTACAGCGTTGAATTTTCTCTTAGTTGGCAAATTATCAGCCTGCTCTTCTTTCGTTCCAGAATATCTATTATGACCCAGCTTCAACGTCAAGCCCCAGCACTGCTGTAGTCTAACGTTATTTCTCCTCCTTTGTGATGCTGCTGATTATGTTGTCAGTAGAGTACGTGTAAATCGAGATAGAACCTCTGTAATTATTCTTTATCTCCTGTTGCACCAAGCTGCACTGACAATACAGCTCCATAGTGCACAGCTAGGGACACAATGAAAGTTAACTGAAACATAGCTTCCCACTTCTCCTCTACCTCAAGTTTGCCAGAGAAAGTTGCATGCCTAGAACAGATAATTCTTTTCTAAGCCAATGTCTGAGTGACACTGATCTTTTCCAAGAAAGAGTGATCTCTTCTGAACTAAGTTGACTTGCTCAGGATAGTGGCAAACTCTTTTGATTACAAGCAGATGTGAAGTAAGAAATTCCCAGAACTTCTGCACGAAACATTTTGTATCTGGCAGGACAATAATTTCCCAGGGTGGAGCTTAAATGAGTTTGAAAATAGAAAAATGAATTGGGGAGTGAAAGCAGCCAGCAGTCTGCATTTACAAAGAGCCTCTTGTCATTATTCCTCATTGCCATTGTTAAATACATTGGCTCACTGGGAAACAAGCGGGCAGAAGAGCGTTAGGTTTCTGGCTACCACAGCAGGCTATTTCTTGTGGAAACAGCTAGCTCTTTCTAAAAACTAAAAAAGAAGGAATCTCCAAAATAGTGTAATGTTAAAGATAGCACAGAAGAAAATCCCACCTTAAACATTTTTCTTCTGATCAAAATATGGTTTTCGATGGGTATTTAAAAGCAATTTTTCAGAACCAAACTAAGGACATTTTTAGCAAGTTCCTGTTGCACTTAAAGCTACCTTTAGGCTACCAGTAATATTGTGGGACGCGGATGGCGCTGTTGGTTAAACCACAGAGCCTAGGACTTGCCGATCAGAAGGTTGGCGGTTCAAATCCCCACAATGGGGTGAGCTCTCATTGCTCGGTCCCTGCTCCTGCCAACCTAGCAGTTCGAAAGCACCTCAAAGTGCAAGTAGATAAATAGGCACCGCTCCGGCGGGAAGGTAAACGGCGTTTCCGTGCACTGCTCTGGTTCGCCAGAAGTGGCTTAGTCATGCTGGCCACAGGACCCGGAAGCTGTACACCGGCTCTCTTGGCCAACAAAGCGAGATGAGCGCCGCAACCCCAGAGTCGGTCACGACTGGACCTAATAGTCAGAGGTCCCTTTACCTTTAATATTGTATTATATTTTAGATGTTACTGAACAGTTTTTAATGCTTCTCAAACAAGCAGAGTAAGTTAGGTACTGATTATTTTCAAGAAGCAAATAAGCTTATGTCTTCAAGAAACCTGCCTTGCCTTACCTTATTCCTCTTTTCCAGTACATCACTTGGATTTGTATTCATTGGAACAAACTGGTTTGGATCTTCAATTTTGATTGGAGTTCCTCCACTAAGCTTAGATGAATCTTCAGCTTTTATCCACTTGGAAAGAAAAAGAGAAATAAAGAAGAATGTTATTGGAAGCGAGGATATTGCCATTTAGTAGTTGGTAAAGGCTAGGGGACATTTCAGGACAATGGGGTTTATATTAAATTATCCAAGTGATCTAATAATAATACATTGCCATGCCACTTAGCTTTTCAGTATATCATTTCATAAAGATACCAATATGTGTAATGGTCCTTTAGCTTAAATAGCATTTAGGTATTTTTAATTAAGTACCTGAAAAGGACCGACATTTGAATACTGATGTAGCAAGGATACTTGCTACAGTACTTCCACTGCCAAAAATACTATAATGAAGGACTGAACATCCACTGTATTTCTTAATTACCTGGATAACTATCCCTCCTAACTAGGTATTTTTATCGTTCCTTTCAAGCAGTACTTCTCATAATGAAAATTGCTGATAGAAACTACAAGGCATTGTTGCATTTGTTAAGCCACCACTGGGTGGAGCTGATCTTTTAAAGTTGAATTTATGTTGTGGTCGGATGGCTTGCATAATACTTGTTTTTCATACATGCGCTCTGGAAATTATTCATTTTATTTATTCATTTTATTAAATTTATATCCTGTCTTTCCTCCCAAGGACCCCAGGGTTGGAAACAATGAAAACAACTTTTTAAAAAATCCAATACGGATGCAGACTGGGGAAGGCTTGCTGAAGAAGGCAAGTCTTCAAGCAGGGGCTAAAAACACAGCAGAGATGGCTTCTGTCCAATATTCACAGGGAGGGAATTCCTAAAGGCCTAATTCCTGCATTGTGCAGGATGGCGATCCAGTGATAACGGTTTCTGCAGGAGGCCTTCACCTGCAGAGCACAGGGTTAAGACCATCTTTCATGTATCCTGGTCTCCAGCTATATAGGGCTTTATGCATCAAAACCAGCACCTTGAACTTGGCAGGGAATTGAAGATAATAAAGTACCATATTTGGGACAGTGCACGAGAATACTATTCTTTTTACCACAACACAGAATCATAGAACTGTAAGGGTTCCTCTTTTTGAAGATGGAGACAACATTTGCCCGTCTGATTAATGACAGAACTGCTGTCAAAATATGCCATCTGCACTTCCTTGTTTCTCAAAGTAGGCTGGCTCTTTCAAAGTTGTAGCTCATTCATGGAATCCACCATAGAACCATAACTTCTGTCATACAGGTCACTGTATGGGCCTATTCCCACCCCACCCCTTTTGGTATATTCTGCCCCCATCACTAGGGAGCTGCTTACTGTGGTTTTAGTCCGGGGACTTGTTTCTCCATTCCGGGATTCTTCAGGAACATCTACTTTCAAATATGTATTTGGAGAATTCAACCATCTTGTCTTCTCCCGCTGCTGCTTTTGTGCTAGGAATTTGAGAGGGGAAATTGGAACTGAATCGTCATCAAAGGAAAAGGCAGTCACGGTGGCGGGGATCTCAACATCACTCTTGTGCCTAGGCTTCTCCCTCACAAGAGGCTGTCGATAAGCATAGCCTGTTCTGTAACCCTGTGCAAGAGGGGAAAATTTTTTATACATTGTGCCTGGACAATAAAATCTTTGGCATGAAATTAATCCTAAAACATAATTAATTTTCAGGTGGAAATTTCAACCTCACCCCCCCCATCCCAACTCAAACTGTGACAATATATGTTAACAGTTTCAACACCTTGGTATCCTAACACTAAATGCCAAACAATTATTTTAAAAGACTGCAGAATAAGTATGGTATGGCAGCACAGTAGCTCCACATCATAGGCCCCACAGAAAGTGAGTAAATCCTTATACAGAGATAGCAGAGACCAATAAATAAAAAGTGGGTAGGAGATCAGAGATTTTCTATTATGGACCAAACCACTGCCTCACTACCTTAGCCAATCAAGTGTGTTCTAGTTCACATATAATGCTAAACAAAACTATGGTTAAGCATGGACACACAAGTGTGTGGATACTCTCTGGAAAACTCATCGCCACTTAGCTCCTCCTCAGTCCTGCTGCCTCTGGGCTACTCAGAGCTCAACCATGGTTTAGCTTAGTGTTACATCTGAACCCAAGCTCCTGGTCTGTGTCACTCCAGAGAAACCAGAAGCTGTAGCCAAGGTTTGCACTCTGCTTACCTCTTGTGGTTTGTCTGGGAGGAGTTTGTCATGAGCCTGGATGGAAATTGAACTTGAATGTTGGCTTATAAACCTACTTCATGTTGCTATTTCTTTTTCAGGTCTCTTATTTACAGGAAAAAAGTGACAACAGAATTTCTTATGGAACAATCTTATGGGGAGCAACTTGTTCAAAGTACTGAGAACTTGTAGATTAGACAGATGAACGCACCAGGTTGTCCAGCATTCTCATCAGTGCTTCAAACTCCTGTTCGCCAACTTTCCACTTGAACTGAGAGGCCATATTAACTCCTCCTCCTCCAGATGCTACCAGATTGTGTGTGAAAGGTTTATACTTCTGCAAGTCTAGGATAAGAAGATTGTCTACGCCGCCTGCAGCCAGTGCATGTACCTGTGACATAAAGGACTCAGTAATTACAAATTTTTCCAAGTACTATTTGAAGGGTGAATATGTAGCCTTCTTGAATTTTCTGGAAAGAAAATACATGCTAATATTCTTCTTTTCAATATGTTAACATGTACAAACATGATAGCTATCTTGCAAAGTGCATTACCCACTACTAGATACTAGGACAAGGGCTGTGCAATTTCTGTGTACAGCCCACTGTTGGTGTTCCTAGTATATGTTAAACATAGATTTCATTTTCTCTCCTGGATTTCCAGTAAGTAGTTGTTAGTAGCAAGCGTCCTATTAAATCACACACAGACAGTATTTTTAAGAAGCCAGCATTTATATAGCATTTAAAGTGCTTCACATCTCTCTGTCTCTCTCACCTGTGTTTCACAAGCTATTTGCACATTATAGATGTAGTGGAAAGCTTCCTCTAATGTCTCTCCGAGCGCTACTACTCCATGGTTCCTCAAGACCAGCACCTAAGGAATGGAGACACTTGTAAGTGACAGAAACTGAGCCAGACTAGAAACCTTGAACAAAAACATTAACTAGAGTGGAATACCTTACAGCTTGGTCCAAGAACTTTCTGGAGTTGAATTCTTTCTTCTGGTTCATCCAGAGATCCTTGATAATTGTAGTATGCAATATCTCCTAGAATGAGAGCCTCCTGAGAGATAGGAAGTATACCACACTTCATGGAAGAAACCTGTTTCAAAGAAATAATGCTTGTAACATGGAACGAACGTGAAAACTCTTTAATTTTTCAAGTGACACTGAAAGTACCTATTCAATAACTTTAGTTTGCAACTATTTGAAAATCAGGAGAACAAGGATTCCTACCTAGTTGATAACAGACTATCAATAGATTGTGGGGGTTTTATGGATGGATTGCTAGCATATGGATTTTGAAGCAAATGTGGACAAGGCAGATGGTTTCAGAATTAAATAGTTCAAGTAAATGGGGAGTTCTAAAAAAAGACCAAGGGTTGTATCTAGTGGTGTCCCTCTGCTCATGCAAAGCTCTTTCATCCAACAGATGTTTCTGCCAATGAAGTGTGTGTGTGTGTGTGTGTGTGTGTGTGTGTGTATGTTGCATATTCATACTCAGCCCATAGGACCGATCATTCTCATCCCAAAACCTGTTCTTGAGGGTTAAAGGATACTTCAGAACAGAATAGAAGGTGGCATAGAAGAGAATGAATCCAAAAAATAGCCTCCATCTCTATTCTGCAGATAGGAACCTCTTTGGCAGTGAAAAGAAAACACTGGATACTAGTTATGACCATTCCTGGACTAAGATAACTTGTTCTCAGTTGTCAATGCTCTAATCACCTTCTATCTGGACTACTGGGGCTGCCTTTGAAGGCTGTCTGGAAACCGCAGCTAGCGTAGTATTGTATGCATATTGTATACATTTTGATGTATTGTATACATTATAGTTAATAGGAATAAAGCTACTTTGATACGAAAAGCAGACTCAAGAATTTGAGAAATAAAAGAGCACAAAGTATAGCACTTCTATACAACTTGTGTTATTCTCAAGATGAATTAATCAAATGGCAACAACAGGCTGTTTTTGTGCCTGTTTAAATTTGTAATCATCTGAGAAGTTGTCAGAAGAGTGCTTGATCCATACCTTGAAGAGCAGCAACAACTTATTAATAGACGTGCTGGAGCTTCAAGGATTCCCAACACAAAACAGTCCTGAGCTTCAGTCAATCCTGTAATGGTGTACTATTGGAACATCTTTATGCCACATTAAGGAGAGAACAGACTTACAGCTGCTGTTGCTGGAGTGTGTATGTGGATCACACATCGAACATCAGGGCGCATGGAGTAGATGGCTGCATGAGGGCTGAATCCTGAACTGTCAATGCTTAGATTGGTGCTTCCCTGGTCAACCACGTCTCCCAGTATGTTTACTTTTACCTGAAAAGCCAAGTCAGAGAAACACCACTAATTACATTTCACTCCTGACTGAGAGTAACCAAGGAACATAGGTTGGCTTTTATAGTTCCTCAGCTTTCAGGAGAAACACGGAGTATAGTTTTAGAATTACTACAAGATTTAAATGAGTGTGATACGGTATCGGCTGTGTTGTACCTCAGCTCTCAGTTGTCTAATAAACATTAAAGAGAAAAGTACAAACCCTCAGAAGGAGAATAGTGATGCTGTTGTAGTTAGTAAATTACCTTGCTTGCAAATATGGATTTGGCAAGCTCTTAATACTCCTTTATATTATGAAGCAAATACTGTGCCTATTAAAGTAGTTCTTATAGCTCAGATTACTACCAAGCCTTAAGTGTCAAGCACCTTCCCTGTGCTTCCCTGTCACCTTGCATGCTACAAACACAGTCTCAGACTCTTTCCTTCCAGGACACTCCTCAGGACATTTGACATCAAAACAATGGACTTAGGTGCCAACTTTCACACTTGGTTTACTGCCATCACAGCATATAAAATGCCAGATAGGGAATGTAGCCTCCAAGAGACTTCTCTGCTGTTGCAGCCACCAAATAAGTAGGAAGGGAAGCAAACAGCTGCAATGAGGGAAGCCATTAAGATTCCCATTACATTTCTGATTATGTCATTCTCAATGTGATGCATGTTGAATTTCCTAACAGTGGCTTAAGCGAGGAAAAATACAATTTCCCAATAAAACGGATGAAATTGTTCAGTGTGCCAACTCCAAGCTCAAATTGTGGGGCAGGGATGGGTGTGCTACCCTTTTTCTAAAGGAGACTGTCTCAAATAGGAGTTGTTTTGCTTAAGGAAGTATTTCTTTAGGTACAGGGAGACTTTCTGGGTCACTCCATCCATGTTCTCCCACTATACGCACCTGGATACAAACAGCCAAGTTTCATTTAAGGTACTTAAGAGGCACAGGATCAGGCATAAACATGAGTGGGAGAGACAACAGAGAACAAGGAGGAGGATCATATGCTAAGAAGCAGCAGATAAATTTTGGCAGAGGAGTGGTTAAAAATGCAAGTGCTTTTTCAGCAGATAGCTGCAGGTGAAAGGGAATAGAAACCTAAATAGAAACCTGAAGATTGACACTTACAATTAAGTTGCTGCGTTTTAGCAACTGAGGGAAAAAAATGTAACCTTTGTTTCGGTTGTTTGCTCAAAGAAAAACATTAGGCACATACAGGCATTGACCCACATGCAGGGGCCATGTTCCAGGCCCCTGAGCGCTTAAGTGAAATCATGTAAAGTGTGAAACCCCCTTTAAAGAGACACTAAATGCCTATTCTCCCTGCTCTCTACCTCTCTGTCCAATCCAGTTGAATCTTTGGGGTTGGATGGAGGATGAGCAGTAAAGGGGCTGTTACTGCTGCGCTACCCCCACATCAGCTGTTGGGCGGGGAGGCTAAGCAGCCGAAATAAAGCCCTGCTGCACCTCAGGTCTCTTTGGGGCTTCCTCTGCCCTCACTGACGTCCTCTTTGGGCTCTGGGGAAGGTCTGCTTATGAGCCATGAGGACTCTCCACCTCTCTCCTGCCATTTCCTTGTATGATTCTTTCTTTCTTTCTTTCTTTCTTTCTTTCTTTCTTTCTTTCTTTCTCTATCTATCTATCTATCATTTCCTGGCTCCATGCATATATGTGTGAGTAGAACACGCCTAAGTGGGGGGATGCCTGTATGCCCTAAAGGTTCTGAAATATCCTTTTGGGTCAACAGCAAATGAAACAGAACAAAACTCTCCATAATTAAGTGCATAACATTATTCCCTATGTTAAGTACATACCAAATTGGAGGCAGAAGCTTCAGAAAACGATAGGCCTCTTGGAATGATAAGAATATGATCATGTTCTTTGCTTACTCTTACCTGGAAATTGAGAGGAAAAGGTTACTATGATGCTAACAAAACTGTATGTTTAATCCTGGGGTAATATGCAATTTATAGGGCTGAAAAGCTCAGATATATCTTCCTATAGCAAAGAAGTAATAGAAATGCTGACTTCAGGGTACTTACTGTGATATATGAATTGGCCAGGTGTGCCCATCCAAACAGATCTGTCAGCCTATACAAACTGGCTAATTTACAACGAGTAAGTTTTTCGCCCTTTACGTATGTAGTGGTATCTATCCCAGGAAGGTCATTGATAGGTGTAACCAATCCAGAGCCTAAATTATAAAAAAACCATTAGAACATTCTCTTCAAAGCAACCATATAGTCACATTTTAGAATGAACTGGAAACTGCTAACGGGGTTATTTCCATTACCTTCCCAACAACCTTTAATATTTAAACGACTGAACTTTGCACCTGAGAAATGTTCATTTTCTGACTTTCAAAAGAGAAGGCAGAGTTGGTGACACAGGCAGGTACTTGAAACACCACCTGAAGCTGAATTTCCCAACAAAATGTCACTTTTTATATTTTTCTGCTACCTCAATTAACAATAAAATAAAATAAATAGCTATTAATTTAGCAGTTCTTTTTAAAAAGAAAGCATTATATTTGCCAAATCCAAACTACAGGTTAAAGCAGGGATAGGCAATGTGGTCCTCTAGATGCTGCTAGACTACAACTCCCATCATGCTTGACCACTGCCATTGTGGCTGGGGCTGATAGAAGTGGTAGTTCAATAGCGTCTGGAGGGCAGTACATTGGCTACCTGGGTTATAGGGAGTGGTATTGCTTGTATGCAGCAGAACACTGGATCTTTTTGATATCTCATATATACATGTATATGTGATCACAAACAGAAATCAGTAGAAGCAAAAGTGAATCTATCAGCAGTTTATCAAGATCAGGTTTTCCATAAGGTAATCCAGGAACAAGGATAGGCATTCTCTATAAAGGTCATTTTAGCTATTAGAAAGAATTATTATGAATTGCACATCCTTTTACTTACTTAGAGGAGATGAAGAAAATCCTGCAAAAGAGCTTGCCATAATGTAGTCAGCAATCTGCTGTAAGGCAAGCAATCCAGTTGGGTTATTGCCTTTCTTCATTTGCTCTTGAATTAGTGATTCCAGGTCTTCCCGAAAAGCCTGTGAAAATATAAGACATATCTGTCAAGAAGAATCAGCAGCTGGTTTGTTCTTTTTACCATCCAACATAGTTACTTATTAAAGAGCAGTTCGTTTTTTTAAACTTAAGTTCGAAATATTTTGGAACTGGAATCTCTGTACTGAACTTCAGAACAACTACATCAATTTAGCGTTGCTTTGTATGGATTAACTGCATGCACTTCTGGTTATTTCTGGTTATTTCTGCTTTATTGTATCAGAAGCCAGGAGAAGGGGGAACAGAAGATGCTTAGTAGTTGAAAAAGAAGGGTACTACTCTGTTCCCCATGTAAGTCATGGAGGTCAGCGACAAACAGATCACCTGCTGGCTATGTCAAGCAGCTACTCTAGCTAGACGGTCATGCCTAGAAATAGCCCTGGGTTGCACTTTCTCTAGTGCCTGTTTGTGGATATTTTTTTTAGAGCTAGGAAATGAAAGCAGCATGCATCCATGTGTGCATACACCCACACCCACACCCACACACACACACACACACACACCATCCCCCCTTAAGATTTGAACTCAAGCAGAGTGGGAGTTGAAGAAAGATTACTCTGAGTAACATTTTGCTGCCATCTTCTCCCACTAATGCCACTCCCCCACAGGTTTGCTTCTTGCCTTGATGGTCCCACTCCGAAATGCAACACATTTACTTCAAAACTATTTTAACCAAGTATTGGTAACTATTAGTGCAAACCTAACAGCAGCTGATGAAATACTGGGGACATTCCTGCCTGAAGCCATTCTTAGAAAGACAACTTTTTCAAACAGGAAGACTCATTGGATGTTTGACCCAACTGAGCTAAATTCCATGGTGCTTGTTGTGTGTGTGTGGGGGGGGGGATCCAACTCACTATGGTTTTTACTAATTAACATGTTATTTGGTTACATATTAGAGCATATAGTGTAGAACAGCTGAATGTCTGATTGTCTTTGAAGCTGACTGTGGCAGGACACTCTACAAAGCTTTTTGAGCTGAGCGCTATTGTGTCATAATACATATGCTAAGAGCTGCAATGTAAGGCCAGGAAGTTATTTTTATTCTTTATAATAGTACATAATAGTTTCTGGAAACAGCAGACATCACCCTAGTCTCTCACTCTAGATTTAACTCAATTACAAAATGCTTTGGGGAAACCAGAACTGACAGCAACCAGGTGATCAGATTTTCCCCAATAAGAAATTTTATACATCAACAACCAAAAAAAGCACCCCAACAGTGGATGAAGCTATATATTAGATATTGTGATACATCTGGATTTAGTTTTTAAAAATTACACAATGTCTCTATAACTGGCTATACTGTATTATTACATAAAACTATGGGGAAACCACAAATAAGGGGTGGTAAGTGGAAAACGCTGAAGGAATTAATGGTTTGGGGTCTTAATTTATCTGCACTGCAATATCATTAAAGCTGCTAGACTATTATAAATGTGGGGAAGGTGAGGTTAGGAACATGGGGCGGGGGGAAGCCCAGTGAATTCTTGCCAATAGTGTACCACTATATTAGCAATACTAGCCTCAAGCTCTGCATGTCTGGAAACTGCTGATAAGCAGCTCCCACTAGCCAATATAAAATTAGAGCTAACTGAAAGTTCTTCACTCACTATTTCATGCAACACACACACACACAAATAGACCTTAACTGACATGAAAAAAGCTAACAGGAACATTAACTACTTACAGATGTAAACCATTTGCCATTTCCTTACCTTACCCCGAAATGTTTTTAATCTGTCTATTCACACATTGACCCAGGCAGAAGTATCTGTCCCGCCCAGGGAAGTCTCTTTCTGCTCTACTACATTTGTGCGTATGATACAGTTATGCAATGATGTGGCTTACTTCTGCTATCTCTGACTCAATAGTTCTATGCAACAGTACCTCAACACACAGCAATCATTCTCTCGGTGCTTCAGAAAGACTTCTCTCGATGGTTCAAATGCCTGTTCTGTATTTTTACCCAGAGCTTTCTGGCATTGTGCACTGCCTAAAGCAGCATCAGTTTCCCCATAATACCAGGTAAACAAAATGCAATGCTATTCACAGCTGCAGAAACGGCATTTGACCTGTCAATTATTGTTAAACAGTGGTCAAGTGTCAGAATAATAAAAGTACATTTTATCTTATAGCATTTTAATACCGTTATTGTGAAGAATTAAAATTTATTTGTGTGTGAATATGAATAATAACTGCTAACAGTGTTTGGTGCTGTTTCTATTAATGTGAATGGCTCTTTTCTCTGGCTTTTATCTAGAATACTAGGATCAACCATTGCTATTTTTTCTAGAAAATGTTTGCCCTGTTCTCTTAAAATGGCAATGGCCCACCTAAGAGGTGACAGAACAGAATATTCAACAAAATTTGATCAATGTTAAACAATAGGTAGTCAACTGACCAGTGTGCTAAGCCTATTACAAAGCAGTGATTCCACCGCCCTGGTCACTCATGCACTCACTGTCGAGTTTTCCAATTATGTGGATTCTGCCCTCAGGAGCTATGCCAGAAGCCCCTGCAACCTTCCAACAGTTTGACTTCACCCTGAAAGGTGCATTCCTCCCAAGACAGACACTAACCAACGAGTACCATTATTATGGACACCTGGTAAAGTAGCCCCTTTGAAATTAGTAGCACAGATACTACTAATTATACATGTACCGTATTTTTCGCCCCATAGGACGCACCTAGTTTTTTTGGGGGGAAATAAAGAAAAACATTTGTCTTTCCCCCCCAGGTGCGGGGCTGGAAGAACCAGGTCGGGGAACAGCGGGAAGAGCACTCCGCCTCCCCGCTGTCCCCCCAGCTAGTGGGGCTGGCGATGGGGAGAAGTGCGCTTCTCCCCACCGCCAGCCTCCAAAGCAGGTCGGGGAATAGCGGGATGGCGGCGCTCCGCCTCCCCGCTGTCCCCCGAGCTAGTGGGGCTGGCGTTGGGGAGAAGTGCGCTTCTCCCCATCGCCAGCCTCCAAAGCAGGTCTCCGCAAGAGGTGGGAGAGCTTCGGGGTGCAGGCAGCTCTCCCACGGCTTGCGGACAGCTTCCTGAAGCCTGGAGAGCAAGATGGGTCGGTGTGCTCTCCAGGCTTCAGCGAAAGCCTGCATTCGCCCCATAGGACGCACACACATTTCCCCTTCATTTTTGAAGGGGAAAAAGTGCGTCCTATACAGCAAAAAATACGGTACTTATTTATACACAACAGTGTAGACAGTACAGTAAGCCCACAATTTGCAGACATTTAACTCGTGTGCTTTATGTGCATGATAATTAAAAATAAATAAATAGATAGATAGATAGATAAGAGGTGGGGTTCTGGGAAACATGAGTTTGGCAATCCCACACACCTTTAAACCCAATGGGTTTTGATGATACACAATTTTGGCTTTAGGTGTGATCCCCTGCATGAGTTGTGGGTCTACTTTACTGTATAATATAAAAACCACAGTTCCTTCTCTTGTTTAAAAACCAGCACAACTATCCTATTAGAGCAAGTTGCTTGCTGTAGTGATAGTTTGTGTTTTAGTGAGCATGACTGAAATACTCCATGAAATAAACTATGTAACACACAAGCTGTATAAACAGCATGCATTTCCTAGTGTAGCATTACAGAACTGAAGCTGACTCAAGATAGGGGCTACCTATTTGTTTGTTTGTTTGTTTGTATATTTAGCAAGCACCTGACAAATATATGCTATGTCTTACACAGGATTTCTGTTCCACAGTGACAGAACTGGTCATGCCATATGTTTACTGAATTCACAAAGTATAATATTGACTCCAGGCTGACACTGTATATGGATTAGCTTAGGGTCAGTTTTGGTCGCATGAAACTATTCTTGAATGATGTTTTTACGGTATTGACAGACATTTCACATAAAGGTAGAAAAAAGCAATACAGAAAAAAACAGAATGTGACAGTTTCACAGGAAGGCAACACTTAAAATGTAAAATGTAGAATCACATCTGAAGTAGGTGCCCATGTTTTTTCTTTCAGGTAGACAAATTCTACTTTTTTAAAAAAAATCTAGAATTTTGCTACGACCAATTAAATGTAAGAGTCCTCACTGAATAGCACAATACATTTACTTTAGCTTTGCAGTATCTAATAAAAAGTATTTGACTAAAAAAAGGTAGTGTATACATTTCAGATATAGTCCAAACCATAAAATCCCACTGTAAGTGCCCACTCTTCGCACTAACTCACACATCACCACCTTCCCCTGGACCACTATTCTGCCTTTGAAGGACACAGCCTACCAAACACAGCTTCCCAATTAGCCCATATACAAGCAACTTTGTATGCATTGTCTTCAGTTTATGTTCACTAGGAGCTCTTCTAAGCTGTATACAGCCTTTAAAAATGCCTCTCCTAGCATGCTGAGACCTCTGAATTACAGGTTTGGAGCAGGATGAGTCTGTTACAGAATTATTCCATGGTAGGTTTAAGCCACTAGTTGTTTTATTTGGAACTTGCAATGAGGAGCACATAGCAAAGTCACCCTTTTAGAAATTTATTTGGAGCCATGAAAGCCAGAAACTTACAACTAATAGTTGGTTTGAATAATATAGAAACTGGAGGAAGCAGAACATATGCCTTTCAATTATCATTCAGGCATAAATCCTACACCAATCTTCCGTACAGGATTAACTTGTATTACTAGCTTTAGACGTTTTCATACTGAAGTTAAAAGTGGTGCAGACACACCTACACCTATCCTTTAGCTCAGGACAGAAGTTTCATTTTCAAATTGTCTACATAGAGATGCTACCTTAATATTGCAATTCTAAACATATTTACACAAAAGCCAGTAGCATGGAGTCACACTGTCCATTTAGGATGCAATCTGATGAATATGGGTTTATTGCCTAAACGGATTGTCCATTGCTTTCTTGTAGACTGGCCCTGTTTCCTTGGCACACAGACTTATGAACAGACATGGGTTATAAAAAGCAAAACTAGCTCTATTCTGGGTTGTTATAGTTTCTGGACAAATTACAATCTCCTTTGGACTCGTGAAGAAGTTTGACAGTTTTAACTACAATTATGAGATGCACTGAACTCACAAACAAGTGTACGCTATGCTGGTGTTCTAAAACATTATTGTAATGATACGTAAAATACAGTTTACCTTTTCCAACAAACCAAATCACATGGAGGTATTTGAGGCAGCTTTTAAGTACAGAATTCAAAATAAGAGTGGAATGCCGATCTGCATGTAAATGTCCCAATAGTTTGTATCTGGGCAGTGACTTCCCTTTTCTTCCCTGTGTCTAAGCAGCAATCAAATGCCATGTAGCTGGGAAGCTACTTTTGTGCAGTGTTAATGAAGCATAGCATTAAAAAAAAAGGAGGGGGGGGGGTTTGAGAGCCAAACTCCGCATAAAGGGCTGTTTGTTCACACATGAAAACTGTGCAAACAAATACTGTACAAACCACCCATCGATGATTTTCATGAAATGTTACACAGTCCTGAGTTATTCTTTCTTGCTATTATGTAGTCCAAGAGTTTCTCTCCCATGTTCATTATTTTAAAATGAAGACATAACAATACAAGTCTCTGCAAATGAGAAAACACTGTTTTGTCTCTCCCCCCAACCCCATCCCCCTGAATTATACTCACAGGACTCTGCAGTATCTGGGTGACTCTTTTCCTTTGTTCCATCATGTTGAAGTCTTGCCTGAGGTCAGGAGACATGTTTCTTTCGCGGATGTAGTCAGGGTCATTTTCATTGATGCGGTCAAAATATCTCTCTTTGTGAGGCATGCTGGGGGGTGGAGGGGTTGTGATTACCCCCTGGCTGGTCTCGGCACTCATGCTTCAATCTGGATTATTCTCTTCACCTGGAACAATAAGAAGCCAGGAGAGATTTAATGGCATTTAAGAACAAGCCATCAAATTGACCTTACAAGCATGGACAATTACAGAGAAGACATGGATTTAGAATCCTGTGACATGACAAAGAGCAATCAAGGGTGGGGAAGAGTTGTACAATATGCACATTTTCATGCCTTTTAAAAGGATTATTAGCTTCTGTGTTTTTATTTTTATTTATTTAATGTGATTTCTTTAGGACATCAATCACTTAAAAGTCAACATCCATATAATCACGTAAGATTAATCAAGACTTAAGATTTAGATGAACTTTTTTTTTAGCCTTTAGCCTTTTTTTATATGTTATACTTATTGTGATTGCTTTATTGTTGGTTTTAATTGTATCTTGGGATTCTGTAAATCTTATGTTCATTTTAATCATACCACTTGGAGGGCATGCCAGATGAAAAATGCTCAAAAAATTAAACAACAATTTATGACAATCCATTCACTTTCTACTTGCAGTATGGTCGGAATATAAAAGACTTAGGCATAACAAATGTTGATTATTTGGGTCATGAACTTTTTTGGCTGTTTGAAATACCTACTGCAAATTAGCAATCACTGAGAAGGGCCACCTCAGTCAATCTTGTCCTAAGTATCTTTCACATCTGTTTGGTTCTCAATCTAAAATCTGCATTTCAGTGACAATTAGCTTTTTCCCCTCTGGTGACCACAACTGGCCTGGCACAAAATTCCCCACAAAATTCCCATAAGTTATTTATGTATTGCAAAAAACTCTGTAAGGAAGATCTTTGTGCTAGGTAAGCTCAGCACAAACTGAGAAAAGACCCTTCTAATTCTTCAAGCACTCTGAATTTAACCGCAGAATCTAGGGAAAGACTAGGGGATTGCCTAGTGAGGAAGCAGTAATGGGAGTTGTTGTCCAACAACAGCTAGAGACCCAAGTTTGAGAAACACTGCTCTAAAGCCTAGTGCTAAGTGAAAGACAGACTCCACCACATCTCAAAGTTCCCTGTGTTTTTGAGGAGGGGGAAGGAGGGGACTGGTCAGTTGCAATCACAATTAACAGTCGGCTAGTAAATCAAGGCAACATTGGGGGACCATCAATGTACCGTATTTTTCTGCCTATAAGACCATGTATAAGGCCCCCCCCTATTTTTTGGGACTCCGATTTAAGAAAATGGGGGGAGATACTATCCGTGTATAAGATGAGCCCAGATTTTGAACATTATTTTAGAGTAAAAAAAAACATAGTCTTATACACGGAAAAGTACGGTAATATGTAATTTCTAATTGCCATGTTGCAAGGTACACCCTTGTATAAGAATCATCACTTCTGAGTCAGATGTTAGCTTGGGTTGGTAACACTTTAGTTGCTTCCAGTAGATCTCAACAGACCACCAGGTGGTGTCTAAGTCCTGAAGAGGTCTTAAACTTAAAACAGTTTAGAGGGCCACATGATTAGTTTCCCTGGACTGTAAATAGTAGATTTCTTAGAACACCTTCATAGTGCAGTTTCCTCCCCAGCTATGTATTTGTGACACAGATATTAAATATGCCCCCCATGATAAAACTAAAATATAGCTTGAATTTTAAATAACCTATTGAGAAAGTGAGACATATTATCAATACTGTTAAAGAACATTGCTCTGAACAAGAAAATGCGTTTCAAAATTCTTTTAAGTCTTGTTCACATACTTTTTCTTTTCAGTTTGTGGCTGAATACCACACTGGATGCAGTTTATAATGGCCACCTTGCAGTTTGTACACAAACAAAATCAAAGTGCTTTTCTATACAAGAACCGGCCTGTAAAGTATTGCTGCACTCTATGCACTGCATAGAGGAATTGAAAAAGCGACCACTTTACAGTGGCCCAATACCATTTCTAACGTAGCCGGATAATACACAGAGCTATCTCCCCTTCCATTGCTGAAAACGGGAAAACTCCGTTTGTATGTGTGGGACTGTCTTACTGGATTGCAGCCAATCTACGGTGGCATAAACTCCCTTGTAAAGAAGAGGGTGGACACAAAGGCTTGAATACTAATACTTAACTGCTTTTTCTCTGTTACATAAATAGGCAGTTTTTCCATGGTGGTCTTGTCTTTGGGGTTAATACTTTGCCCTCCTGCAGCTGGCTGACCTACAAACGTCAATAAATGAATAAACAAATAACTTCAGGGACTCCCCAACCTGGTAGGAAGTAGAAAACAACCTGGACAGATTTGGATCCATAACCCTTACAACCTGCCTGCTTCTGGTTATTTGACTCCAATATGGGCAAGTTTCTTTAGAGTACCATATGCCACAGCATATTAGTGGAATGGGAGAAATTAAATATCCCTTAAAGTTCAAAGCATCCAGAGAAACCAGCCTGTGTTTCTGCATGGAGGGGGATGGGTTTACTTCTTCCTACCCTACACTAAGCTCTGAACTGAAGTGAAATAATTTTAAAAATGTTTGCTGTTTTGAACACCATGGCCAGGTAAGTTTTCATCTTTAACAGCATAGCAGCAAAGAACAATATTTTGCAAACATGAATGATGTTCTCCTTTTGGCAGTCTATACAGTGGTACCTTGGGTTAAGTACTTAATTCGTTCCAGAGGTCCGTTCTTAACCTGAAACTGTTCTTAACCTGAAGCACCACTTTAGCTAATGGGGTCTCCTGCTGCTGCTGCACCGCTGGAGCCCGATTTCTGTTCTTATCCTGAAGCAAAGTTCTTAACCTGAAGCACTATTTCTGGGTTAGCGGAGTGTGTAACCTGAAGCGAATGTAACCTGAAGCGTATGTAACCTGAAGCATATGTAACCCAAGGTACCACTGTATTCCTTTTACTCTCTCCCCCCCTGGCCATTTGTGCTTCTTGCCTCAGAATGCAACTGGTTATGATGAAAGTCACTGGTTACTAAAAGCTCCAGTGAAGTTCAGGGACCGGACAAATTGCACAGCATTGAAAAGGGGAGGGGGAATTGGAGGCAGTTAATACAATATGCCTACTATTTGCAAAAGCATGCTTGGATGCCAAATCATAGCAGGAAGAGATGTTCCACTAATTCACTAATTCTACATTTATATTTTGGATTTGTTACAAATTGATGCTGCTTGAGAAACTAAGACTACTAGAAACTATAATCTGTAATTTTAAAAGCATGCGTTTCATAATTGAAGAATTACTTTCCTTAACCTTTTAGAATATAGTATTTGAAAACTTACATTCTCAATCGTCAGCCAAGACTATTGGAATGTTGCCATTTCTTAAACCCCAGACTCACAGCTCACAGACCTATTAGTTGTAACTTCATTGCAGAAGAACAAGAAAGGTGCTTACTGCAGCAGGGGACATAAAATTGTGCAAAAAAAGAGAGAGTATCTAACAAAATCAGAGCTTATGCAATATTAATTCTTTTACAGCAGCACATAAACTGAACATTGTCAGTGATAGGTCCTCCCCACCCCCCACCCCTTACATTTTTTCCTTCACCAACTTCGCTCCAGGGTAAAAAATTCCCTTTAAGCTTTGGTGCCTGCTGAGCAAACAAAAGCAGGCAAACATTTCCAACAATCAGGACTGCAGCACATACTGTTACAAAACAGCCATTAATCAGGTGACAAGCTTTCAGGAACTCTGTTCCAGCATCAACCATCAAAGTACTTTGCTCTCTTCCCAACTACTTCATGAAACTGTTCACAGAGACAGGTTAAGCAAAGAAGGGATGTGTCAGCAGGCATGTTTTGTTCTCTGGTAACCTCCTGTTTCCCTCATCTCCAGCTGGCACCGAAATAATAGAGATTCTTGATTTCCTGCATAATGGAACTTGAGTCTTACTATTTATATTTGGCTTCAGCCAACTAATCCCAACAAGAATCAATCGCCTTCCTAGCTCTACTACTACAAAGGTGTTCCATGTTAGCTGCTCTGCAAACACATACAGAACTACTTCATAAATCCTGAAAGCACTTGTTGCCTGATAAAAATAAAGTGGCTATTCAATTCCCTTCAAGTACACTCTACATAGTAGATGGAGGTTTATAAATAAGTCCTTTAAGATGCTATAGAAATGCTGCTGTCCTAAGCACGGTTACTAGGAAGCAACTCCTTCACTGGAACTTACTACTTATCAAACATGCATATGTAATAGCAAACAAAAATAGTTTATTCTTTTTTACACATGAAAAAGCATGATAGCACACACTGACTTCATACTTTTCATTTAATTAGATTACCTGTGCTAGAAGAGAGATTGGGTACTGAGACCTTATTGATTCTCCTGGTCCTCTCAAACAGCCATTGCTACCATAGATCTGACTATCCTCCTGGACTGGCTAGATTAATTGAAGCATGGTGATATTATGAGTCTGCTCCTCGTTGTATGGCTAGTCCCAAAGGGGAAGTTAGTGTGCCAACCTACAGCACTTATATTATGGGGTCCCAAAGGGTTCCACAATATTATTTTATTATTTATTTATTAAATTCATATCCTTGCCTCCCTTCCAAAGGAGTCATGGGCAGCAAAGACATCAGTACTTTTAACTGTAAATTTTTAAACTGCATTAAGCTGCATTTTAAATAGTTGTAGCCTATCCTAGGACCTTAAGGTGAAGGGCAGGTAACAAACTGAAATAATAATAATAATAATAATAATAATAATAATAATAGGCAGTTCATAACAAAGGTATGTATGGTCATGTAACAAAGCTACCCATTCATTCCCCCAACTGAATTATTTCAGAATTGACACTGTTATTGTGCTTGATCCTCTAGCTGGCGTTTTTGGTTATTTGTTCATTTGCATTCTCCTAGAACAAAACAAACAGATTCAGCAAAAGAACAGGAATCCATTTATATATTATTTTACCATTTATTTAAAGAACTTGTAAAACAGTCACAATTCAAAAATATTGTAGTGGTGTACAAAAAAAGAGAGAAATAAATACCATTACAATACAAAATTTGAACACTATGAACACATTAAAGCCATCTGTAAAAATAGATGGAACCATATGGAACTGAAGTAAACACTACCTCTTTTTCTGCTGATCTGAACAAAAAATGGCTTTAAACATCAGACATAATTTCACCCCTTTTTAACACCCCCAACAAGGCTAGCACAGACATCCTGGGCGAGAAAATCATGAGGGCAGTGCTATAGATCAGCAAAGAGCTCAAATTTATTTTACAAACAACAACATGGCAATCAATTCTGTGATGTGAGAACAATATGAGGCATCTGAAGGTTCAAGAATGCTTATTTTGAAGGGAAAAAACTGGTTTGAAAAGCTTTTCACAGATGACAGCATTTTTCTGTGCTTGGTCTGAAAGATTTTGCTGCAGTCTTGGCAGTCTAGGTACTGCTGCACTGAAACTGGCAATTTCAATTTTGGTTTTCATGACCTAGCTCATCTTCACTATACTTAATTCAGCTTGGACAAAAGCAAACATCAGCTGAAAAGAAAGAGGGAAAAAATGGATTGGGTCGCCCCCTCCTTAGCAAGTGGGTAAAACCCCATGGTGATTCTGAATGTTACCAACTTTGTGCATACCATATTTGATAACATTTAGAACTGAAAACTGAAATATTCACATTGTTGTAGTACTTGACAGACATTTTAAAAAATACCAGTTTCTAATTTGACAGCATTGTGAAATTTCTCATCATTACAAAGCAACATTACTGGCCAGGGATATTCTTTATTTACTATAAGCTGGCAGTTGTGTGTAATTTATTGTATTCACTGTGGATCAACTTGTAGTAATGGAACTATTTTCTTTACTTTTTATGAGCTGTAAACTGTTTCTATGGTTCCACTGAGATAACCATGACACGTAAAAGAAACAATTGTACAATACATTTGGTTTTAATCATACGAAGTGTTCTTAAGTGCCAAGAGTTTGTAAGTTTGTAAATATTTCCTCTCTTGCAGCACCTCCTAGGCTCCCAACTTCTTTTGCACAACCAAGATTTGTTCTTCTGGTTAGCCCCAAAGTTTCCTTATGCAGCAGGAGAAAAAGTTTTCATTTGTTGTTAAGATACAAAAAAGATATACTACTGCAAATACTAGATGAAGGGAGTTAATCAGGAATTTCTTTTTTCTTTTGCACATATACCTCTCTTTCTACTGGGAATACCTCTGAAGATCACGATTTCTCTGATTACTTTTAGCAGTACGGAATCACACACTGTATTCATATCATATCATAAGTCATTCTTGATTTATGGCAGTTTTGCCCATCCTTAAAAATGTCAAGAGGAGAAACAGCTGCCTCTTTGCTCTGAGTGTAGGTTCAAAAGTTGGGAAGGCGAGCAACTCAAGTGACAGACGTGCAGCAACTGGTAGATTTTACAAATGTTTACATGAACAACTGATCTTGCACCACACTGCTGTAGTATGTGCCCAACCCTTTTCCTACTGCAAGCCACTGCAGCTCCTCCTCTTTGTCCACATTCTATCAAGGCTAACCTTTAATTCTTACAAGTCAACAATGCTATTATCAAGAAGTCAAAAGGTTATCAAGTTGTCTGAAATTCTGCTAACTGGTGAGCACTTCCCATTATCAGTCTATTCCATCTTGAAGGTCAGCCATATGCTCTAGTGAGAAAAATGGAACTGATAATCAGTAGCAGAGACAGAAGTTCACAAAGTTTTAGACAGGACCCTGAGAAGAACTAGCCAAAAACATTAAAGCCCAGCATGAAGGAAATCCCTTATATTATTCTAAAATTAGCATTAGGCAAAACCTTTATTAGGTCAACAAAGGTGTGACAAAATAGTGTACAAGATTTCATATTCTCCAGAACTCTGTAGAAGATCACAAGACGACCCCTGCTGGGTCATATCAAAGGCATCCTGCTCTTAGAATGGCTAACCAGATATCTATGGGAAGACAGCAAGTAGGACCTGAATGCACCAGAAACTCCTCACTTCTGATTCCCATACTGCTTCTGACAGTGAAGGGAGAACATGTCCATGGTAGCTAGTAGCAACTGATAGACACAGCCTCCATGAATCTGTCTAATGCTTTTTAAAAAACCATCCATTTTGGAAGCCATCATGACATCTTGTGGGAGTGAATTCCTTCGTTTAACTACGCAACTGTGTGAAGTACTCTATCCTGAATCTTCCAAAATGCAGTTTTGTTGGATAGCCCAACTTGTTGGCTCTTGCGTTACAGAAGAGGAAGAAAAACTGCTATTTACTTTCCCCACACCATGCATAATTCTATAAACCTCTAGCTAGCCCCCCACTGCTTACTCCCTTTTCTCCAAACTAAAAAGCTCCCAATGTTTTAACTTTTCCTCAAATGGGAATTGCTCCAACCCCTTAATCATTTTTGTTGTCCTTTTCTGAATTTTTTTCTAGCTCTGGAATATTCTTTTTGAGGTGAGCTTACCAGAACACTACACAATGTTGAAAGTGTGGTTGCATCATAGATGTGTATAGTGGTATTATGACAGTGGCAGTTTTATTTTGACTCTTTCTGAATGATTCAAAACATAGAATGGGTTGGCAGTTTCATTAAACTATTTACTAATACTGCAGGGTCTCGTTCCTGGTCAGTCACTGGCAGTTCAGAATTCATTAGCATATATGTGAAGTCAGGATTTCTTGCTACAATATGCAAGCACTGTAAATTTCACATTAATAGGGTCATTATGTAAATTTTTGCTTGGGTGCCTCAAGTAATGATAATAAATAGGTAATATTGTCATTACAATGCACCAAACGGACAGTTTCCAAAGACCCAAAGTCCAAAATTCATGTGACAATAAAGTGATGGGTCACCATACTAAGTAAATTTGAACTTGTGTCTCACCATAGCAAAAAGGTTAGGAACCTCTGCCTTAAGCCTTTGTGGCACCCAACTGCTGGCATTATGTCATTTCCCTTTCCATTGCTCAGCTGAGAGAGAGAAATGTGATCATCATCTTTGAGTCTTGGGCAGCTGTCAAACAGCTACTTTTTACCCTTCCCCAAAGAAAGCAACATCCATTCTCCTTTGTAGCTTTTAGTTATTTAACCCTTTTCTTCCACTCCTCCACTCGGCATCCACTCTTTTTTTTTACTTCCCCCTCCTTCAAAACTATCAGTCAATACTGTGCATTTATCCTTTGATTCTAGGAAGCATAATGTATATTGCAGGCACCGCCACCTATGCTGTTAAGTAGTAGCAAGAGAAGGTGTGCATGTGTGCTTGCCAAGCAGGTGTGCTGCAATATCTGCAAATCTGACTTATATCAGGACATCAGCTTCAGGAAAAGTGCCAGCAAGAAGAGCTAAGTGCAGCTTCTATTTCCAGCTGCTCTTGCCCAGCAACTCTGCTACTTTTTGGGTAGGGTGATAAAACAAACCACACTTAAACCATAGTTAAAGAAAAGCCTGCCTATGCATATAACACCAAGCCACACGTAAGATCAGGAAGCCAACAACAGACCTAGTTCCACAAACAAACCATAAGGCATAAGGTTTATTTAAACTGTGGTTTATTTGTTGCAAGGCAGTAACAACAAAATTTCTAAGAAAAATAAAATTTCTTTTGAAGACAATGAAGTAATGTAAAGCCTAGAATGGGCTTGTGCTCTTTGTAATTTGCTTGGAATGACCACAAAATTGAATAACTGTTGAAGGACTTTTTTACTGAAAGATGTTTACTGGTCTAATTTTGATGCTCAAACTTGAGGAGAGCAATTACACTGTATATGTGATCTTCATTAGATTTAAACTGCATGATTTCAAAGCATACTGATCTTGTTTACAATTCAAAGTTGATTTCCAGATAAATGTAGGAGGATGACTACTAGCTTCACTGAAAATAAATGTCCATGAAGTGATGGAAATAAGAGATTTAAATGTTAATGAGAGTAAATATGAGTTAAGTCACTAAACTGGTTAACATCTGTATTATACATGGAGCCAGGAAACTGCTCATATCTCACTTGGCAAGCATAAATTGTCTGAGAGATCACTACATCTTAATTTATTCATCTAATATTTCATTGGATGCGATACATAAAAAGCCTGTCTCCTAGACTGAAGAAGGGGTGAAGACTATTTCGTAGTGAATGCCTCTAGAATCCTTTAGAAGCCTTTTGTTTTAAGCCAGTTTCCAATTGTACAATCAGGTTTTTTGAAGAGAGAGAAGATAGACAAAACTCCTTTATATTTGTTGAAATGAAAAAAGGAAGTGCTTGTCCAGGACTCTTAGAGACAATTAGGATTAAACGTTACACAGAGACAATTTTCATGGGGTAGGGATGTTATCACCTCACCAACTGATTAAAGTGATCAAGAACAAATAGAGTGGGTCCAGAAACCATAGCAATGTTAACATATTCTGCAGAACAGTCCAGACGATAACTGTTTACTTTTTTAACTGCAGCATGCAACATTTCAGTCTTGGATTAGGATGCAACTGTGGTGAAGTTAGTTCAAAAGGTACACACCCCACCAATTTTGAAGACCCACCCAGAGGGTTTATGGGTTCCTGGTGAAGGTGTGATGTTGGATGCCCTGCTGCTGCTCTCAACAAGGATCCATGCATGTGTGTACAAAACTGAGGGTTACATGTGAAAATTACTGTATGCACAGACTATGAATTCTTGCCTGTAGCTCCTCCTTGCCCTGGGATCAAGTAAAATGATAGATGTGCTTCATTTTTTCTTACATGGGGAAAGGGAACAGAGATGTCATTGCACTTTCCTGGAGTGCCTCCACTAAATTCCCTTTCTGTCAGAGCTTCTTTTTGCTTCCTCTGGTTGTAGCCCCCTGCTGGCAGTGATGTCATTGTCATGTGGCATGGATGGCTCTCAAATGATGAGTCATGGCGTGGTAGGCCAATATTCTTTATGTTCAGCACATATACAGAGTGGTTCCTGTTGCAAGCACTCCTCCCTGAGCTGTATCACTCCCCAATCAGCTACAAGCTGTAGTCACTCTGTTGGAGTGGCATAACTAGTCTTAAAGGGACAGTATCAACCTATACTGCGGTCTGCAAGGCTAGAGCTTCTTCTATAGCAGGGGTCACCAAATTATTTCAGCAGGGGCCCGGTCCACTGTCCCTCAGACCCTGTGGGGGGTCTGGCTATATTTGGGGGGGGGTGAATGAATTCCTATGCCCCACAAATAACCCAGAGATGCATTTTAAATAAAAGGATACATTCTACTCATGTAAAAACACGCTGATTCCCAGACTGTACATGGGCTGGATTTAGAAGGCGATCGGGCTGGATCCGGCCTCCAGGCCTTAGTTTGCCTACCCATGTTCGACAGTCTTCTTCCCTTGCTTTTTTTTAAAACTTTGAAAGTTACCATTGCCACCACATAATAGAGCTGTAGTAATCATGTGCCCAAGCCTAGCAGCTACCATATAACTTTTTGTTGTATTTTAGCTGTTTCAGTTTTGCTGCAGAACATTCAACATCCTGGCAGCTCTGTATCAGTGGAAGCACAGAAAACTTGTAGTCCGGTAGATTTACAGTTGCCTTCACAAAACAACTCTTCAGTATTTTTTGCATGGTTGCCGCTTTCCTTGGCATCCTGTTGCTTTCACACATGCCTCTGTAGGCATCCAACTTTCTGCACTCCTCCTTTCCTAGGTTGTGCTTATCTTCTATTTGCTGCTTTGTGCACACCTCACCTCTTGTTCTCTCTCATCTTCACATCCATGACATTCCGTTCCAATTGCATGCCGCCTATCAAATCCTCTCCCCCAGTTCCCAGCCCTGCATTCCCATTTCCTTTCAAGCCTTCTGTGATATAATAATAACCACTCAATCACTGAAAAGTGGGGGATGAATTAAAAGGCTCAGGTACCGCGAGTGAACAAAAGATATCTGTCTAGACCAATCATGAAACAGCTTTGAACTTTTTAAAGTATCTCCAGGTATGCATGGGTTTAACTTTTTTCAGAAAATCAATTTATTGCATTGCTGATAGTTGAAGAGAAACAAGATTTTAAGCCTGTGATAATAGTTTGAAATGCATGCAAAAGATTACAAAAGTTGCTGCACATAAGATCCACAAAGTATCACTTAACTTGTCACTTTCAGGATCCTCATAAACATATTGTTTACCATCTGAAGTTGCTCAACAGGAACTTTTATCTTGGCGTGATAATAGTGGCATGGACTTAAGGCTCATGAAAGGAAGGTGTGGGAAGTTACTGAAATGATTATCTACTCAGCTGCAAAATACTCTTGTTTTTCTTGCATTACAGTTTATCCACCCAGGCATGCCAATGGTGAGCTTGGCTATGAGTTGAGAAAAATCCTGTGTTACGTAGAATTAGAAGTACAAACTTTGCAACACTGAGAGAACAGAGAACTTTCGCCATTATGAAATCATGCCTTCTGCCTGTTCACATTAGTTTACAAAGCTGCTATGGAAACTGGTTGCAAACATATGAGTTTTCTAGCTATGTTAGATTCTGAACAGAAATTCTTTTGTGAGAACCCATGAGGATCAACAGCCAGTGCCAGCCACGTAATGAAATTCTAATTACTTCCATCGTGTCCAACACAGCAAAGGCCTGCCAGTCACTCATCTTCCTCAGCAACAAAAAAGATTTTAAAGAGAAAGATTTTAAACTTCAACACTTATATGTCACTAGCTAGTCATGGCAAACAAATTAACGCAACAGATTGATTTGAACAGCCTTTGAATTAGGTTCAATAACAGAAGGGTATTCAAAGGGTCACTTTGCACAATACATGTTTTTCATCTATGCAAGCAGCCCTGAGCAAACTGGTGTGTAGTATAATAATAATAATAATAATAATAATAATAATAATAATAATTTATTTATACCCTGCCCATCTGGTATACAGACAAATATCCCAGTGACTCTAAGTTGGTGAAGGTATATCCATGCCTACACAGTGCACATAGTCAAAATTCCTGCAGAATGAGACTTATGTGGTGTAACCTAGGGCTTATTGACAATTATGCATACTACTCAGACATACGTCTAGGTACGATTCACAAATGCATGTACAGTGGTACCTCTAGTTACGAACTTAATTCATTCTGGAGGTCCGTTCTTAACCTGAAACTGTTCTTAACTAGAGGCGTGCTTTCACTAACGGGGCCTCTTGCTGCTGCTGTGCTGCCGGCACACGATTTCTGTTCTCATCCTGGGGCAAAGTTCTTAACTCGAGGTAGCTCTTCCAGGTTAGCAGAGTTTGTAACCGGAAGTGTTTGTACCTTGAGGTGCCACTGTACATCGCATTAGTTAACACCACTTTATTATTGAAAAATTAATGTCTAGAAGCAGTATTTGGGGAAAAACTCCAGTGGAAAGTATTACACTGTTGTTAACATAAGATATTATGATAAAATATGAAACATGAAAGTTATCTGTAATTCACACATATAAGTCATTAAGTAAGGAAAATGCATGTATGAAGCAAAGTTTAACAGAAAAAGACAGACACAAGTCCCTATCAAAATCTAAAATCTGAGGCAAGTTGGGAACTGGTAGCCTGAACCTGGCCCACAAAACATTTTGGATGAGGTCACCCATCTCTCCTTTGCCCAAGCGGAAGTGCAAAAGTGCTCTCTTCTGCAACCACAGCTTCAAGCAGTAACTGAAGAAGGTGGGCAGAGTTTTGCTTCCCTCACCTTTCTTGTTGCATGTATGTGCATGAAAAGTGTATGCGTAAATGTAGAGTGTGTGTGCATGCTGTGCATGTGCACTGTTTGCATGTACAGTGTGTGCTGTACTATTGTCTGTGCTGGCTATGCCCACTTTTGTTTTGACCACACCCACCATTGGCACATGGCCCTGGAAGGTTGGCCACAAAAAAATATGGCCCTCTGCCTAAAAAAAGGTTTCCCAGACATGGTCCAAGGTAAGATTAGGTTAAGGAGAAAGGACTAACGTGACACCAGGGTTTATCTTTTTTAAAAATTATAATATGTACAAAATGGTGGCAATCATGTAATGTTAGGAGGCACATTATATGTTTTGAATGTTCATTCTGAATGGTTTAATTGCTAGAGTTTAACTATGAAAAATGCATATTGCAGTAAAATACAATTTTAATACTGTACTTTGAAATTGGCAGAAATTATACCCTTAAGGAATAGTAGATATTACCCAAAACACCACCTTAGAATTGCATTTTTAGGTTCTTCAATAAGCATTTAGAGTGCCAAGTTTTCAAGTGAAGTGATTTTAGCATTCTGAATATGAAGTACCTTTAAAACTAGTACATTTATTTTTGTCTCTTTTACTACAGGAAACAGTGGCAGGAAGCTCTGCAGGTTAAGTACAGCACTATGCTTTTGGCTAAAAAAAAATTAGAACATAGCCAGACCCTAAGTTCAATACAACTGCCAATTACTTAACCCATTCTAAAAACCAGCCAATACTTTCTTTTAGGACAGTACTGTGAACAAAATAAATATTGGCTTAGTTATGACACTTGTTATTTTAAAGCTTTAATAGCCTATTGTTCACTCATGGTTGCCTCAACAAGATAAAACACTGAAAACAGCATTTCCTGACAGGAAGTGAATTCCCACTGTGTATCACAGGATTTCAGCCAAACTCTCAGTTCTAGAAAAGGAACGGGACTCCAAGTCCAAACCACTGACAATTGACACAATTTCTCTTTCTCCTCCACCTTCCTTTTAAAAAGGTGATTTATTTTATTTTATTTTTTGGCCACTATCTTGCAATGAGATCCCATCTCATCACAATAATGCTCTTAACAAGCACACAATGACACTGAATGCAACTTTACCCTCTCCAACAATTGCCCAGAAATTGATCAGCAGTCTGGAAGAAGGCTGGAGGAGTTGGCCACTGTATTTCTAAGGTGCCTGGCTGTGCAAAAGTCAGAAGATCAAACTCCCTATGACAGGAGGAGATGGGCAGCTTCCTTTGTTACTGGGGAACCAAAGCACCTGGAATGTTGCAGCTGAAAGGGCAAGCTTCCTTGTGTCTTCCTTTCTCACAGGAATATGAGCCTTCAGAGAAAGGGATGCACAGGTTCTCTCTTACAATAAACGTGGGGCAGGTGACCATGATTTTTCTGCTACAAAGGATAGTCAAAAAATGTGAACCCATGAAAAAGTTCTGATAGCCTATATGTCCCAGGATTCCAAAATAGCTTGGCTGCTTGCAAATAATTTGCAGTCACCTGGAACAATTAGTCAACTGAGTATCTCACCACATACCAGGATCATAGCTAATAAAAACAATGCAGAAGCCCTTCATTCTGGGCACCTCTCTTTGGCAATCATACATAATCAAATACTTCAATACACGTAATCCAGCTGGTTTTTGGTTTGTTTTTTTAAATACTATCCTATCCTTAACATTAAGTGAATTTCTGCTTCTACAACAATGAACATTTGCTGGCAGGATGGCAGGTTAAAGTTCATCTCTCATTCTATTTCCTGGACATCACATAGAATTGTATGTCATGTCAATATATGTCATTTTCAGTATTCAATGAAGCAAGGAATAGGATTATAGGACTAAAATGTAGAAAGAGCACAAGAAAACATGCAAATTTTCAGCATCAATTGTCAATGCTTTGTTTTATATCAAAACTGAGATGCAGGTACTTTCAGACATCAAAATTAAAAAATGTGTGTTAGAGACAAGGTAGATTTAATAAAATTTGCCAAAATGTAAGTGAAGATGAACAGAAAAGATCCTAAAGATTTTAAGCATATGTTGCTTTTATAAGGTTGAAAAGATACTTAGGCTGCAATCCGATCCTGCTGATCTGAAAGTAAGCTCTACTGAACTCAGTGGGACTTATCTTTGGGTAGGCATGCATATGATTGTACTGTTAGAGTCATCCAGCTCTGGCAATATCAGAGACTTAGCTGACCACTTTTCCATCTTTGGATAAAGGACCATGTTAACAATTACAGGGTCATAATCTTCAATATGTGAAGCTCACAATTCTCTATGGAAGCACAGTGTATCTATCCTATAATAATTAGCAAGGAGGTAAAACTGAAATGATTTCGGGATTACCTCTGAAATTTTGAACTCAGGGTTCTTCCAATTGTCCAGGAACTATAGTGGTAAGATAGCACATCACAGCCAGGCAGTTTATAACTCCAGTGTGCAAAACCCATGCACAACTGCCTAACAGAATTTTCAGGCAAGATCTGAACATGATGCCTGAATCTGCTTAGAAGTCAAAAGTATTCACTTTACAGATATGGGTTAATTTGTGTCTATTTCTAGTTTTAGAAATGTTTCATTTTCTTCTTACTATATACCTTTAGATTTAATGATTTATCATTTGTATGCCCTTAGTATTCAGAAGAAACCATAGCATAATTTACTGTTGAAAACACAGATTTGAAGACACAGATTTTTAACTGGAGGCAGCTATAGCCACACTGCTATTGCTATATCATTCAGTGCCTAAAGCTGAAGTTGTTTCCACGTACGTAATGTATGTTAACACCATAATTGGTCATTTTATCATAGGCAGCCCATCCTAATACCCAAATATTTCATTACTGTACATAAAACTGTCATTATCTGTACAGGTGTCCACCTACCACAAATGCAGAAAATCATTAGCATGGATTACATACTAGAAGTTAAAACTTGCTCCTAAGTCCAACCACATGAAACTCTTGACTAACTGCAAACACTTCAAAATTGTAAGATCTAATATCCCCTCAAGAACCCACTATGAACAATAATATAGAAGGAAAAAAACAATTTGCAAGAGAAGAGATTTGCATGGATAGAAACACTGCCTGCAGAGGAAATAGAATAATTCACACAAATTTAAACTTACCATTCACATTGCTAAACCAAAGATGAAGGCATAGTTTTTAGCATAAGAGCATTGAAATATGCTTCAAAACAGTCTTTGGCTGTGTCTCTCCCCAATTGGTCCGTCAAATACACAGCAGCTACAGCACAAAGCATCTTTATGGGTGGAATAAAAGGCTCTTTAAATGCGCCTTTATTTTTTTTTATTGAATGAACCCACTCTTACACAAAGTTCATGCCACGATGTCTCGAAGAGCAGAATTACCAGATCACAAGTTATCATCCAATTCTGGTAAATTACATACCGTAAACATGCAAGTATTTATTTGCTATACAGTTAGTAAATAAATGTTTAATCAATGCTTAGCAACATTTTAACATTTCAAAGCCTTATTTACAATGTCCATGACAGTGAAGTCTCCCTAAGGTTAAATTCAGGGTGGTTTTTTCCAAATAAAAAACTTCAACATTTGTTTACTCTGAGAATTCCAAATATGTTTGAGCCATCCTTCATTACCTTCTTTCCTGTCTTAAGTCACTCTGTAATTGTCTAAATTATGAACTTCATGCTCTGCCTGTACAAAACCAATGATCATAGTGACATTTATTTTGGCAAGGTGTAAACAATAAGATATCCCTTGAGCAGAGGTTAGAACCTTGTGGACTATTGTTGAACTACAATTCCCAATCAGTCCCAGCCAGCATGACCAAAATATTTTTGCTAAATGTATGAAATCTACAGCAGAAAAGCACTATATTTTCTTCCTCCAACAGACTGTAGCAGCTGCCCAACTGCCTTATAAAAAAACCCTAAAACAGGAAACTGAAGCTGATCACATATGGCAATGCTGAAGAAATCTTGCCCTGGAGGTGACCCTTCTTTTTCATCATGTTCTTCATAATACATGTGGTAAAGATCAAGGGTGGAGCTCTTTCTGCGGACAAAATTACTATACAAAACTGTTGAAAGCATGTACTTTGCACTGGCCAAGTCTACAAATTCTGTTATCTGAGGGTTTGGAAGGCACTGTAAATGTTTTCCTTATCATAAATTCTGATAAATATGAATACAGTTTACATAAAAGCTACAATGATATGGGCCTAGAGGGACACACACAGAAAGGAAGATTTTCAGTTTTGGATGCAAGTCTATAACATCCTGCCAACTGATGTTTTAAAGAGACCCATCGGAACATTAGCCTATTGCTCTCCCACCAAATAGAGGAACTCCTGGCATTTAAGAGGTGTGTATTCTCACTATTATAGGGTGGTGCTGTGGGTTAAACCACAGAGCCTAGGACTTGCTGATCAGAAGGTCAGCGGTTCGAATCCCCGTGATGGGGTGAGCTCCCGTTGCTCGGTCCCTGCTCCTGCCAACCTAGCAGTTCAAAAGCACCTCAAAGTGCAAGTAGATAAATAGGTACCGCTCCTGCGGGAAGGTAAACGGTGTTTCCGTGCACTGCTCTGGTTCGCCAGAAAGCGACTTAGTCATGCTGGCCACATGACCCGGAAGCTGTACGCCGGCTCCCTTGGCCAATAAAGCGAGATGAGCGCCGCAACCCCAGAGTTGGTCACGACTGGACCTAATGGTCAGGGGTCCCTTTACTTTCACCTATTCTCACTATTGCCTTGCTTCAAATAGTGAATGAAAACAAATCTGGGCATTTGTAGCTGCCCTGGATTCACAGAATGACACATAGAAGAGATGAAACTGTCTAATGGTATCAACAAGTTGTTCTGAGATGCCAAACCTTGATATCCTTATAATTTGCCACTTGTTCACTCACCTCGGGTAAGCAGTAATTGGCTCTTGCTGAGCACCTATATGCAATGTGCCTTTTCTCTTTCAAATATCTGAAGTTCAAAACCTTAAAAGGGTTTAGTATTGGCTAATTCTTTATGATAGCCCCCCTCCCAATAGCAAAAAATGGGGTGGTCTATACAAGCGTGATTATTCATTTTGTGCTCTCCTGCCTTGAATATTCTGTACAGTATTCAAAATTTCAACACTTGAAAAAAGCCATATGGTGGAAATCCAGGGATGGGTGGAGCTTACAAAGTCATTTTTATCACATACAAAATACTTAGCTTCATTATTCATATTCACTCATACGTGTTTTGCTTCACTCTCTAACCTACTTTCTAAATACCATTACTCTCTCACTTATATGAAGTGGAAACAGACTGCTCAATTTCTATCAGGAATGTAGCAAAAGAGATGGGACAGGACTTTATAATTTCCCCTTTCCTCATGGAATTCTTAGATTACATAAGGGGAGGAATGAAGTTCCTAGTTCTTTCCCCTTCCCTTCCAACTTCACTGGATTTTCCCTTTCTAAAGTTGTATTTACATGCACAACCTTGTCTCTCACAATGAGGTCCGCTATGAAATGAGGCAGAAAATGTTTGATTACTTCACTACAGAAATAGTATAAAGGTAAAGGTACCACTGGCCGTTAGTTGCGGACGACTCTGGGGTTGTGGCGCTCATTTTGCTCTATAGGCTGAGGGAGCTGGTGTTTGTCCACAGACAGCTTCCAGGTCATGTGGCCAGCATGACTAAGTTGCTTCTGGCGAACCCAAGCAGTACACGGAAACGCCGTTTACATTGCTGCTGGAGCGGTACCTATTTATCTACTTGCACTTTGACATGCTTTCGAACTGCTAGGTTGGCAGGAGCAGGGACCAAACAACGGGAGCTCACCCCATCATGGGGATTCGAACTGCTGACCTTCTGATCAGCAAGCCCTAGGCTCTGTGGTTTAACCCACAGCGCAACCCGCGTCCCACAGGAATAGTATAGCCAGGTGAAAAAGTGAAGACCACATTCCTCATGGTGTGTAGAGGCAAATGGAATGATATACTTTCCTTGCATTCTCATTTGTCACAAAATATTTCACTTAAGTGAAGGTGATCATGCCTCCCTCCAATCATTCTAGCCATCAGTCTCCTCACAGCTGCACCTGTTAATTTATAGCTGCCAAAATCATTGGAGACTCATCTAACTCAGACTGAATGAATGCTTTATCCAGAATCCAATTTCTAGTTTAACTCTAAATTTTCCTGACAACCCAGCTTAAATGGTTAAGAAAAGGCAATTAGCAGACCCATTATACCAATGTGTTTTGGTTCGAATTGTTACTGCAGTCACTGCAGAATTCACTTCTCTTGAGTATACTCCTCAGTGCATGAAGTTAAGTACTAACAACAGAATGCGCTGTTGACACCTTCAACATACTTGGTCAATGAATGCATGCACCTGCAGGACCTACCCTCCATACATTCAGTAGAGTGTATTAATAATGCTTTTGTAGGTGCACTGCTGTATAACATAGAAGTCAATTTCCTATCTTGAGGCGAACTGAGTGTGGGGCAAGGGATTGCCTACACCAGGCATGTCTGTTTCGGGGGCCTAAAAAAAAGCTCAACACTCAACAACTTTGGTTGGCCCTTACACATGTTCACTTCATCAAATCTGGCCCTCTTTGAAAAAACTTTGGGCACCCCTGGCCCACACAGGAAATGAGAACAGGGCTATAGTGTTGGCTTATATATGTCCCAGTGTTATCTCATCATTACCACTTTGGCTGAATGCATGAGAAAATAGTTTTCTCTCTTGCCAATGCATGAGAAAATAGTTTAGGGAAAAGTGCATAAATTAAAGGTATTTTTAAAAAGAATCTTGTGTACATTTCTTGATCATTAGCAAAGATAGCAGTAGCATACCTGCTGATTTCACATTCTTACCCATGAAATTTAACTTTTTCTATTATTTATTTATTATTTTAAATATCATACAATGATATATATTATTTATTTTAATCACATTAGATTTGTCAAGAACATTCATTAGGATGTGTAAGGGGAGTGAGATACATGAGATAGTATCAGCCAGTATGGTTTGTTGTTAATTACTATTTGTAAAAGTATTTTTATAAACTTAAAACAAATTTGTTAATATTTAAAAAGGTAACTCCTAAATCCTCAAAACTTGCCAAAATTGAGTAAGGTCATATGTATTTTTGTCCAAATTATCATATCAGTCCCAGAATATGTTGCCTTAATCACAGCAAATACTTCCATCATCATATCAGTTATTGGCAGGTTCTGTTATATAGCTAATAGTAATAAGAAACAAAAAGTCATCCAGGCAGTAGTCCATCAACTGTAGCTGAATGAACTGTAGCAGAACCCTTTTTATCAAACCAGTAAAACCAAAAGAAAAACAAGAGTGCTTATATTAACTAAAGTGGATATTTGATATGTACACGTAAAGCTTAATCCAGTCCTATGATGGGTGTAGCACCTGCATTAGATCCCTATAGGGCAGGGGTGGAAAGTGTCTGGCCTTCCAAGTGCTGATGGACTACAATTCCTATTATCACTGACCACTGGCTATGTTGGCTGGTGCTGATGGGAGTTGGAGTTCAGTAACACATGGAGAGCCACAGGTTCCTCATCCCTGCTTTTGGGCAAAAATAAGACACCTGCCCTCCTGCCTCCCATTTCCATGCACCACAGTTTCCTATTTCTATGGTACCCATGCATACCAAGGGGGGGGGCAGAGGTCTCCTGCTTGTGGGGATTCTTCTGAATAAACACTGCACGCTCCAAGTATGATTAGATCAAACCATTGCTTTATTCTGTATTTTTATCCGTAGGAAATTAATGAGCATTTAAACTTCATTTCTACACTAAACCATAATCCAATTACATATCAGTATTGTATCACTGCTTGTCAGAATATTTTGAATGTGTTTGACCTAGTATTGTCAATGCTCAGTTTGACAGAAAGCTTAAAACTTATACAAGACACTGACATTTTTTCCTTGAAAAAGTCCTCTCCAAAGCAAATTACTTTTGTTTTAAAGCAAGGCTCTGCCCTTTTATTTCCCAACCACCACCCACTCTTCCAAATAAACAAGTGAGACAATGTTTCATAGGAATTTTAATTGTTTCCATAACTCTCATTGTCTGCCAAAAACCACTTAATATGAGATAGCTGAGGGAGGACACACAAATACGTGCACGTAATTGTGTAATGAATGAAAGAACATGAGGAGTTTCAAACTTCTGCTTCAGTTAATCTTAGTTTGAGAAGAAAAATAGACACAAAAAAATGTGGAGCATCATTTTAGATGCTCATCCCTGGACTCATATTCAGAATGTCAAATGCTGGTGGTCAAGATGCTTTGGCAGGGCGGTAAAGTAGTGTGGGACTGAAATAGAGTTGTGGATTATCTTAGACTTGTTACCCTGAGACAGCATCCTCTAGAGTCAATATTCCTATTAGATTAGCCTACAAAATAATAGACTCTGAAAGGTAGTCAGGTTATGGCAAGTGTGAGGGAAATAGAATATTTAATATTAAAATAAAATATGTAAGAAATTAAAACCATGCTCAAAATAAAATACTAAACACATACAAAATCATCAGTTTAGCCAATCTAGGACAACATTGCTTCCAGATTCCCAAGAGGTAAAACTCCTGTTTATCGATACACATCCCAAGTACAGCCGTTTCTTCTAAGGCAACATTTACTTAGTATTTTGAGAGTCCTGTTCTATGTGTTGTGTACTGAAGGTCACACTGAACTCAATTGGCTTACATCCAAGTAAGCATGCACTGAGTTGCAACATAAAGCTCAATATAGACCACCCTATTTTGGTGGTACTTCCTCATCATCACCACAATTCCCTACAGTCTTCTTTCTCACTGAAACATTAACTTCAGTGTTTTTAAAAGCCTATTCTCTATTATTTTTCAGTCATGCCACTGTGGTAATTCTTGCTTTCTACCTTTTTTCTGTACTTTTCCACTGAAGTATATAAGCTGGGGAGAACAAAGATGGTGAGGATAAATAGGGATAGGGAGTGACGACACAGTAAGCTCCTCTAGGTGGTGTGAAGCACTATCAAGTCCTTAAGAGTTTTAATGTTTTTCATAGAATCATAGAGTTGGAAGAGACCACAAGGGCCATCGAGTCCAACCCCCTGCCAAGCTTGTAGCTCCTTGGTGGACAGTGGTGTTTGGTCGATACAGTGGCTAAGAATGGACTGAATGAAACTTTCCTCAAAACACTTAGCATTTGCTTCTAAATTTGTCTGCTGATAGCCATGCGATTGCAGAGCTTGGCAGGGATGGACAACAAGCAACCCAGAGTGCAGAATCAGACAATCAGGCCATACTTGCAGGCACTCCTGCTACATTCTAGGTACTAGATGACTTCAACAGTGATATAAAGCCACATGATTTAGACACAGGCAGGAAGCTACAGGTACCTTGCCATAAACAAATAGCCAATGAAATAGGAAACCAGCAGGCTGAGTCTTGGGTGAGTAGCACTGAGGCCACTCTTCAAGTGTATGGAGTCTGCTACAAAGTGGCTTCTTTAATTTCCACCACTGTAACCAAGGAATTTATTCCAATAAACTAAGAAATATGTGAGTGGAGACAAAGTACTGTTAACACTGCAGTTTGCCTCTGGGCATTAACAGTAAACCTGTAGGTTAACTATCATACCTTTCAAATGTTAGAAGTTGTTCTTGAATGCAGTTGATGATTTGTGATATGACAAAAGAGCAAGATTTGACAAGATTCTGACAAAACAGCAATTCTGATCATTATTAAAATATGTACTTTTCTGTCTAAATCAACCTTTTGGAATTTATCTCAATGTTACCAATGGTTAAAAGCAATTAAAAAAAACAGTCAGCTTTGTAGGCGGTTATTTTCCTTAATTGCAGGGGAGTAAGCTTGACACGCTAGAGGTTCTTAATTTTTAAAGTGTTGCAAACATAGACGGAGTCTTAATTTTTTCCAAAATAATTGCATATCTCATATTGAGCTTTCAAAATTAGTATGTTTGCAGGAGGTACAGCGGTACCTCGGGTTAAGTACTTAATTCGTTCCAGAGGTCCGTTCTTAACCTGAAACTGTTCTTAACCTGAAGCACCACTTTAGCTAATGGGGCCTCCTGCCGCCGCCGCACCACCAGAGCACGATTTCTGTTCTCATCCTGAAGCAAAGTTCTTAACCTGAAGCACTATTTCTGAGTTAGTGGAGTCTGTAACCTGAAGCATATGTAACCTGAAGCGTATTTAACCCGAGGTACCACTGTATTTAAATCCAAATGTATCTATAATATTTGTAACTTTAGACTACTACTGCTGGAAATGTCCATGCTGCTTTCAGGTCTAAAAACTTGCCTTTCACAGCTGCAAAGGAAATGACAAGAGAAGAAAAACACAGGCAGCAGAGATCAGCAATTAATTCCATCCACAATTGGCCAGATGTTTGCTCAAGGAGGAATCAGTCTGTTTCCTTTAGGGGCTGTTGCCACTGAAAACTGATCTTGTGCTTTCAGAGACACAAACTGTTTGTAACATGTTAGGAATGCATACTGGATCACATAGAGATGAAGAAATAAAATCCAGATCGGGCTGTCTGCAGCGTGTGTTGCATATCTCGACTAAGAGGATCAAGTTATTCTATCCCCTCCCTTCCCCCACTCTCTTGATAACAATGGACAACTGCCAGCTCAGTCAGGTTAAGTACCCAGAGTGGACGCAGTTGTGCTTTACTGGCAAAAGATAGGTGAAACATTCTTAGGGCTCTATCTTTTGTGGCATGTTAAAGTCATCCAAGGCATTATGTATTTTAGGAGGTGCTTGCCAAACAAACAGAATCAATGGCACACACTATTACTTGTGCTAGCTGGTTTCATGAAACAACTTTGAACAGCGCAACATATCTGGGCAGGAAAAACACAAAGTAAATTTTAGTTGTCGGTGGTATGCTAAACATATAACTAACTACAGGAGATTTCCACATTCTGTATTCCTACACTGTGACATAAAAGCAGAAGCTTATCCAGAAAAACAGGTAAAGCGAAGCGTGTGCATTTTACCAAATAGCACACCACCCCCTAGTAGCTGCTGGCAGCCATTCAACCCACAATTTCTCACATGCATTGCATCTTACAAGAACATGCATTTAACATGCCCCCACTCAGATTGCTATCCCACATAGGTCTTCAGTTAATGATTAAAATAAACCCATGCATACAGTTGTTCAAAGGCAGTGTACTGTCCAATTCATATGCTCCTGAACTTCAGTTATTCATAGTCAATCAATCCATGTCCTAAATATACTCAGATTAAACAATACCATATCTGCTTTTGGTTATACAAACTCTGAAGATGAGGTGCTGCATTCTGCACTCTCTCTTAAGTGAAAAAATGCTTCTGCTATCTTGCCAGCTCAAATTAGCACAAACAAATACTACAGCACATGCCAGACCTATGCCAAAATGAATCACAGAGCAATACATATGCTTTGTATATTTAAATAGTACAGGTGTCTGTCGATGCCAATGTTACGTGGTACTTAAGTGAGGAAGAAATATGGGATCAACTCACAATCAAGAGGTGTTTGTGGTTAGTGTTCTAAGTAAGGTATTTGGTTAGCACTCAAGGAGTTTTAAACTGTTTTTAAAAGCTTTCAGTGAATTGTTTTAGTAGTGATATGTTTAATCCTTTTGAGAAAGGTGCAATATATAATAAATAATAATAATAGTGCGCACTTCACACGATCAGGTGCACCTGATTTAAAAGCCCAGATATTTGAAGGTATGTTTTACCTTAGTAATAGAACAGCTAGCTGTTTAATACATATGTCCCTTGTCAGTATGAACACAAACCTTTAAATAGCCGTGCAAACTGATCATTCTGATTAATGGTATCTCTTCTCTAGAATAGATAATGGATTTCAGTATTCCTCTTGCGGCTGCTAATTGCCTTTCTGAAGTGTACATCAAAGCAGGAAGCTGCATTCATCACCCTACTTTAGGTTTTAAAAGTTTCTAATATTTCAGAAGAAACATTAGCCATGTTTGCCCATAACAATAAGCTGGACTTTTGGGCTTTATTGTAGTTTATTTTGAATGAGCAACATCCCGGTACCCAATTGCTTGCACTTCACTCCTCCCCTGGTGTGAGTGGCTCTCCATTACCACTAAACTAATAAGCCACAATCACTAGCCAGCCTTAATCAATGGTTTGTTGGCATGCTGATTTTTGGCTTGTTGGGAAGCAACAAACCATGACCCCTGGGTTTGGATGAAATGGAAAGCCAAGGCTTCCTGCTTAGTGCTGGGGGAGAGCAAAGCAGGAGCAATTAGGCAGCATGGCTTATCACTGCATGTGCGCACAGCTTGTAACTTCTAAGTACATTCTGTAGGATTGAGATTCCTCCCCTCCTGCACCTCCGAATCCCTGCTATTCATATTTATTTACTTGGAATCCTCCTCAGCCTGAAAGGCCTCAAGGGTAACTAACAATCGAAAAGATACAAAATAGAAACACAATAAATTAACTATTAAAACAGTGTAACTGCATACTTATAAACCAAGCCAAAACCAGTATCAAACTCAGTTTAAAAAACCAAGCTAAAACACTAAGATCAAAAAGCCTGTGAAAAGAAAAATATATCCACCTGTTGCCGAAATATGACTTTAGATCAGTGCCAGATGAACCTCTGTGGAAATGTATTGCAAAGACAGGGTGGCACACCTGAAAAGGCTCTGGTCACTACCCATCTTAATTCTAAAGGTCTCAGATGAAGACCTCAATTTCTGGGCATTTTCATGTGGGAACAGGTGGTCTTTAAAATAGAAATGGCTGCAAATGCTTTCTGACTTTTAAGGAAGTTATGAGAGATGCACATTTTATAGCTGATCCATTTCTTAACACTAACTGCTGCTGACTCAGCAGCAGAAGGCTTACTCAGATCAATTTCCTAGACTGTTATCTTGTTTTCCTTAAGAAATTCCTATCTGCAGCCTGCTAATTGACTCTGGACTCTGGGAACCTAAATATACACAAGTTTTCTCTGTACATGCAAGCAGTAGTGAACTTCCTTAGGTATGGATTCATGTTGACAAAACAATGAAGGTCTGGCAGTTATCCATTAACATACTCCCCCAAGAGGATGGGGAGAGAGAGGACAAGTGGTCTTGACATTATTAGCAAATTAAGGCAGTGAAATTAATTCAGTGGTGTGAGTTGAGTCTTCTAGCTTCAATTTATTCCACACTGGAGAGCCATGCTATTAGTTTGATATGGGCCATTGGAGCTATTGGTGTGTAGTCTCTTGTTGAATTGTGGCAGGGTATGCAGCTGGTTCCTACTCAGGATATCTTCCACTTTACTTAGTGCACATTATATAATTTGTGTTTGATGTATCTGAGCTAATGGAACAGACAAGTTGTTTCATATTTTGTCTACATAGTTTTGTTTTTGTATATATATGCAAAATGGTTTAAATCCATAATCTTATAATATGAAGCTCAAAGCCACTTTGCTCATTCCCATTACTGCTGTAAAGAGGGAGACCCTGTGCTGAAATCACAGTTGATGTTGGTTCTAATATCCCTGCAGACTAAATCACTAAGTGACAGCTCCCAGCATCATCATACAGTAAAGATGTTGAACAACATGGGGTATAACACTGAGCTCTGTAGGACTCCATAGCATAAACATCAAGTTGTTGTTGTTGTTGTTGTTGTTTAGTCGTGTCCGACTCTTCGTGACCCCATGGACCAGAGCACGCCAGGCACTTCTGTCTTCCACTGCCTCCCACAGTTTGGTCAAACTCATGCTGGTAGCTTCGAGAACACTATCCAACCATCTTGTCCTCTGTCTCCTTGTGCCCTCCATCTTTCCCAACATCAGGGTCTTTTCCAGGGAGTCTTCTCTTTTCATGAGGTGGCCAAAGTATTGGAGCCTCAGCTTCACGATCTGTCCTTCCAGTGAGCACTCAGGGCTGATTTCCTTCAGAATGGATAGGTTTGATCTTCTTGCAGTCCATGGGACTCTCCAGAGTCTCCTCCAGCACCATAATTCAAAAGCATCAATTCTTCGGCGATCAGCCTTCTTTATGGTCCAGCTCTCACTTCCATACATCACTACTGGGAAAACCATAGATTTTACTATACAGACCTTTGATGTCAAGGTGATGTCTCTACTTTTCAATATGCTGTCTAGGTTTGTCATTGCTTTTCTCCCAAGAAGCAGGCGTCTTTTAATTTCGTGGCTGCTGTCACCATCTGCAGTGATGATGGAGCCCAAGAAAGTAAAATCTCTCGCTGCCTCCCTTCTAAACGTCATAGGTTCAAGTAATAGTCTGCAATAATAGTCCACTGATCCAAGAATCCTAACACACAAATTTTCTATGGGCTTACTAAGAGTTTACTAAACTTGACAAGACACACTTTACACAAACTTTAGAGAGGTGGGAAGGATGAGCTATAGGAAAAGAAATAAGATATGTTGATATGGTTAAGTGTCAGGATAAAACAGTAGCTCTGGAGTCATTATGAGTTATTCTAGAATGGGAGGCCATGAGTAAGGGATTGGGATCATACTGAAGACAAAGATGAGCATAGCTGAGCTATTCAAAAGTAAAGGTAAAGGGACCCCTGACCATTAGGTCCAGTCGTGGCCGACTCTGGGGCTGCGGCGCTCATCTCGCTTTATTGGCCGAGGGAGCTGGCGTACAGCTTCCGGGTCATGTGGCCAGCATGACTAAGCCGCTTCTGGCGAACCAGAGCAGCTCACAGAAACGCCGTTTACCTTCCTGCCGGAGCGATACCTATTTATCTACTTGCACTTTGACATGCTTTCGAACTGCTAGGTTGGCAGGGTCAGGAACCGAGCAACAGGAGCTCACCCCATCACGGGGATTCAAACTGCCAACCTTCTGATCGGCAAATTCTAGGCTCTGTGGTTTAACCCACAGCGTCACCCGCGTCAAAAGTAGTACAGGGCTATTATTCCTAAACAGTCACCCACTCATGACACTAACCTGGAATCACTGAGATCTTTAGTTAAGCCTAAGTTTATTGCCATAAAAACACTCAAAATACATAATGTCATTCTTTTACAACATGTAACCAGTTCATCTAACATTTTGACCCTTTTTTCAGTGACCACAAGGGTATTACAAGAAATGTGCACATGCCTACACCTAAGCTGCAAATGCAGGTGGAATGTTTGCTCTCCTTTTAAAAATGGTAACGGGTAAGGGTACACAATTTTGGAAAAAAGGAAATAATAAATAGGTGGACAGGTCTTGCCTGACCAGCTAGTCAAAATATGTTTGTAAAGGCAAATAAACTGACCTATACTGGATCAGAAGCACTGTGCCCCAAAATGGTTGTTTATTTATTCGATTCAATTTATGAATCACTTTCAATAAAATATCTCAGAGATTTCACAATAAAAATGTCAACAATTAAAACAATTACATGTGCCAAAGCAATAAAAATAATTCCATATATAAAACACTTAGTGGTGCACCCAAGGTTTCACTATCAGTTCAGCTTAATTTATTTCCAAACTCTGATATAGACAGCATAAAACCAGACATAAAGGAAATGGGATGAAAAAAACTGCAACTTGTCAGAGGAAAAACCTCAGCAACTGTGAGGCATCCAGCGGTGACTAAATCCAAAGAATAAAGCTTACAAAAATGACATCAGTTTCAGCTGGCATGCCAATATACTTCACTAGCACAAATAATAAAGTTCTTAATAACATACCATTTTTTTAAAGCCAGTTTTTGCCACATGCATATTTCAAATCCTCATGTTATTAAAACTGCACAATGAGGTTGATAAAATTGCTTGAGAATATATTTATACAGTCTCTTTTTGGAATATGTTTGCAATAGATATGTTTGCAATAAAAGTATATCAAAATGTTGTGAAGGACAAAAATGACATCTATTGACGATTTACAACTCTGCTGGTTAAAAAGTGAAGGCTTGTGGGATAAAAGTTTGTTTCCCAACGGTTACTTTTCATTTCAACGTTCCAACAAGTTTATAAAAACAAGAGAGAACCTATTGTTTTAAGTTTGTCTGAGTTGGTTACTTCTAAGATAGCAAAGCAGGAGGCAAGAGCTTAGAATTAAGTGCTGCAACATTAGGGTGAATATTTTCTTACAATCCTTTATTCTAGTTTATTTCAAACCTAAATTGAGAATTCTTGTATAACAGCAGAATATAACTGCCCCCCAACCCGGTCACTTGCAAAACTAAAGAAAGATTTCATGAAAAGGTTCAGAAAAAAAAACATGTCTCAGAAACTAAACATGCAATTCTCTTAAACCTGAACCACCCTACAACTGAACGTGCAAGGGAAAGAACAGATTGTGATGCTTACCTTAAATGAGGCCCCTAGAACTGAACTGGAAAACACCATCCATGTTGGGGGAGAGAGGAGAAAAACAGCAACATTTCAACTCCCACCAGAACTTACTCCTGCATAATTTCTTTTAAAAGCCTTAGCCAAGTTTTTCTTACCCATAAGTGCAATCAAGAACTTTACATTAACCTTCTCCTTTTTGTGTTGTATGAAACCACTTTATCTCATAGCCCAGGAATCTGACAGGGAAAGCGATATGGAAATTTATCTGCTGCCAGAAAACGGCCTTCATGCTTGCGTATGGTACTGGAAAGAGGAGGGACCGTTGGGCAGATAAGGAAGAGCATTTTAACACTCTGCAGACGCTGTAAGTAAAATAACAGCTACTTGATATATTTTAAAACACAAGATTTGTTTTCAAAAGGTATTCCTTAAGATACTTTCTAGGCAAATTCATTAATCTGCCCAGAAAGCATCTTTAGGAAACTCCCTATTTAGATACTTGTGAGGTAATAAGATTGTACAAAGTCATGTGGAGTTAAGAGTCAGTTAAGAGTTAAGAGTCAACTCGGTATATTTGTCATCAAACAAATGTAGATTGCCGTATTTTTCGCTCTACAACACGCACCTGACCATAACACGCACGTAGTTTTTAGAGGAGGAAAACAAGAAATAAAATATTCTAAACGAAACAGTGGATGTATGATTTTTGTGGTTCATGCTGTGGCCACAGACGTGATCTGACGGTGAGTTTGGGGTAGCCCAATGCAAAAATCCTGAGGATCCATGGATCCATGCTTTGTAACCACGTGTTTGCGCCATTGCAGCCCCATGAAACAGTGGGTGCGTGTGTGTTTTTTGGTGCAGGCTGTAGCCATGGATATGCTATGTGATCTGATGGTGAACGTGGGGTGACCCAGTGCAAAAATCCTGAGGATCCATGTGGATCCGTGCTTTGTAACCACGTTTTAAATGGGGAGGGAAGGAAAAGCATTCAAGGGACAAGGAGCACGCGTGGGGTGTGTGGAGAAGGATGCTGCTAATAATGCAGAAGAGGGGTTTAAGGGGAGAAGGAACACGCGTGGGGTGTGTGGAGAAGGATGCTGCTAATAATGCAGAAGAGGGGTTTAAGGGGAGAAGGAACACGCGTGGGGTGTGTGGAGAAGGATGCTGCTAATAATGCAGAAGAGGGGTTTAAGGGGAGAAGGAACACGCGTGGGGTGTGTGGAGAAGGATGCTGCTAATGATGCAGAAGAGGAGTTTAAGGGGAGAAGGAACACGCATGGGGTGTGTGGAGAAGGATGCTGCTAATGATGCAGGAGAGGGGTTTAAGGGGAGAAGGAGCTCGCGTGGGGTGTGTGGAAAAGGAGCTTTTCGGCAAGCTGAGCGGGGAGGGGGGAGGGAAAGAGCACTGTTGCTTTAAAGGAGCCAACCAGACAGCAGCCACTTACAGCAGTGTAAGCAGCTCCTTTCCTCTCCCGCTTTGCTCCTTCTCTCCCTCTTTGCTGCTTTATGCAGCTAATGGCGAATCCCCTGCAACCCAAGTCCTGCTCAGCGGATCAGCTGAGACGCTGGGAGAATCGTAATTTTCCCCTCTCCCTCATCCCGTGCCCTCCTGTCCCCAGCAGCCTTTTTAAAAACATTTTTTACTGGTTTTCACTGAGCTCGTGGCTCAGAGCCCTCCTGTGCCCTGCCGTCCCTCTGCAGCCTCATTGCTCCGTTTAGAGAGCACACGGACCTTCCGGCTCCCGTCTGTCCCTCCTCCCGTGTAAGCGGCTGCTGCCCGCTTTGCTGCCATGGCTCTCCTTCCCTTCCTCCTCCCCGGCTCCTCCCCCTCCTCCTGGCTGTAAAGCAAGCAAAGCTAGAGCCGCGCAAAGCGGGACAGAAGCCCTGCAAGCGGCTCCCGCTTTGCTTGACTGACAGCAGCCATGGCTCCGGTCGAGTGCATTCACTCCGTAACACGCACAGGCATTTTCCCTTACTTTCTAGGAGCAAAAAAAGTGCGTGTTTTGGAGCGAAAATTACGGTAACCTAATTAAATTTTGCAGGCTGGCTCGTAGTAAGCCTCATGGACAGGGATGTTGACAATTTGAATCTGTGTCAAAAAGTTCATATTCTGGTGCAGGAAAAGTTATGCAAACACAGTTGAGGGCAGTGGCTATGTATTTCCTTATTTTAGTCCTACCTTGCATTCTGTAGTCCTGTATGTCTTCCTTTAAAACATAGGTTCAAGCTATGTTAGTCAAAAATGGAATACAAAAAACTTTTGGAATAATGAACGTAACACAACAGAGATGGTATATAGGTTGAGGCAAGAACAAACCTATCTTTATAGAAGGGTCCTAATAGTGTTACTCTGCCAATGTTCTTGTTCAGCTGACGAGTTAGCTTTTCTATGGTAACTGAAAATGGCAAATCCTCATTTTACTGGTATTAGGATTTATATGGATTTTTAGCCTGCCCCATTATAAAAGCTCAGGACAGATTTGAAAACAAATACCTTCTCCAACAAAATGGATTAAAAACAGACAACAGAACTGAAGTTTGATACACTAAGGCAGCATTTCCCAACCTTGGGCCTCCAGCTGTTTTTGGACAACAACTCCCATAATCCTCAGCTAGCAAGACCAGTGGTCAGGGATGATGGGAATTGTAGTTCGAAAACAGCTGGAGGCCCAAAGGTTGGGAAACACTGCACTAAGGGATTCTGCTGTGAACATTTCTCTCTATTTTCTGTTATAAGTGCCTACCTATTATTTTGAAGAACTGAACAAGCATTTTAAGAGTACAGAAGCAAGAACACAGCAGGTGAACCCAAGTTAACACCAGCGCTTTGTAAACTCCCAAAGAGCTTCTTGGCAGTTGTTTCAATGAGCTCCAAAATGCAATGTAATAAAATTATTATTACTATTATTATTACAGGAGGTAGAGGGGCTGCACTGCATTAACATTCCCCCTCTACCTCCTGGTTTGCAGCAGCAGCAAGAACAACAACGGTATGTGAGCACTGATAAGCACTGCTGGCTTTCATCATTTCCAAAACTTTAATTTAATTTGTTCAGATGGAGTGTTAAGGTCATTACTGTGCAGGATGCAAGTAAACACTATTTTAATCTACAAATGTCATGAATTCACACTCCTTCTTAAGTTAATTTTTAACTGGGAACTACCACGTTGCTTGAAGATAATATTCACATATTGTTTGCACTAGCATCTGGGCAGCATTCCAATATGTCATCATTTTAGTAAAAACTATAGTTTGATATATTAGCACAATCAGCAATGAAGAGTGGCTGGGAAAGAGAGAAGAGACACAAAGCCATTTCCTTGCATGTTACAGCGCACAGTTGTGAACACTCAGGCAAAAGAGGGACTATCTTACTAAAGAGTTTCCTGTGATCAACAGGAAAAAGAAGTTACAGGAAAAAAGAAGCTACAGTGAAAACAGTACTTCTTTCCTTTCCAGAGTAGATAACACCATTAGCACATCCTGTTTTTACTGTGGTATCTGAAGTAAAATAAAGCAAATCATAGGAATCCTATATAACTGTAGCAAATATATAGCAAGCATACCTTGGGACAGTATGATACTTAAGAGTGTTGGACTAGTACTGGGTAGATTTGGGTTCTGATCCCTATTCTGCTATGATGATCCCTGAGTGATCTTGGACCAGTCATTATATCATAGGATTGTTATGAGAACAAACAGGCAGAGCACAGAGAATGATGTGTGTTGCTTTGAGACTGCTGGTGGAAGGGTAGGATATCAAAGCAAACCAACAATATAGGAGAGAAAAAATACCATTGCTATTCACAAGTAATAATTCAAGATCCCACACATCGCAGAATCAGTTCTAAAAATCTCTAATGAATATCTGTCAAGAGAGTGCCATAAGATTTCTGACTGGGATTTGATGAAAGATTTAGAAGACTCAAAAGAAGGCAACCCAGACATCCAATTAGGGGGGAAAAGGATCCAATGGAAAACAGAACTTATCTGAAGGTTCTTTCACTTCACTTGAAGGTACTTAAGTTCTACCTCTTAATCATAAACCGAGTTCCACATACAACAGATTCTGATTCCCACATCACAATTTTGAGCACTTTAACACACAGTACTGTTTTCCAACTTTTTGTCTAAATGTTCAACAATGTCCTTTGAAGTTCTGATAATATTTGGCTAAGATAAGAATGAAGAACAAAATATTAGATTTCGACTTCTATTAGCCCTAGCCAAGATAGTCAATAGTCAGGGATAATGACAGCTGGTCCAACAATATATGGAGAGCCAGAATCCTCATCTCTTGCTTAAGAGGACCAGAAGTTCTAGCTTTAAGATAGCATTAATACTTCAACCTGATTCCATTCTGTTCCTTCCCTGGATGTTCCAAAAAGTACCATTAACATCCCTGTGTATCTGAATTGCTGGTTTATTTAGGCCTAGTTCCTGCTCCTCCTCTTTCTCACACTCCTCTTGCTCATGCTAATCCCCTTCCACTTTTCTCACTTACTTTTTGTTTTGTTTTAACAATGCATTAGTGGTGGCAGCACTGGTGGTCTCTCTCTTTCCCCTCCCTACCTTGCTCAGAGGAAATGCCAAGTGGATTGTCCCTCAGAGCCCAGTCTTCTGAATACATTGGCCAGGAACCCCTGTGCTGCCACCACTTTGCTGCAGGCGCTGGACATTCTGTGTAAATCTAGTTAGTTACGAGTTTAAAAACAGAGCTAGGCAAGAAAGAGGAGAAGGTGGAAGAGCTCACTGGAGCCTCACTGGGTGGGTGGCCCGCAAGCAAGCCAGCAAGCAGAGAGCCCAGAGGACACCCATTCACTGTCCACGCTTCCAGAGACAATTGTCTCAGCTTGGCTCGTGGAAGTGCTGGCCCTGTGTTTATTTATTCATTCTAAGTGTTTATATTCCCACGCTAGCAAAAATTCACAGGGCAGCTTGCAAATCAAAATACCAGACAATTTAAAAGACATACATCAAACAGAACCAATATTAACATGCAATAGCAGCATACAATCATTTGGCAGGGATTTAAAAACTAGATTGGACCTTAAAAGATTTAAAAGCATGAGAGAAATAAAATGATTTCTGTCTTGTGCCAAAATGATATCAAGTTCAAGCTACTCTGGGGACATGGTTTTAAAGATGCAGGGGGCACCACTGAAAAGGTCCTCTGTGATAATCTTTTGCTATATCCCACCTGTGGTGGCATCAGAGGAGGATTTAAGATGGTGGTCTTATTGGATAGGCATAAATGGAGACAAGTAATATCTAAACTATGGACAGCACACAGACCAGGGGCTCCAAATCATTTTCCTAGTTGCCACTTCACATATTACACATTTCTAAAACAGACCTCAGATTCAAGCAAAAAATGACATGCAGTTTTCCATGTGCACAAACTATGCAGAGCCTGTGTTCATACTGTAAAAGACACATGCACAAATGCACCAGTGACACATAAGGATGTTCACACAGGATATATGCTGTTTCCTACACAGACAATTGTGTTGAAAATGTGTTGTGCTCAGCTACAGAATTTTATTTTTGTTCAGAAGCTAAGTGTTCCAACTTCTGATCTAAAGTGAAAGCTTACTAGATATTTGGGTTTTACTGCCCTTAATATTTGCTGTGATTTTTTTGCTAACAAGCTCAACCAAGGTTGTGGAAACCAAATGACAAGTCCTGACTCAACATTTGAGAAACATTAATTCAAACAAATCTTGGATAATTGTCATGTATATGAAGACTTCTGTAGTCATACAGGTGAGGGGATAGTTCTCAGATTGCCTCCTTCCACACTGGTTTGCTAGGTAGGTTCAGATAAATTGACAGGCGGAAGAAAGTAACCATTTGCTGTTTGGAGACAGTTGTGTGTTACTTATCAGTTTCAGTTCCAGGGTGACAATTCCCATCAGATTCCTCTTCCTTTGGGATATGGGAAATTCGCCTTTGAAATCTTTTTAGGGAATGAGCCATGACAGCTGGAGAGAAAGTGTCATGGACAACTGACAAACTGCTGCATAGCTGGGACAAGTCATATGCATGAACAGATTTTACCCAGGTGAATTGGAGAGTTCTACAAATAGTAAATTGGACTGAATTCAGTCTACACTCAGCCTCTGACAGGTTACCCCTGAGGGAAAGTAATCCTAAAGAGAAAGTAGGTTGCTCACCCTTTGACTAGGGCAAAGCCAAGGTCATGTAATTATGTAACAAAGAGAATAATAATTCCCACGCACCCCCAATAATCAGGTAGGGTATACCTGATTTGCTTTTCTGGCAAATCATCAGCTAAAATTTGACAACAGAAAACAACCTATGCAGTTGACTGAAATTCATACACCACCACCCCAGCCATTGGTTCAGCTGCTTATGCATTATGAACTGTTTTATTAACTGCTCAGAAGTTTTAAAATTTGTAGACACACAATGTCTAGTGACAGATGGTTAGTAGAAAGGGGTGCAGAGAAGAGAAGAGGCAGCACTATCAACAGTTATCTGTTCTACTGAGTTACTGTGCTTGGGTAAAAAGACGGAGATAAATAAGGTATAGCAAAAATAAAAAATAGCAGCAACGTCAATTATGTTAACAATATCCATATGAGTTGGGAAAAGCACTGGAGCCAGATGGACTTACTGCAATTTATTATTAAAAGTTTCAGGATGCACTTATAGAACCACTTAAGGACACCATTAACAGAATTCTGGTGATGGGAGTACCAGCTTCATGGAAAGACGCATTCATTACTCTGATCCCCAAACAATACAGTGACTTAACATAGACTAAAAATTACAGACCTATTTCATTATTGAACTGTGACTATAAACTATTTGCTACAATCCTGGCTATTAGACTGAAAACGACATGTGACTCAAGGCCAGGTTTTTACCAGGTCGACAAATGAAAGACAATGTAAGAAATGTAATCAATTTAATAAAGTACCTAGAAGTAAGAAACAGGCTGTGTTAAATCTTTCTAGATGCAGAGAAAGCTTTTGACAATAGTTCATGATTATTTATGATTAAGGTTTTAGAGAAAATGGAAATAGGTAAGCCTTTCCTAGCAGGAGTTAACGCAATCTATACTGATCAATCTGCAAATATATTAGTAAACAATATTCTTTCAGACCAATGCCAAGTAGAAAAAGGAACGAGACAAGGCTGTCCCCATCTCCACTGTTTCTTATGAGTTTGAAATATTGCTTCAGAATATAAGGTGAAATAGGGAAATTAAAGGTATTGAGGTGGGACGTAGAATCTATAAATTAAGGGGATTTGCTGAAGATGTGTTGTTGACATTAGGACAACCTTTAGAGAGTGTTCCCAAAGCATTAGAAAAATTAAAAGCTTTGGAGAAGAGCAATAGTGTGAGAGCAAGAAGAACATATAATTAAAGAAGAGTGGAAAACGTTTATTGTATATATGGAAAATAACTGTACTCAGCTGAAAACGCTGGCAGCATTAAGTTAAATTAAACACTGTAAATAATATTTGAGCGATTTAAAAGTGGAAAACTGATTTGAATGGTTATAGTAAAATATGCAGGAATGTATGATATGAAGAATGAACCATGGAAGGAGAAGAATGGAAGTCACTGGATCTTTTAAAGTTTCCAAAAAAAAAAATTGAAATGTAAAATTGAAAACTTAATAAATTATGGAAAAAAACCCCAGCAATATCCATATAGAGTTGGCGTTAAATTCACCAATAATTTTCAGAAGTACTATCAATCTTTGTTAATGGTACAATCTTATTCTTAATCATCCAGCAAAAAAATAAATATTCATTTTCTTGCTATTAATTTCCACAAAATCACATTTGTTACCTGGATGTTATTTTCACAGTTCTCTCTCCCTTCTGACCTGCAAACAAAAATAAAGCAAAGCATGTCAGCTCCAGACAGAACTTGCACAGATTGTAAATTTCAGTATAACTTTACCTGAGCACATACAGCCACTCAAAAACACTGTATTTGTTGACTTATTTTTTTTTTTAAAAAACCAACTAAGTGTTCAGGAAACTGAACTCAACTCCTCTGGTTCCTCAAAATTGGCTGCAAGAGGGATGGACAACTGAAATCAAAAGGACTTCAGCATGTTTAACAATATAATGGATTCTAGCCAATGTTTATATGAAGCTTGTTTTTTATGAATCTTTGATTACAAATCAAAATTGCTCTTAGAAAGTAAGGTTAGATAGTGCCTAACTGGACATTCAAAAAGCACCGTAAAATCAGTTTGCCATCGAGTTCTAATTGCCAATACTTCTCAAATCAAATTAGCAGGACACCAAGATAGCAATCTCCTCTCCTCCTGAAGTTTTTCATAAACTGCAAAGAACCCTGAGGAGGAAACAGTCGAATCTCTCACCATTCTGACTTTGCAGAAGGCAGAAGCAGCACAACAGGTTTGTACGGTTTCTGCAAATGGCCTGTCCAAAGAGAAGCAAAGTCCAACCCCTCCCATTCATTTTATAGCACATGCAGAGAACGGTACTTTTGCAGGCTTCGTCCTGGTGGCCGCCATTTACCCCCACAAAATATCCTGGCCATAGCATTCATTCTGACACAGTCTGTGGAAAATTGTGTCCAGCCCCACTCACAGTCCTCCCCGCTCCCGTCACAGAACGATACAGCGTAGAGGGAAATAGCAATTACCATGAAGCAACCCGAAATAAAATCTCTGCTGCCACCTGTACTGATTTAAGCTTTAAAAATAAAAATGACATTGGGTGGGATCCAACTATTGAGTCCTGTCAGTGGATGCCCACACAAGGACTTGCACAAAAGGAATTTTCCCTGCATGCCCCTGAAATTGGCGGGGGTGGGTGGGTTCAGGAGATTCCCCAGAACAGTACACAAGAGGAGGGTGGATCAAGCTGTCAGTGGTCTAGCTGAAATGCTTGCTCTGATGGAACACTTGACATAGTGTAATGTTGAATTTCTTTCACTACAAAACAGAATGCATGCACCAATTTTTGAAGACTTACCGTAGGTGCCTTACAAATATCCAGAAATACCCAAATTTGCCGCCAGAGAATGGTACGCGAAATCTGGGCACTATTTTTGATTCATTTTTTCTTAACACCATTATCAGGCAAAGAACAGCAAAAATGGTTTGGGTCCTAGCCATGGAGCAGGAGAAAGCAAGCTTGCTCCATAAGCGACAACCATTTAGAATTTGAAGATTGCTTTCATATCTTCTCTCAGTCTCCTCTTTACCAAGCTAAGCATACTCAATTCCCTCAACAGTTCCCCATAAGACTTGGTTTCCAGACCCTTTATCATCTTGGTCACCCTCCTCTGCACGCCACAAGCTTTCAATACGCTTAAATTGTGGTGCCCCGAACTGGACAGAGTGTTCTCACTGTCTCTAACGTACAAAAGTAACCATGTATCAAAGGAGTCACAGTACAGTACATTCAAAGTTGCACGGCATGCTTTTTTCTGAAGTAAAAAATATTCTCTCACAGTTATTAGCTTATTAGTTTGATGAAATTAAGGGAAGCCACTCTGGTACAATTCATGACCTTGGTTTCTAAAAATAAAGATAAAACTAGAATATGTTAACAAAGCTTGAGGTTGCATACTTATGGCTTAGAAACTAGATTTCTGTGTTTTCTACTTCACTTCCAACTCCCACCCCCAAGGCATCAAAGGATTTAGAAAAGAGATCCTTAGGGAAATAATTGGGAATTTTTATAGCATGATATTTCCTTATACCACAGGCCACAGGAATGCAAACAGCTTTACCAAGCAGTGATTTCCTCATTGGAAACAACTGACAATAACGCAACAATTCTTCCATCCCTAAATATTGCCAAAGCCTTAAGCACATAGAATGCAAGAAGTATAAAATAATTTTACAAAAATTCAACAGCCAGACGTGTCTCAAGCATCTTGATGGAAATGAAAAATTAACACAGGAGAGACTTGCATGATAATTCTTATGATACATTTTCACTTTAAAAACAATGCTTTTCTTGTAGTAATTTATCAGTTACATGGGCCACAGCTACATTTCCTTGCTTCGGTCCAAACAATTCTATCTTAGCTCACATACAGGATACTAGTGGGGAGCGTCCAGTGCTTACTTTTTAGTAAAAAAATAATAATTGTGGGGCTTTTTAATGGATAGTTTTGTGAGTTTGGACCCAACACACCAAAAATTGCATGAAGTCATACCAAAGTCATGTTTCAGTTCGCCATCTTTATTCAAAATGGCATATGGTGTCCAAACATTGACCCCCATCCCAACCTTAGGAACCACTGTGCCTGAAAATGGCACCCAGTGTCCAAATAGCAACAAAGTCTGCCACCCTACTTGGGAACCATCGTGCCAAGTTTCACAACAATATCTTGATAGGCGTTCAAATATTTAGAAAACAAACAGGCAGACAGCCCACTTTCCAAAATATCTAGCTGAAGAGAATATGCAATGAACTCAACTGAAGTCAACAGAATATTCCCATTTAGTAGAGCAAGTGGCTTGCTCTAGGACTTGCTCTAGCTTTTGAGTGCTTGCTCTATAGCCATGCAAGCAAAAACACTAGCAAAGACAGATCAAGCCTGGCACCGTCTAGATATTAATGCTTGTTAACACCATATTTTCCTTGCTCTGCCATTGGCCCTCCCCTCCCCTCATGTCTCTGGTTTTTTAGACTGTTAGTCTACGCAGAGTCTAGGACACTTTGACATGTGTACAGCACATGGTTAGTGTAAATGTTCTAGAAATCAAGTAACCATGCAATTACTCCTGTATGGTATCAGGTCAGGAAAAAAGAAGAAAATTGTTGGACAGCTGCAGTATGTGTCCCGAACTACTTAAGACCCTTTCTATTGATTAACTGATCTATGATACAGCCTTAAAAGGCATTGCTGCTTTTGTTCCAGGTCACCAAGGTGCTGGAAAGAATATGTTACTATATAGTTTGGGGGCATTCCTATCTTCAAAACTCCAGTAATTACTAGTTTAATACTATTCTGTATTATATCTGTAATGCCTAATAAAGGTCTGGCGAAAGAAAGACTATTTCAAAGTAATATATTCCATCCAGTCATCATTCACCCAGTTTGCCTTCTCATAAGGGGGTCTACATATTCAAACAAGCAAACACCTTAAATTTCAGCTGGATAAAATATTCCAATGGCAAAAAGCCCCAACATGAAACTTAAGCACACTATTGATGTATATTTAGGAACTAAGCCAAATGCATAATTTTAATTTGGAATCAGAATATGAGGATATAACATTTAAAAAGACTCCACCAAATCATTACCACATTCCAGTTAATTTGAATTGTTTCAAACATTTAAAAACCTGTCCAAGTTTTAATTTTTGAAAACCATTTCACATATAGAAAGTTTTTAAAGAGGCAAGAGCAGGAAGAACTTTCTGACAGTAAGAGCTGTTCAACAGTGGAATGGGCACCCTTGGAAGGTGGTGGGCTCTCATTCCTTAAGGGTTTTAAAGCAGAGGTTGGATGGCCATCTGTCCTGGATGGTTCAGTTGAGAATCCTGCACCACAGGGGGGGTTGGACTAGATGATCCTTGGGGTCCCTTCCAACTCTACAATTCTACGAGGTGGTGTTTTTTTTTAACTGCATCTGTTTTCTGGCAGAGGGTAGAAGTGGGAAACTTAAAATCACCTCCAGTCAGAATAAAGGTATACTAAAACATGAAAACATAGTGTGTGTGGTGGGAATCAACAATCAGGTTTAACGTATTTCTACTTTATCACACCTACAAACAAAACAAAAAAAGGCACAACATCTGCATTTTTTATATTTATATTTAATAGTAATAAAATGAATGCTTTGTGTTTTGTTTTCCACAGTCCATGTCAGTATTAAATATTCATTCTACTATGTGCCATAAACTGTGTAGGGCAATCCTATGCATGTCTACTGAGAACAAAGTTCACTGATGCTTACTTTCAGGATAAGTAAGCTCACCATCATAAATCTGACTGACTCAACACACCCAGTTACATTTTTCTTGCTATTGTGAACAGAAAAGAAAGCATAATCCTACAGCTTGCACCTGCTGAGCCTCTCACCATCCAGCAATCTGGTACCAGAAGGTGACAGCAGTAGTCCTGTGACTTCCACACCTATAGCCAATTTACAGCTTCTGGCTGCAGCACCAGCTACAAAGCAGAGACAGGGCCACTGCTACAAACTTTTCTAACTGTTGTTTGCTTTTATTGAGGGAGGGGAGATGTGTCTGAGAGGAGAGGAGCTGGGGGGGGATTACAGAACACAGTATGGTGGGAGTATGGTGGGGCAGGCAGGGTAAAGAGCACAAGGCACAGACAGTGTGTGACTGCCATGTGCCAGTCCCTCCTCCTCCTGGGAAATTGTGGTTATCCCATCAGCCAGGACCTCAGATCTGTGGCTGCTGTAAAATCTCCTCAACCTCTCAGCAGCTTTCAATACCATCAACCATGGTATCCATCTGGCAAGGCTTGCATATCTTTAGGCGTTGGGTAAAAACATTACTCTTCTCCCTCACCTTTGGCTAATTAAATAATCTATGTCCTTTTAAACTGAGGAATGGGTATTGTTTTGTTTGTTATTATGGCATGTATTTTTGTGTTTTTATATTGTAAACTCCCCTGTGATCTTCGGATGAAGGGCAATATAGAAATTTTATAAATAATAATAACAACAGTTCACCATCAGGCAAAGTTTCCATTCCTTTCTTAGAAGTTTGCCTAATTAAGGGCTAAGATTTTGGCAGCTGGACAGACAAATGTTTGAGATTATGGGAGGATTTTATAACAGATTTTAAGATTAGTTTAAGATAATTCTTTAGCTGCTTACTCTAAACTTTTGGAATCAACTATACGTTATTATAACAAACTGCAGAGTTATTTCATTTCAGAGCTAATACTCAGAGTTAACTCTACTTGCCTTAACAGCTGTCAAGTTCTTTCCAAGTGTTTAGTCAAAAAGGGAAGCTGATTCAAAGTGCTTCTAACTGTAAAAAAAAATCCTTTGGTTTCAAAAGGCACACTTGTTCTTTGTCAAACATATCTACCAGGAACCAAAAGACCTATTACTTTTTCTTTGAGAGACAGATCTCTGTGTTTTATCTTCTTCATTTCAAAAGTGGCTTGCTTGGTGCAGAACATGAGGTGAAAGTCTTACTGGTAATTACATTTGTATGAATAATAATTTCATTTGTATAAATGACTTATATGGCAAGGTACTTTATCTTCATTTGCTACCCCCTTTTAAAAGGGAGTATAATTGCTCTCAAGCAATCCATTGCCAGATAATTTGCTCATTTACATTAACTTAGATGTGACTACTATCAGTATTTTTACTGATATTTTAAACTAAATAATTGTTCAAACTTTTCTGTTGACATTTCATCTATTTCTGGGAATTCTTTCCTTTTTGGAAAAACTACCCATTATAAAATAGATGGGGCTGAGGCAAGAAAGCAGTAGCCTTATACAGAATCTATCTATCTATCTATCTATCTATCTATCTTATAAATGAATTTTTAAAATGATACGTTGCCTGTGGCTAATTTATCATCAGTTTCAGCCTCTTGTCCTAAACTGTTTGCAGTTCATCAGCTCAACTAAATATATGACTTAGATGAGATTCATTTAACTCTTCCAGAAATTGTATTAAACTACATAAATTTGTAGAGAAAACAGCCTTTCCTTTAGTTAAATTAATGCACACCTTCCCAATCCAAAACAAAAATGAGCATCTGTAACTGATACAAGATCACTCTCAGGAAAACCAAAGGGGAAAAAGTCTAATTCCCATTACAAGAGCCTTTGAACATCATTAGCAAGAGGTAGGAAGGGGGAAAGTGTGAAAGTTCCTATATGGTGGGGGACGGGGAGGGGGGACACGGGGACGGACAACCAAAATGTTTCTACAGTGTTACTATTTCAAACAAGGATTGGATAAAAACATTATAGAAGATGGGGCTGATACTGCTATTCCTCCTGTTGTTTTTTAGAGGCAGAAGATCAAAAAGTTTTTATATCTGACCCATATATACAGTGCTTTTTTTCTGGGGGGATGCAGGGCGATGCATACCCTTAAACATTTTGTGAATCTTTGTACTTTTGTCCATTTACTGTATTTATTTTTCCTGATTTGAACTATAAAATGGTGATTTTCTTGAGTCAAAATGAGAGTACTCCTAAACATTTTTTAAAGAAAAAAAAGCACTGTGTGCGTATCACATCAGAAAACAGAATTTTTGTCCTACAAAGATTAGTGCAACTGCTTATGCTAATTCACCACCAAAACATGCTTCTGTCCTAAGTATGATATGTAATTTCTCAATTTTCAAGGTATTAAACTGGGGTAGCTAACAAAGGCTCCTCAACAGATTTGTACCTATCATATTTTTGTTCTTTTAAAAAAGTTTTTAGAATCTGAGGGTTCCCCCCCCCCCCAAGAAAAATTGTTCCTATGCATGCCCTGCTGTGGTGTCCAAAGTTTTTTATGGTTCCTCCAAGCTCCCCAAATTTGTGTGTTTATTTTTTCCATACTCATTTTTACATTTCATCCCACCCACCACTGAGGGTTCAACATGGGGCAATGTGGCTCTCAGATAGAAAAAAATTAACCATCTCTGTATTAAAGCAACCCATAAGACTGTCCAAAGGAGGAATAAACAGGCATCTTTACTATACTGTAACACAGCACAACACATCATAGAAAATCACTTCTTCTCAATATTTGAGGTTCTTTTATTTTAAGAGACGGTAAGATGGTCTGCTACATGACCACTAAATTCTACATTTTCAGTTTCTGGGATAGGCCTCTCAAGAAGGCAGGAATGCTGGGGCTCCCGCAACCACCAGCAGATCTGCCAGAAGTATAGCAGCGTCTACAGGTATATACTCTGTATATATGGGTCAGACATATACTCTGTGCTCAAAAGCAGAACCCAGCACAAAGAAGGCAAAAAGGAAAGTGCTGGAGTCATGATAGGGAACTTAGCAGAACTGAATGGTGAAATAATAATCTCAGTTCGTTTCAGTGGAAGTAGTAATGGAAATGCGGTTTGAAGTGTTTTACAATGGTTTAAATAAAGCCTTTGTAAACAAAATAAAATGCATGGCTATTTCCACTCCAGATGAATTGCATTCCAAACCTAATTTCAAGTTTTTGTATTTGCACACTAACCTCAGTGCTAACATTGTGTGGGTGGGATGAATCCTATTCATTCACACATTCCTAAGGAACCTGACAATGTTGGTGATAACATTCTATTTCCAGAAGAGTGGCTGAGAGAACAGATCAACAGTTCAAGACTAAGCCACGTGTGCAGCTATTTGCCAGGGCTTTTCTCAGGATACTATTCCATTTACATAGCGGGATAGTTTGAGAATGTGAATGCACATTCAAGCTGATGACCTCCAATAATCTATTTTTAGATATTAAATGTCCACTTGATTTCCAACAACTAAGCAGATTAGCATAACAGCACAAATTGTCTCTTGATACAGTACAATTTGCCCAAAATGCCAAATAATATAGATCCTGGTCTTAATCTGAATGCAAATTAGAAAAATCTGTTCAAACAGGACAGCAATTTGTATATTATTATCTCTGCTTATGCTCAAGTGTGCAACATATATATTACAATTTTAAATATATGAAAAGCTTCATGTTCATTATCTTATTACGTTTACAATGACCCTGTAAGAAAGAGGTGGAGAACCTGTGGTCTTTCCAGGTGTCCTTGGATTCCAACTCTTTCCCACCTTCTAAACAACAACAACAATGAAAGCATGACCCGAAGGCATGGGCTCAATATCCCCTTGCATCATTGCAGAGACAACAGGACTTGATGTGATTCACATAGCAAATTGGGAGGATTCAAAGTACAGTGGTACCTTGGGTTACATACGCTTCAGGTTACAGACTCCGCTAACCCAGAAATAGTACCTCGGGTTAAGAACTTTGCTACAGGATGAGAACAGAAATCGTGCAGCGGCAGTGCAGAGGCAGCAGGAGGCCCCATTAGCTAAAGTGGTGCTTCAGGTTAAGAACAGTTTCAGGTTAAGTACGGACCTCCAGAGCGAATTAAGTACTTAACCTGAGGTACCACTGTAATATGTTTCAATTTTCCTTGCCCATGACACCTCAGACACCTGCACCCCATCACTTGTGCATTGTCTTACAGTCTAGAAACTAAAAACAGATTTGTTAACTGAAAAAGGATTCTTCTTGACCAGTATAATACACACCAGTGGGCAAGACCAAGTATGTAGCCCAATAGGTCTAACTATGAAAACAGCTACAACTTCAAATATGCCAATGCAGCACTTTCATGAGAATGGGGAGGGAAACCTCTTTTTAAATGAACAAAGGCAAAAGTTGAAAGTATCAATCCATTTTAGCCATCTAGTTAGGAGAGAGACAGACTGAGCCAGGAGTAAAAGATGATTGATTCATCAGCACCCACGTCTAATGTTTGAACTGCACTTTGCCTTTTAGATGTTATTGCTAGAAATAAATGGCCTATGTGTCTGACATGAGTCTTTGATGTTAAGCAGAAGATTGAACCAAACCACTAAGAACATGAAAAAGGCTTTTTAAAAAGAGAATATTTTCCATCAGCAAGCACATAATATGAAAGTAAAACATTATGTCTAAGCAACACTCCATCCCTATTTACTTTATCTCTGAATGAATACTCCAGGGGTTGAGGGTTTGACAGATATCTCTGCTCTCACGGTAACAGTATATCCTGATAATCTTATTTTTTAGTTTTGATTAGCAAGTTTAGTTTTCCTTGATTCCTATGGATCCAACAGTTTTTGAGCAATTCCAAAGTTGAGGACTCTTGTTAGATGAGCAATACATGTTCATGATAATTCAAATAGAGATTGAAATGTCTTTCTTTCTAGCTTGACTAGAGGACTCATTCCAAAAGTAGAGAAACTTTTTTCACCCTTCCACTAGCAACCAGTACAAGAAGAAAGGGTAGGAGACTTCCAAGTCTGGTTTATTTACTTTTGCCTTGCCCGAGATCAACTAAAAGCAGTTCTAAGTGTGTACACCACAAGAGAAGGAGGCATTCATTATGGGTGTGGCTGCTCTCCCTGGTAAGGGCTGTTTGTTCCCAGAGTAAGAAAGGAAAAACTGGGCTGACAAAAATTATTACAGCTTCTCCTTTCAGGGAAAGGTGAGCTCCGCTTAAATTAGCTGATGGTGAAAGGGAGCATGCTAGTGTACAAAGTACTAACTATAGAAATGTTACTACTTTCAGTTGTCTGAACACCTGTTTGCATTGCTATAATATGTACACAGATTTTTTCTCTCTCTCAGTGCAATACAGAAGAAAGGCAAGACAGGTTTTATTATTATAGCTTCTCATTAATAATGAGGATGAATACTAGTATAACTTCATTACATGCATGTATTACAGAAGTAATTTTTGTGTGTGTGTGTGTGTGTGTGTACACACACACAGTTTATTTATTTTCATAAAATTTATTGTTTCACTGTTAAAGAAACCTTCAAAGCACTTTACAAAAAGATAAAACAAGAAAATCAAGAAAAAATTAAAACCTTACCTTAAAACATACAAAAGTTAAAATACTAAAACAGATTAAAATTGTCTCTACTTTCTAAGCATCTAGGTAGGCTTGTCTAAATAATAAAGTTTTTAAGAAGTGCTAAAATGAGTACAGAGAAGGTGCCTGCTTGATCTCAATATGCAGAGAGTTCCAAAGGGCAGGTGCTGCCACACTAAATGATCAAGTTATAGTGGTACCTCTGGTTACGTACTTAATTCGTTCAGGAGGTCCGTTCTTAACCTGAAACTGTTCTTAACCTGAAGCACCACTTTAGCTAATGGGGCCTCCCGCTGCCACTGCACCGCTGCTGCGCGATTTCTGTTCTCATCCTGAAGCAAAGTTCTTAACCCGAGGTAATATTTCTGGGTAAGCAGAGTCTGTAACCTGAAGGGTATGTAACCTGAGGTACCACTGTATTACAAATGCGGAACGGGTTTTGTTGTGTCAATTCTGCAGACCAAAGCAGTCAAACAGATGGATGTGGGGTATGGCAATCTTGTACATAAACCGGTCCCAAATTGTTAAGGGCTTTATATGCTAATAGTAACACATTGAATCTGGGATGGTAGTGAATCGGCAACCAGTGCGGATACTTGAGCACTGGTGCTATTTGCTACCACAGCCTCACTCCTGTCAGCAATCGTGCTGAAGCATTTGACACTAACTGCAGCTTCCACATCAAGTGCAAAGGAAGCGTCATACAGAGTGCACTGCAGTAAACCAGTCTTGAAGTAACCAGCGCATGAACTACTGTGGGAAGGCTTTCCCAGCACAGGAAACAATCATTCAATACTCCTGGGCTCTCACATATGGTTGCTCCTCAGCTACCATGCCATCCATCCACTGGTAGACTCTACTTTGGTCACAACTCACATATAAATTACAACACTCATTCAACATACAATTCTTCCACTACAAAACGTGTTGTACCGTTCCCACACATTATTCTGTATTGTTTTATTCAAGCGTTCACATACTACAAAAAAATAACAACGCTATATTCATTTATAGTTAAAGCACAATTTTTGAGCAGGATGAAAACTCTAATGCAGGGTTGCAGAATGTCTGGTCTCTCTCTCCCCACCCGCCCCCCTTCTGCCCAGCAGCTCATCCAAAACTCCTTTAGGCAATTCCACAGCTCTTTCCAAACATCAAATGGTGAGAATTCCAACACAGAGTTAAGAGAGAAGGGACACCAGGGACAGAGAGCTGTGGAGCCTCTTCCTAGCATATGCTAGTCAAAACACTTAATCTTCATAACAGAAATCTAAAACAGCAATTGATAATTACAAGTGTTAATATTTCAAACTGTTGCATAAAATGTTGTTAAATAATAATTATTAATGTGCATGCAGTGATACTTCTTTCCAAGAAAAGCTTTTCATTTCCAATAAACAGGAATTCATTACATTGGAAAAACAAATTCTTGATATAAGTATTGCAAAAAATAACTGGGTAGTCTCAAACCAGATATTCAAAGATAGGTGCTCATAATATATCAACTACTGCTGTAGCTCTTTTTCCTGTCTTCTGAGACAGTCACACTAATCTGACATTTTTGGAGACAGAATGCATACAGAATGCACACTTTCCATTCTTGCCCATCTGGTTTCAATCTGTCTTTCAATAATTGTCTTCTCTGAATTTTATTACAGAGGTGCTCACACCCTATACTATTGGAGATTAAATCCACCCCAGCAAATGGTGTTTATATACAAGGAAGTGTTACAGACAAATGGCTTGACACATTGTCAACACTTCTAAAAGTACATGTGTCTTTAGTAGGAAAGAAATGAGCCTCTGTTGTGGGTTTAATGAAATATTTCCAATTAACTCAGTTTCATTTGAAAAATATTTTTAAACAACTAATTCTTCTGCAAATTAAATTCTTGTGCATATGCACATCAGTTAACATGGCCTTGTAAAGAAGCCCATAAAAGTTAGTAGCCTGCACACAAACCTGTCCATTGCAGGGCTGGAGGACATGACTGGAAATGCTACACCAGGTCTTTTGGTCCTGTGACAGTCAGTCAGTATGGCCAGCCTTTTTAACTGAATTTGGATTCAGTGGCAAATTATGCCACTATGTTAAAAAAATAAGATCCCTCTCTAGGGCTAGGTGGCATGTGGCCCAAGGGTTGGACCAAGTTGCTTATAAATGAATATTAAAATACAAAGTCTCACCTAAATAGTTTGGTCAAAGCTGTACTCAGGTTTGTTGGCAGTCCCTGCACAGCTCATCCTTGTTAAGTCAGTACAGTAGAACCTTGACTTACCACCGCCCCTACTTGCGAACAATTCAACTCGCGACCACGGCAAACCCGGAAGTAAATACCGGGTTTGCCGCGGTTCGTGCACACGCAGAAGTGGCTGCCGCCGTCTGCACATGCGCAGAATGGCGCCGTGGCCAAATGCGCACGAGCAGAACAGCGCTTCTACCAGTGACCCGGATCAACTCATGAACAGACCTCCGGAACGGATTCCATATCTGAGTAGAGGTTCCACTGTATACTGAATTAAATTAATGTCTGGACATCCCCAATGCCATTAACTGATTATGAAGCTAAGAAATATTCCAAGCCCAGGTCAAAGGTAGCCACTCCTACAAAATAACGACTCATTCCAAACATAGGCAACATACTCTACATGCATGTCTCATGTTTTGATTCAAAGATTATGTATTTAAGGCATTACTAATACAAGCTGTAACAATCTATTGTCCTGACACCGGCCATGCCTGTTTTGTAATACTGACATGCCAGTTGGATGAAATTGCAAATGGCTTTTAAAGAGTCACTCCCAAGAAAAGCTAGTATTTGGCTATCTAAGCAACTTATGAGTCATTTTGAATAATGATACTGTTCATATTTTATCTATCAGATGGAAAACAGTATACTATTTAATCTGGCACTTAATTGACTGAATTGTAAAATAAGCATCCATAGAATTCTCTTGCTTTCAATTTTTTAAATTCTAAAACTAAAAACTTCTGCAATGCTCAAAACATTTTTTGAAAAATAATTACTATTTTAATTGTTTGAAAGAGAGGAGACTTTGGCTATATTTCTTGAGCTAATATTCAAGAGTCAAAATTAATTATGAAATAGGCATGTGTTAATTGTATGGTTAAAGTTTTCCTTGTGAAAATAAGAACAGATAGTTCTAAGTTCAAAGATGATACAGCCCTGAATAACTTAAACAGGGTGGGTAATATGTATATATTACCTGTGTGTAGAGAGTTGGCAGTATAAACAATTCCAGTTAAATAAAGATGTGTGTTACAGTTTGCTGTTTTTGAGGTTAAAAAACAAACAAACTGATACAAAGATGTACAGCCAGATTTTTTTTTTGCCATATTTGCTTTAAAAGAAGATTGCTATTTTACAGTATTACTGCAAAAAGTGGTCTTTCTCATGACCAATGTAACAGAAACAGATTCTCTTAAAATGCTTCCACTATTATTCCTACCTTCAGTCCTACCAAGAGATGAATACAATGCTTCCAGTTGGAGAGCAAGGCTGGAACTGGTTGCTATTGGATAAACTTACTGGAAGCACCCATGCTGATTCAGTTTGAAATGACACAAGGGAAAAGAAAAAGTAAAGCCTACAAATAAATTGCTGAAAACACCATCTATAGCCAAACATGCCATTGCTTGCTTCAATTATGTAGAACCATTCTATCTACTCAATGCCTCTTAATTATACAATTGTTTCCAGCTGACTGAAGATTCCTTGATACTAGAAACTCCCCAAAGAGCCATAAATTCAGGGGAAGTACCTTAACAGGGTACAATGGATTGTGTGTGGTTGAAGCCAGTAAGTACAGATTTGGCTGAAGGAATCTTAATAAATTAATGCCAAGCATTCAATTTGCAACAAGAAGGGGGTGGGGAAGAAGAGAAAGTTTCCAGGCTCTATAAAACCACACATAAGCGGAAAAAGATTCTTCTATAAATGGAAAGGGACCACAGATGCTACTTGAAAATAAAGCATTAAGGAATAAAACCTCTACAGTTCAGTCACATTTCTAAGACAGAAACAAAACACATGAACATCTAATGCATAGACTTTGTAGGATCTGTATTAACTCCCCAAAATGTCCTGCCACCTGCTTCCCAGCACTGGAATTTAGGACCACTAGGAAAAGTACTCTGCAGTTTAGAGTAGGCATAAAGGTGTTTTAAAGGAGAAAGAGGTTATTTCTGAAGTGACTATTCAGGCATTAAAAAAAACAACACAACCCACTCATTTTCTAATTTGCAAGTGCATTCAAACAAAACTAAAGCTCACTTTAAAAAATAATAATATTTGTTTTATATGACCAATTAATTTTCCTAATGCATTACAGCTCCTGCAGAAGTAGTATTAAATTCAACATTTCATATATAAACAAGTATCAGTTATAATCCATGTATAAAAATGTACTATTGGAATAATTTAGTTATGAAAATCTCATTTAAGTACACCATTACTGCCCTGCACTGAGAATAATAATACATTTTATACATACATAGCGAAATTCACAAGCTTTACTGGCCTTAGCAGCTATAGTCAAAATGTGTGACTGTCAGGCTCCTGTTCTTACCTAAATGGTGAAGAAGTAGTGGTCTTATCTGACAACAAACTGAGCTTTAGATGTGCTCAGAGTACCTCTAAAATACACTGCAAGGTTAAGAACAATCTCCTTTTCTCAATGCAGGAGAACAGTTGCAGCCTGTCCACGTCATGCTTTACTTCAGAAGAATTCTGAATACCTCCAAAGCACAGAGTGAAATAGACAAGTTCCATCTAAGCCTGGAGGAAGGAAGAAGAGGATTTTCCCAGCAATTGCTATGTGAGTGCCTTGGAAGTGTAGCAGATCTGCCAGGAGAATTTTCAACCCCCTCCCCCAACTCCAGGCTTAACAGGAGGCCTGTGTAAAGCAGTGCTTCAATCTTTAACCGGAAGATTAAATCAGTGGGACTGTTTAAGGGCACACTTGCTTGTTTCCCTATTATGATTAAAGGAGAAAAATAAATAAAAACAACCTTCCCTTCTAGAAAGAGTATCTAATTGCAACATATCCTGAAGTATTCTCAAAAAAGGAAATATACTGAGAAACTCGTAATATCCCAATTAGTTAAAGCAATTGCACAGAAGCTTAAAAGCCAGATGATTCATCAAGTAAGAATCTTAGTGTAGAACCCTAATATCCAGAATTATCCCAGCTTAACAATTTATTATCAAATCTTTCAGACTTATTTTTATGAGTAGACTATAAGGAATAAATATCCGGCATTCTGTAAGATTTATTCAACTGCCTGTATTGCAATGTTAATGAGTAAGGCTTATAATCATAACTTGAAACACTATATTCCCATTATCAACTGTCCCTTGGCTGCTGAGAAACATTTTGCCAGGACAGTTTGGTGTGATACAAAGATATGTCAGCTCCACACCCCCATTGGTGAAAGCTCTTCTGTATAATTCTGTGACCTTCCACTGCAAATGAAACATCCGCCCCTGAACTTGGCTTTGTCAACATTCCCATGGCTGCATTCAATCAAGTAACCATAGCAAAGTCTTAATATCTTAGTAAAGTGTCCAGACTTCTTTTAAGAGTTCAATTTCAGTACAAAACAAAACAACCTAGTAGAAATAAAAGTCCAAGTAATCCCTCTAAAACACTTTCCAGCAACTATTATCTTACATGTATAGAAATCAAGGAAGGATTTAAAAATACTATAATAAAGAAAAACAGAGAAAACTGCATTATAAAGGGTATTTTTAAGAAGACACTGATAGTTTTTATTTTACTTCCTTTTGACAACACTTACCAGAGCTAGCAACATACAGTATGCCACAAGATGAAGCATTAAACACATAGGTTTGTAATCACTTGATAAATTCACATTTGAAATTCATTATTAATCAAGTTATGGAAATGACCAACTTCTGAAAGTGTTTTTTTTCCCTTTCCTTTGGATGCTACTGTAGGTAAACACATTTTTTTTGTCAAGCATCAAGTCTATACAAAATATTTTCCCCTACTGCAGATGTTTGATGAAGCCAAGAAATCAAACCTGATCTTAAACAATTTGTACTGCAATCTAAATCTATGCATTTTAAATAATATGGATGCATTATAGTAACTGTTACCTATAAGACACTCTTCAAACAAGTGAATGGACCCCAAGATTATGTGACATTTTGTTTTCTTGAATGATAAACTATACAGCAAACTCAACAAAAGCAAAACTGAAGGCCTTGAAGTAAAATGTATGTGTACATTAATCATAACTGATGATTTTTAAAGTGAGCATAGAAAGTGAGACATAGATGTAGGAATTCAAATGGGGCAGGGAATAACAGAAATAAACACAATCTCCCACAAAAAATTCTATCTCCAACCCCACACAATCATAATTTGTCTAGACTCAAAACTTGTCTGGCATTTATTCATCTCTTCATCCAACTCAAGTTGCCTTGGCTTCCTGCAGCCAATCAGAAGCCACACTTTGGAAGTTGAACGTTTTGAAGTCGAACAGACTTCCGGAATTGATTCTGTTCAACTTCCAAGGTATGACTGTATTTTGTTCTTAAGTGGAAGAAGCCAGCTCCAGAACCTGAGTAACACAAGACATGTTGTGGATCTTTCCAAGTAATCAACCTCCAGGTCAGAAACTGCTGTACAAGACCAGATGTTACAGTACAATACTGGAATTTACTGGAATGGCATCTGACCTTGAGAAGGTGACAGATCTCTCAGTAACTGAAATTAAGTTTCCTTGCTCATTTGCACAGAGCAGCATTCTTACTGCAGTTCTTATTTCTACATGGAAGTAAAAAAGCATGCCTGCTAGTTAGCCTTGAGAAGGGCATGCAGATCAGAAAAGTAACTTAAGCACACAGAAATAACCAGTCAAGCTACATTGTAATCATGTCATGGTTTTGCCCTCATTTGACTCTCCCTATAATCCTCTTATGACTCTCACTTATTCAGTCATGGTGAATTTTGTTTACATGTCTGGAAAGACACTGTCATTGTTTTGTTTTATGGCAAAATTAGATAATAAATTTTAAATAATCAAACATTAAAAGTAGCAAGCTATACTACTTTTATACTTTTTTCTCAATTATTTATTTTCCCTTGCTACATATTAATTTTTGTAACTTCCCATACTTTCATTCCCACATTTAGAATCTTGTCATAGATTCACATTTGAAATTGAGCAATTACTATCTGTTTCAGTTTGAATTTCTAGTATGACCAATCCTGAGAGACTGGGATGAGTAATAGAAGTTTAATGGATTGTACAACATATTGAAATCATACCATGGCCATTACATACAGAGTTTAGCATGCATTCTGACTTTGAACAAAATGAGAAGAAAATATTAACCTATTCACCTCCTTCCCTACTCACCAGATTTAGTGGTGGGCACCAGAAACCTCTCAAAAACATACTTCTAAAAAAATGCAGGGACAAGTTTCAAGGGAAAGAGTAACCTTAATTTTGTGGCAGGTATGAATCCCAGATAAGTGAGGGGGTGGCAAAAAAAGGAGACATGTTTTGTTAAAATGGTTCCAGGCTGCAAGAAAATGGATCCAATGGCACATGTGTTGCTCATCATTGTACTTGATTATTATGTCAAGAAAGCATGAGTAATTGCTTCCATTCTCCTAACCCTCAGAAATTATGTATTTTGCTGCCACAGCACATATACTGCAGTCACCTATTAAGCAGCATGTGATTGGAGAAACTGTTTTTTTATCCAATGAGGACAATTTAATAGCTGTGAGAGAACTAAATGGTAGTCAGCAGGTTTTCTAGGCTTTGGAGAATAAGGATTCCCTGTCACCTGCTCTTTTCAGTTTATAAAAGAGTTGCAGTCTGTATGCTTCAATATACTAGTTCTCAGATAAAATTCTCCCAACTCAAACACATCCAGAGTGTCACAAATCTTTTCAGTTCATAACTATCTCAAGCTTTGAGTGAACTAGTTCACAGCTTTACATTTAGGCATTAAACATGCACTGCTGAGAAGATGAAGAACATGGCTACATCAGTTAGGATAATGATACCTGTAACAATATATACAATTATGTTTCAAAAGAAAGCAGCTTTTTGTGTTTCCAACAGTAGCTACATTTTCTTAGCCTTGACTAGCACATATAGTCTCTTCCTCCCACCTCAGTAGTTTTCAGCTCTGCTGCTCATTCCATCTTGCCCTCTACCACTATAGTGGTGAACTGTGTTTTCCAGCCAAGGGAATACTATCTAGTATAGTGGTAACTTTGCTCACACTTTGACACTTTAAGCCCAAAAGGCAAATAACCTTTCGCAGATGTAGGGAAGAACTAAGGGAAGAAATTGCTAATATTTTCATAGCCAAGTGTCATAATTTAAATGTCCCTGCATGCCACTGTCATGAGTTCTGTGGAAAAAATATTAATTCAATAACATCTGTGTGATTAGGTTTTCATACTGAATTTTACTATACTACGGAGTGTCCAAACAATATTTAATATGTAGTGATCACAAACCCCACACCTGAGCCCTTTGGAATGTACAGAGAATTCTGGAAAGAAGACCTAGGGTAGACTTCATAGACCGCCAAAATTTGTGGCAGCCACCAACTCTGCCCTTTCTCTAAGGGGGAAGGAACAAGTCTTACTTGTAACATCACACTGAGTTCTGGGGTCACTCCAGCTTCACTGCAAACATTGTGAGCCATGAAGGGAGATATCTTACTGCTTGGAAGCCTATTGGCAGCTTAGCAAAAGATGGAGTCATTCCTCTAATTTCCAGAGCCCGAAAAAGGCAGGTGGTGGTGAAGGATATCTCTTTGATTTCTGATGAGCCTCAGCATGAGATCTGACCAATCCTGAGGAAAGTCACAAGGATGACAGATGCATTCACCAGGAGTGAGCACAACTGTGGTCCCTTGAGCAAAGATGATTGCAAGTTGATAGCTCAACCCCCATCTTCAATTCTCTTTGCACATGTTGGGGACTTTGAAGGAGCTGAGGTTAGCCTCTTGCATTTATCATGATGCTGTTAAAGTTTATGTAACCAGCAGTGGGATTTGCGAGTAATGTTTATATAATATAATCCTATTTTCAGAAGAGGTCAAAATGTATAATATCAACGGTACTTGCTCTTTATTTCTTGTTTGGAATGTAAGATGAGGAACTATGATTACATCATCATGCAGACAACGCAGAACTGAAGTAGAAATGAAAATAGGTCATATTTAATGTTCCTGGAGGACCCTTTCATATTCAACTCCCTAAGAATGTAGTCGTGTTCAAAGTCCTATTGAACACTGTGGGATTTAATTCTGCATTTAAAGCATGCATAGAAGTGGTGAATTCTTGACAGCCAAAGATGAATACTAGCATATACATCTACTCATTCAGAACCCATATCTTGTCCTCTTCCCCATACCACACAATATACATTACTGTATGGTAATGTAAAATATAAGCAGAAGTTTAGGTTGATTAATACTCCTTCTGCCTATGGCGTCTAGGTTGCGTAGGGCACACAAACCTAATTGGATATTGGGCATACCTCCACAGCAGTGCTACATTAAACTTGCCTTCTTAATAACTTGCTTTAACACTTCCTACCACAGCCATTTTGTGTTTGCATTGCCCCCTCCCTGGTAGCCACTTTGTGACAGGCATGCCCAATACACCCTCGAAATTTGAAAAGTTGTCCACTAGTCTACAAGGGCTGGTGACCCCTGAAATAAAATATCATTAGCCTATTATCTTTTTGGGCGGTGTATTTAACTGAAGCTTAGAAAAAATAGAAAAAATCTGTGTCATCTTGCATGTCACAAGTATGGTTGTTTTACTCTACTTGCAGGTATGAATAAGTCACATACAACCTTTTTGCCAGTTTATTCTGACCTTTGTAGATTATACTCCATCAAATTAAGACAGATAAAGCAAATATAAATTTACTGAATACCAGTTTATAGATATAATTACAATATTATAGAAATATTTGGTTTAACTAAATCCTGAAGGCTAGATCAGCTGACTGAGAAGTATACAGATGTTATGGACTGGCTGGATTCAGAAGAGTGGTGGGAGGCACCAGCTGGGAAACCACCAAGGGAACCCCCAGGGGAAGAAGGCTCAGAGTCAGGGGACTGGAGGTTCCCCAGCTGGGGATGATGATGAGTAGTCAGAGGGAGAAGATGGAGCAGACTGGGAAGAGGAGCTGTTGGAAGATGAAAAGACAACAGGGTTTAGTGAGCAGGAAGAAGCTGGGGCAGAAAGCAGTTCTGATTCAGAGACTGGAGAGGAGGAAGGCCAGGAGACAGAGATGAGGATGGCTGCTGAAGAGTCCAGGGAGTCTCCCCCTCCTGCTGCGACCAGCTCCCTTCCCCCCTGGTCTCCCAGAATACACAGAGAAATGAAGAGGGTGAAGCAACAAGAGGCAAGGCAAAGGAGCCTTAGGCAGCTGGGGAAGGAACTGAGGGAAGCACCTTAGAGAACGGTGGGAAAGCAGAGACCTTCAGTCCTCGCAACTACTTAATTGGGGCAAGACCTACTGGGAAGGATTACTATTACCAGTAGGACTAAGCTGTTTTGTTTCCTTGCATAGACAGTTAACTTCACTGACATTGGGTGCTCTATTGTTTTATTGCTGACCTACGCATGACTTCAGCTACTGACAACAGACCACGCAGGGCACAAAACAGGCATCTCTCTGAAAAAATACAATTTTTCTCTTAATACAGTATTCAATACTGTAATATTAAAGTTTAATTTAAAACTAATCAGACTAGTCAGCTTTGCAAATATCTGTAAACACTATTAGTCCAAGAAATTTTACTAATCCAAGTCACCCCACATATCTCCATTTGTCATTCAACACTATTGAAATGCAAACTAAATTAAAGCACTGCTTATCATATGTTCATTAATCTTTGTCCTTAATGTAGCAGGTTAATGAACAATATATGGCTTATATTAAGCTCTGTTGAGGGTAAAGTAATGACATTTAGAAGCATGTTGGAGAAAATAAAGTCGCCTTTGACATACAATAATCCACCCTCCAGGTTTTGGAAGGCCTAAAGGTTCCTGCTAAAAACACACAGAGGTGTGTTGCTTTCTGAGCTTATAGAAAGATATATGAAACCAAGAAAGAACATAATCTGAAAAGGATTAATTAATTACAAGTAAAAGTCCTATGTTTACTTGAATGTATGTATAGCATGGTTGGGAAACCTGTGGTCCTCCAGATGTTGTTAGATTCCATCAGCCCAGCAACAGAACTCCGTGATCAAGGATCATGGGAGCTTCAATCAAACAACATCTCGATGGTCAAAGGTTCCCCACTCCAGTAACAGAGAATTCCACTCCTATATATCAAACCTCGTGATTTCTAACAGGCTACCTTAGGAGTCTAAAAATGTGGGTTAGCAATACTTGATCTATAAAGGTCTCCAAGGTACATAAGAATCAAGGTACTAGAGGCAGAGGAATGCTCACTATGGTATGCCAATTGTGTATGCAAATCATCCTACCCTCTGGCTCTAATGTGGTCCTTGGCCACATTGCTCACCCCTGTCCTTGACAGTCCTTCTCAATTTAGAAACATATGCAAGGTACTGTACACATTCCTCCAAGTTAATCAATAAGTAAAGCACTCTTGGATTTATTTTTATTGTGCAGTAAAAGGAGCTAACTTTGACAACTCTGTATTTAGTAAAATGTAAATATCAGGCAGCTTTCGCTCTACTAATCAATAGACTATAAAGAATTGTGCAAGTATCACAAGGTAAAAGATTCAATCATCTCCACTTTACTCGATGAGGCAACCATGCTTTGCTTTTCAACTTCAAACATGTTTTGACAATTAACCACCAACATATTATAGTCAGGTGAGGGTTGTAACCAAAATCTTTTACAACAGGTCCTTGTGAAACCTGAAGCCAAAATATATCAAAGGTCACCTTGTATAAAAGAGAGCCTTATTGTTTTTCTAAGCACTCTAACAAAACCTTTGTTCGAGTAGAAGGAACTCGAGAGTATTTTATTTAACCCCAGGCAATGGAAGCAGCATACAATTTATATTACAAAGGTGGAAGATGAGATTACCTGATGAAGTAAGGTTGTTTTATGTTGGAATACTGGGTGGAGGCCTCTCTCAAAAGTAAAGCTTCAGGCTATTATTTCACCTTTATGAATTAAACCAGACATTACACAATTCAGCTATCCTTTGTCTGAATGCTATGTTAAATGTTTTAATTAATGGTTTAAATATTAATATTAATGCACAGCCTTAGGCTAAGACCAAGGGGGAAACTGAAGGTAAATGTTTTGCTGAAGTTTGATTCAAGAAATTCAATAGATATGTTGCAAACCCCTGAAAAAGGAGAAATGGTATGCACACCAGGTTGGTTATACTCTCTTCACTATCCTTCTATTCATGTTTTGAGGATAAAGACAATTGTCAAATCTGCTTTGACTTAATCAAATAGGTATGGAGAAAAAACATACCAGTTACCATAAATTACACTAAAAAGGAAGTGTGTCATGCCTGAGTTAGAGGCATCTAACTTTTGCTCAACTGCAACCCTGAAGGTTTTGAGCTCAAACCAAAAGCATGTGGGAAGATGTCTGTGCAAAAAATAAATAAATAAGTGTTTTAAACAGCAGGTGCCTCCCACAATCTTTCCCCTCCATTCAAGCCAGGTCTGTACCGGGGGAGGCAGAAGCTGGGTTACACTTGCCCCAGGCCTTGGGGGGGCTAAGTTGGTGGAAGCACCCGACTCGGACTGGCTACCCTGGGCAAGCTCTCTATGGGCCTGATACAGGCTCAGCTATTTCAACTCCCAAAGTTCAAAGACAGTTTTCAATGCGACAAATGCTGCTGCTGCAAGCTCACATATGCAGATACAAGCACTCACACACGTCTCATGGTATGGAATGAAGGCACATGAGGTGACCAGCGTAGCAGTGCTAAGTGAGTCTGGGCCTGGTCAGTGCCAAAGGAAAGTTACCTAGTAAAACATGTATGCTGCCTGGTATTTCATGACAGAAGAAAGGTTATATGTGTAAACAGATCAATACTCAAGTAAAAAAGGCTCCCTGGATAATGGCCCAGTGAGTTGATAAGTTTTCATCACATTGTGACAACCTGATAGATAATACAATACAATATACTTTGTATTATTGAAAGAACTACAGAAATAATTAATTACATATTGTGGACACATTTTGTGATAAAAGATTTAGACCAGTGGTTCCCAATTAGGGGTCCAGGGACCCCTGGAGGTCCGTGGAACGCACCCAGGGGGTCCGCAACCCCATCCTTTGCCTCCACCCCAACTATTATTTTGTCATTTCTGCATGCCAATATCACAAATTTTGTGGTCTGTTTTAGTGCTGTGCGATTTTTCAATATATTGGACAAAATCAGTTTTGAAATCCCTCTGGCAATAACAATTTTGACCCAGCAATACACAGCAATATTTCACTCCTCACGTAAGTCAGCAGGAAAGCAGCAGCAGTCACAGTGGATGTCCATCTTCACTGGCTGCCACCACTGTCTGCCCTGCTGACAGCAGCTTGATGCACCCCCAACCCCATCCCCTCCCACTCAAACCATGCAGTGAAGGTGACTCCGCTTCCTCTCCTCCCCCACCCGCCCGACCTCTGCGACTGCTCCTTTCCTCACCGCCACATCTGATCTCCAATTTCAGACATTCTGATATATCAGAATATCACAATGTATAGCCACTGACGTATCACAATGTTGAAAACCAGGTATCTCTCAGCCCTAGTCTGTTGTTGTTGTTTTTAATATACCTAAAGTCCTTTGCTTATTAAGGGCTACCCCACATTCTGTTCAAAAAATATGGGGTCCATGGCTTGGCTTTTGAAAAATAGGGGGTCCTCAGTAATTAGCTAATTGGGAACCACTTATCTAGACTCTGCCTTAGCACAATGGCAGGATGAAGGACTATGAGAGGGCACATGGACCTCCCATCACCTGCAACATTCCTCTTCTCTGCCTCTGAGGTCCTATTGCCAGGGGGGAAACACAGGGTTTCACTGAGCTCACAAATGGGCACTATGCCTGTACTCAAGTGGAACAACATGATTTTATTTTTTTCTAAAAACCTATGCAAACGGTTCTGAAAAGAATTTTATGATCATCCTTTCAATCTGTTATATGCCATACATGAGTCATACCTATTTTGAATGCCAAGCCGCACAAAGAAAAAGAGTGAGATCAATCTTTCACCATTAGAAATCCATAAGGATTCTAATTTAAGTCACTTCCATCACATGGAAAACAGAATATTCCATGTGTCCCTCCCCCACACCAGAAGCAGATAGAGGGAAGAGAAAAATATTTTCTGCAGGATTAAAATGTATTTTATTAAAAATAAGACATCCTGGAAAAAGGATGGAGCTATGTAGAGGCATTGGCCATCTTCATGGTTTTCCCCACATTGTGTTTTTTGCATAGCACATGCACAGATCATTATTCACAATATATTGCCAGGTAAAAATTAGGAAACCAGTATCATATGGACTTGAAACCTGTTTTAAGTTATTTATCACCCAGCTCTAACATACATCATGATTCGCAATGTACAGTGGTGCCTCCCAAGACGAAAATAATTCGTTCCGCGAGTTTTGTCGTCTTGCAATTTTTTTCGTCTTGCGAAGCACGGTGTCGGGAAAGTTTTGGAAAAGCTTCAAAAATCACCAAAGTCTTTAAAAACCTCAAAGGCTACCACACCGCGTTCTATGAGTTGCTCCTCGAAGTCAAGTCGCAACTGTATTAACGGTGTTAAGAAAAGGAAACAAACTTGCAAGACGTTTCCATCTTGCGAAGCAAGCCCATAGCGAAAATCGTCTTGCGAAGCAGCTCAAAAAACAAAAAACCCTTTCGTCTAGCGAGTTTTTTGTCTTGCGAGGCATTCGTCTTGCGAGGTACCATTGTACTGCCAAGTCAAAATCCTATATCATGATATGTACTTCAAATAGGTTTTGGACGATATATATCATCCAGCCCTATTGCAGAGTGATACCAGGTTCCTAACCTCACCTTGTCTGGAGTAACACTGAGTGGCTACTTTATCCTCCCTTATTAGATTGGGGTGAGAATGGGTGATAAAGTCGCCCTAGGCAACTTCAAGAAGCTCACACACTCCTGAGATTAACACAGTATACAAAGTGCCATAGAGCATGAGGTAGAAATAGTCTGAAAGTAAGTAATCTTGTGATGCTTGAAAATAACCCAAGATACTAGAAATGTTACATCATGTGAGGTAACTAATAGATCACTATCTTAAAATTATAGACAATTTTGAAAGATTGAGATCAAAGTTCTGCATGGCAATCTTTGTAGACACAACACTGGCCATTATCAGATGATCCAGAGATTTTTGGATGACTTTATAAAAGACATAGTGCTTGAATCAGCATGGAAGTTTTGAAGGGCAACTTGAATGCAAGGTGAAATTGGATGCTTCCAATCTCTTCCTTGCAGCCACGCCAGGGTTTGTTCGCATAGAACTAAAAGATCACTTAATATATTAAATCCAAGCACCATCATAACGGTTAAGCAAATAGATGTGGTGAAACTTTACTAGTCAGGTATGTATTCAAAAGTGTCTCTCTTGGGGATCTACAGAAGTGCAAGTCAACAATGCAAAATATGTCCCACTTATTATGTTTGAATAATGGTTGTGTTCTTGCTGTTTGAGTAATTAGCACAGTAGGTATGCCCCATGTTTAGACGCAGAAAGCACAGAATATCGTTTGAAGATTAAAATAGATTATTTGAATGATTACATTGATGCATAATAAAAAAAACCCAAACTACAGGTGAAATTTTGGAGACTCTACTACCAGTGATGTATTGTTGATGCTTAGTATTTGTTTATCTGGATTTTAAATGTGGAAAAATTCCAAACCAACTTAATCAAGCTTTTCATAATTACTACCACATTATCAGCTTATAACAAAAACTTAGTGCTGCTTCAAGTTTGTATACCTACAATAGTAGGATCATCTCTAACTATAGCTGGTAACAACTTTATACAGAAGCCAAAGGTAACTAGAAAGAAAAGACACTCGCTGGGTGCATTTTTTAATCCTGAAACAATCGGAAGAGTCTCAAACTATGATCCTTGCTTTAGGTTTACTGTGTCAAAGAGCACCAGTTGTGCTGTGAGGAGTATTTATAGCTTTAAAAAGAAACTGCTACACAAGGCAGTCAAACATTTTCCGTGTATCTTGAAAAATAAAAACAAATGGATAGCAGATATTATTTCAGTCTCTAAACTTCCTTTAGATTGCAAGCTATCGGTAACCAACTTCTAAGTCATGTTTTGATTTCAAAGATTCCTGAACACTTAGAAATGAACTATGGCAGTTGGAGACCTTTTATGCAGCAATAGCAGTATAAATCGTATTTCAAAAAGCTGAATATTTTGTGACATATTTTATATTATTATTTTGAGATGTGTTCTAAAAAACCCAAACTATAGGTCTGAAATATACCTCAGTACATTATACAGTACTGCAAACTTTCAAACAAGACCAAAATATCTGAATCAGTGGTGTGCAGTAGACAGAAATCTACCAGCAGATCCTCATCTGGGTGATTTGCAAGGATTTCTGCCTCTCAATAATGTCAACATAACCAATAATAAAATGACACCCATCCCCCCCAAAAAGGAAAGACTGCTGAAATGAAGAAAGCTTGAGGTAACCAGGAACTGATAATTGTGTAGAAGGGTGGTGAGCTCAGCTTGGTTCTGATTCTGAAAAAAACCCCAGCATTTTTATTTATATATATTATATTATTAATATACATATTAAGAAAAAAACAATATATTTTGGTACTTTGCTCCAGTTGGTAGATCTCATAGTTCTAGTAAAACACAAGACACATCTCACAAGTCTAAAGTCTGCCCTCCACTGATCTAACACCCAACATAATGTATTTTAATTCACCTTCATAAATCCAACGATTGGCATTACACAACCTCACTTTGAAGCTTGCACTGCTGCTTAACTATCCATTTATTTTCTCTTAGCTTACAGCAAAGTACCAAATAGTACCAAGAAACCTGGCAGGAAAACAGAACAATAACAGAGTGATTCATCCTTTGCCATTCAATCCCAGCTTCCATCAATCAGAGGCTCATGGACACCTGCAGAGTAAGGATGAATGCCATATCTTGGCCAACAGCCACTGGCATGGTGTCTGAACATCTGCATGGCTGTGATTGCAATGCAAATAACATAAAGAAGTACAGAATATTGGAGGCTTAGAACTATAACACATTCTTTTGAAGAGCAGGTTTCTCCTTTGCATTGTTGCAGAGAACTTGAAGATGTGTTAACACTGGCCAGGATCCAAAAGGGGCATATGGGGAAATCCAAATTAATCCTTCCTTCAGAACCCTTATAACACCTCATCTGTACCCCAATACACACACAGCATTTCTGGCTATTGTTCTTTCAAGGACTTAGGAACTAACCATGTAGGAAAGGAATATATAGCATTTCCAGCAATCAAAGGAGAGAGAGAGGAATATAACACTGATATGAGTGAAAGAAATGGGACAGAGTTGTTTCCCTGTAATTTACTGTGTTGCTCTATAATACCAATTTCTCTCAATTGTCCCAACTTTCCTCAATATTTACAATGGGACACAAAAAGTATAACATTATTTCAAAAACCATAAATTTGTTTACAGCATACCAAATTACTGAATTTCTGGCAACTGATTTGATTTAAATTCTGAAATTTATCTTAGATTTTGAAATATCCAGCAACATCACAAAACATATTAGTAGTAGATTATCCGGGGTGTGTGTGTGTGGAATATTATTTGCCAATAAATCTCTCACCATAGGTCCACTATGAAATATAATACCAGTACTCTTTCCCTCTTATACCAAGAAGAGTATGGTTACATAAAATTGTTAATTAAACAAAATCATTCCCCTTATTAAAACCAATGTCTGTAAGATGTAAGCAAGTGCCTCCAAATTCTGGATTAGAGACAGAAGAAAATTTAGTTTGGTCTCCATTTTTAGTTTGATCTATTTTGTACAGTCTAGACTAATACATAGATTGGAACCTGGTTGTCCTTTGGATTTCGTACTTCTCCAAATTTTGCAATGCAGTTCTTGATTCAAACACACCAAACAGCATTTTAAAAACACAATTGAGGGTAAAATACATTTAGAAATGTGTATACAGAGATAAAGAAAAATATTTAAATTCATTTTTGTGATTTAAATAGTTATTATAGCTATTAATAGTTATTTAATTAGTTGGGAGGCCATTAGTGATGAAACAGAATGGCTTATAAATGAATATATGTGATGTCAACATGGGCCAGAAATAGACTGATTCATCTCTACCTACCCAAGTTCCATTACTAGACATTATTGATACGATCCCACCATTTTAAAAACAAACATTCTCATTTAGTTCAAGCTAGAGATGTTACATATTGCTCTAGATACGTAACTTTCGGGTTACAAACATGGCAAACCCAGAAGTGTATACTTCCGGGTTTCGCCGCCCATGCATGCACAGAAGCGCTCAATCACGCCACGTGCGTGCGCAGAAGCGGCGCCTCTGCCTTCGGACTTTTCGGGTTGTGGATGGACTCCTGGAATGAATTTAATTTGTATCCGGAGGGTCCACTATAAACATTTCCTCCTTGCCTTTTTCTCAGGAAAGAACCGGTATCAAAATTCATGTCATTACTTTAGGAATCTGAATGCATTATGTATAACTCTGTCTACCAAAGAAACATCATGTCTAGTTCTTAAAAGTACAGTTTCTTCAGACAATAATTACAAATTGAATATATTCTTTAAAGTTTTTGTTAAACATGGAGCTAAAAACTACTGAATTGTAAGGAAACTAGTTGTGCCAGTTTATAAGGACCAGGCAACAAATAATAACAACAGAAAGCAAAAACATTATAGTAAAACAAATTGTTCTTTATTCTGAAAATTATTGTGTTTTCTCTGCAGTATCAAGCAGACATAAAACACTCATTTCCATAAAAAGAGATGAGAAAAATTCAGATTTTGTTTCTTCATATTTGTCACTATATTTATCACAGACTTCAAAAAATTGAAGTTTGTCCAGATTGAAACAAGCTTCTACCCTTTCACATGTCAGTTGCTCTTACTGGTGTGAGAATTTCCAAATATAGACCAACTTCTTAAACATGATGCAGAAGGCGAAGGAATCTGAAGTAGGCAACAAATAACAAAAGCTGGAGGCTGTGTTGTGCAAAGGCCTTGCCACTCTGTTGCATGAGGCATACGCTTGTGAAAATCCCACAATGTATTCCTTGGCCAAATACCTGAAGGTATTCTGTACCCTGCAACATTTGAAAGTACGTTTCTAACATCAAGCCCTAAATGCACTGCTTGTTTTGTAATCCAGTCAAATACAAAAGCATCATCACTTACATTTCTGCCTTTGAATCCTGGATGCAACAGATTCGCAGCAGCATCAATTGGGTAGCAACAAAATTATGTTGCCCTGTACTTTCTCCCACTCCCAGTACAGTGGTACCTCGGTTTACGAACTTAATCTGTTCTGGAAGTCCGTTCTTAAACCAAAGCATTCTTAAACCAATGCGTGCTTTCCCATAGAAAGTAACGAAAATGGATTAATCCGTTCCAGACAATGAAAAACAACCCCTAAAACAGCAATTTAACAGGAATTTTACTATCTAACGAGATCATTGATCCCTAAAATGAAGGCAATAATCAATGTACTATACTACTGTACTATAAAAATAAATAAGACCGTATTATAGATGATAAAAAAAATTTAATTTTTTTTTCTTACGTGCACTGATAGTCATTGTTTGGATGGGGGGCTTTTATCCATTTCTGCAGTCACACAATCAACCAGTAGCTGAACTGGGTTCTACACAGACACAAAAACAAGTCACAAAAACGAAATCACAAGCCACAGTCACAAGTCAATCCCATAAAACAAAGAGCAAATCACAGTAAAAAAAACCACAAAAAATATATAGCAAAAACAAAATATCACCTCTGTGTTACATGGGTGCTCGGGACTCAACAGCCAACAGACACAATAAGAAGCCTCTAATTAGCAGCGGGGGACTCAATTTACAAATGGAACACACTCAACAGGAAGCCGAACATGTTCTGCTTCCAAGGCAAAGTTCACAAACCAAAACACCTACTTCTCGGTTTGCAGCGTTCTTAATCCAAGTTGTTCATAGACTAAACTGTTCTTAAACCAAGGTACCACTGTACTTTAAGGCCTAGTAAAGAGAGCAGAAACAGATTCACTAACTATGCCAACAAGAGGAAGACCACCAAGCAAAGAAGGCACTGAATAATTGCAAGGAGAAGGGAATGTGTGTTTCTTTTAGCTCTGTGGAACTCCGATACAGATAACTGCACTTCAACCTGTCATGAAACTAGAAAGGGAAAACGAAAAGCAGAAATTTATCAGTGAAGCACTTTAATGTTCTACCCTTCTATGCAAAATGATCTCCCCCACAGGTTTAAGCATCATGGATAAAATATCTGTATATTTCTGCATACAAATTACTTTCACTGTGGTTATATTTATAAGTCAACAATGACTTATAATGATACATCCTAAATTAACATGCAGCTTCCTAAAACACACTAGCCATAGTGCATGCCCATATTCATGCACTCGAGCAGTAAATTCCCAGGAGTATGCACACACACAAGAAAATACAATATTAGGGTTACCATATTTTGAAGAGCAAAAAAGAGGACACACTTGCAGACTTCTATTTTTAACTATGGATCGCTTTGACGACTCTACCATGAAAAAGAGGACGTATGGCAACCCTATAACAGTTCTTACCATGTGCCTTATCAAAAGCAGCTCAATTACTGTTGTGTAGAGCAAGCACCTGCAATGAATGACCTACCAAGTCAAATGCTGATCTCCTATGTATGACAACCCCCTGAAATTTTATAAACTTTTTTTTTTGCTATATGCCTAGCATTATTTTTAAAATGGTTGGGTTTTCAAGTATTTGGCAGATCACAATGCATGACTAAGAAACTGTGTTTGACTTGTGAGTTATAGACTGTGCAAGCCTATAGACTTAAGTTTTGGATTTTTATTAGTAAAGGATCACAAAGGAAAGAAATCAAAAAGTTTCACTCACTTTTATCTAATATCACTTCACTCATCAAATCATAATAACAATGAAGCCCATGTCACCAAGGTTGGCATACCTGGAGGTTACTAATTCGGCTAACTATGATGTATTTGGAACAGAGCTACACTACCAATAGAAGGAAAGCCAGATAATGCTGAATGGTCATAGAAAGCTATTCTTCTCTCTACCTCCAAGTCCTCTTATGAATTTCATCCAAAGAAACAAGCCACCAAATACAGAACAAAGTAAATAGAATAATTTGTGGCAGATATAGGCACAGACAGTTGAGGAATATCCTATCTGCACTGCCAATATCCATGAAAGGGTGCTCTCCAAAAATATAACTCAGAACACAACATTAATAGCAGTGTACACTTCTAAAAGACAAACAGCACAAGCAATCTGCTCCATGTTTACAAGCAACAGCAGTATGAACACCTAGTATGTGTCAATGTAAGATACCAAAGACAGTCTTTGGGAGATGGTGGAAAACACACCTCAGTGGGGAGCCACAGAAAACACAGATGATCAACTGGCAGAGTATCAGTGGAACTGGACCTCACACAAAGTGAAGGATGCAATGGCAATTAGCTGGAGGACAGAACACTTAGGAAACTGACTAGTTTGCACAAGCTGCAAGCAAGCAGGGCAGCCATTCTGGATGCCGCAAACCATTTGGCTACAACTCACAAAGGATGCATAAAGGTGAGCCCAAGCCCCATTAGCCCATTCAGCGTTGTTCACCCCAGTGAAACAAAAAGCGTCAGCAGGGCCCCCAAATCTAAAGGGCTTAAAAGAACTTTTGAAGTTTCAACCCCTCCCCCGGTCTGAATGAGCTCTCAGATCTAGATGACACTCAACTCCCCCCTCCCCGCAGCCAAAAACAAGGTGAACGTGAGTATTCACAAATTCACTTTGTGAGGCGGTGTTACACACCTAGTGCTCAGATGCAGGTACAGTATAAGTAACTCCGAAGTTAGGATGAGCAAAAGGCCCTCCTTCCACGGAAGGTTCATTGGTGACGCCCCACCCCCTACACGGTGCCCCAAAACAATAAACGGAGTGCTATCTCGTATCATGAATTGGGGTGAGGGGGGATGGGGGTGAGGCTGGACTCTCTTTGAATTAAACATGGCTCAGGATGTGGGCGGAACTGACGGAGGGAGACGTAAAAAATCCCCCCAGAACACCTTCCCTCCAAAAAGAAAGTGGGAGGAAGCAGAGAGAAATCCCCCCAAGAGCAACAGGGACACTTTGAATCTCCCACCCCTGAGCGAGAAACGTATGAGGGTTAAGTACATGAACAACCAGCCGCCCCTCCCGGACTCCCAGCGCTCAGGATACCACCCAGTGCACCCCTCGGAGGAGCAGGGTGCGAGGAGCCAGCTTACCTCGGCAGCGCCCGCGCCTTTGTGTTTCCCTCTTGCCGCCTCGGCTGCTCTGGCTGGCTCGCAGGAGCAGCAGCACCTCCTACGGCGGAGGAAGGCGGGGCGGGCCTGGCCGGAGTGACGAAAGAGGAGGGGCGGGGCGTAGGCTTCTCACTATCTGGCAGGAAGGGTCGCGCGGGTTCCTCCCCCGCTGGCGGAGTCAATGGCACACTATCTGGCAGCGCCCCTCTCTTGCCCTCATTGATTCTCCCGCGCCTGCCCTCTCCTAAGCCGAGGGGCGCCGGCAACGTTCGTCCAAGTTGGAATCCTCCCCGCCCCCACCTCCCCCCTCGACATAGCGGGGAGGAGGGGAGGAGGTCAGGTGGGCCGCCGCTGCCGCCGGAGCTTCAGGGTTGCTATGCGGCAGGCAGGAGCGAGGGGAGGGGGTAACTTCGTCGCTCCGCAGCCGGAGGGGAACCGGCCAAAGGGGGCGGTTTGTTGTTACCTCGCAGCGGCTGCGGGCGACGCCTGAGGGGCGGAGGCTCCACAGTGGCCGGGCCCGAGGGGCGGGCTGTTGGCGAGCGAGGGCCCGGCCAACCGCCCGTCATCACTGCCGCCGCCGCCGCTGCCACCGCCTCTCCTCTCGCACGCCCGGGTAGGTCGCCTTCGTCTCCAGAACATGAAGCCCCACTCCCCGCCCTCTTTCTGCACGCAGAAATATTGGATCTGCTTCCCGCCCCCCATATGCACCCAAGAGGGAGAAGAGCGGGGGCTGTTGGTCGGTTTCCACACGTGACAGGGGTTTTTCTTGTCGCGTGTCTACCTTCGAAGACCAGGATCTGCACGCTCACATTGACGATTGCCTGGATTAGGAACACCGTCCACACGTGGCGCACGCAGCCCAAGTCCCTCACGCAGCCGCCTTGATTTGTTTTTGTTTTTTTACTATATATTTTGTTAAACCTAAAAAAAACAACAACGGCGGGCTCTCGCAAGCAGCCTTGGATGTTTTCCTCCGCGTTGTGCTCCCTATCCTATCCAGGCTGCGGCGCGCGCCTTCGCGTGTGTGTCTGCTAGCACGTCTGCAAATACCACGCCTGGGGGTAATAAGCCCCCCAACTGCGCAGTTCAGTGCAAAGTTACAGGGCAGGACGAAATAATTTGAGAATAAGCGAGATCATTTCTAAACCCTTTTTTTTTACAGGTCCCTGCAGCCCTTCGGGACTTGCTCGATTCCTTTCTCCCTTTCGTTTTGCAGTCACCTCTCATCTCAGTTGAGTTCTGCTGCTCCATATTCCCTTCACGTTCTCCACACAACTCTTCCATTCTCTACATTGCATTACAAATTCCAGTTTATCTCCCCGATTATGTTGCTGCAAAGACAACGTGTAACTTTAGCCTTGCTTCCCGCATTCCTTTAAATTCACATTCCAGAACCAGATAGGCTGCAATCCCTACTAGCTGCTACAAACTGACTTCAATAGGACTGCTTTGGTATGGGGTTTGAGAATCAGTCCGCTTCAGTATATATTATCGTCTCCTGTGTTTCTGAAATAGATTGGCCACTCCTTTCAAACTCGTACCTTCCTTCATTTCAGACTCTCTCCCATGGCCGCAGACACCTGTTTCCTCCATGACAACCCGACCCTATGCATGTTTGCTCAAAAGTCCCACTGTGTTCAATACGACTTACTTTAAAGTAAGCATGGGAAAGAGTGCTGCCTTAAAAGAGATCTCACTCCTTGCTGTTCACAGCCCAATCCTTCTCAGGTTTACTCAAGAGAAAAATCCAGTGATTTCAGTGGGTTTTAATTGCAATTCAATATGCTTGGAATAACAGATTTTCTCTCCTCAAAATTAAATCCATGACAGCCCTTTTTACAGACACATATTTTAGCTCTGATTTCCAGCCCTTCTAGTGTGCACACACTTAACATGCTTTCCATTTCTCTCTCAAGCTCCCACTCACCTCACTCAGCCAGACACACCCACACCTCCTACTACATATGTTCAGTATTCCCTTCCTCCCCCCCCCCATTCCCTCACATAATAAATATTTTTACCTAACTGGAAGGTTCTTCTATCAACCAATATGGCTCTTAAAAAAAAAAAGCCTTAATAATGCTTGCAAGATCCAAGACTGCAGATTTCAACTATTCATGGCTCTCCTTACTCTCCGGGATTATTTCATCACCATGATATGCTTTTAGATTCAAAAGTAGTCTTGTAGTGCTTGAGGATATGAGGATTTTGCCAGCTCCATTATGGCAATATGTCATCTGATATTTGCTGTAGTTGGATCTTCAATATGGAAGGAAGAGGTTGCATATTTCTGTCATTAAAGAGAGAAAATGCAATCCTAATTACTTCCCTTCTTGCATGAAAGTTTATGTTATTTTACTGTACAAAAGCACTCTGAGGGCAGGGAAAGGGGAGGTGTCTCTTGCAGTCAGACCATCAGATCATCATCCAAGTCTGCAACCCTTACATAAAAAGCATGCAGCAGAATAGATACCAAGCGTGGCTGAGTATTCCTTCAGCTTTCCATACCACAACTTAAATATGTTATAAAATAATAGAAGATTGCTTACCAGATAGTGTCCCTGGTTTTCTTGTGCGTATGCCTTTTCCTTTTGTAAGAGTGTTAAATCGTGCAATGCTGCATAGAGAGAGAGTCACAACACACACACTGCAGCGGCTCTAAAGCTAAAAGGACAGGAAAGTATGTTACTTCCTAGAGAGGCTCTATATTGCCACTAGGCGCTGGCAGAAGCAAAAAGCATTCCCTCTCTCTCAAAGCTTATTGATTCTTCCCCAACTGTTTCCTGCCATCTAGGGTACAGGAAAGCTTATTTAAAAAATTGTACTGGCAAAATTGTATATAAAGTTCAAACTGAGGGGGGGGGGAATGCAACCTGATCTTTAGCAAAACGATGGACAAACTTCCATGTTTCTAAAGTTTCTAAAGTGGAGAGAGTAGAAATGGACATTACTCCCAATGGAGGGTTGTTGTAGGAAGTGGAGTCCCCCAAGGATTGGTGTCTGAGCCTGTGATTTTTAGCTTGTTCATAAGGAGTTAGCAGCTAATGATCCCAAATCGCTTAGGGGTGGTTAAAACAAAAAAAGATTCTGAGGAGCTCCAAAAAGATCTTGAAATTGTGTAATGGGCATTAAAAAGGCAAATGCAATTCAATGTAAGCAAGTGCAAAGTGATGCTCATTGGGGCAACAAATCTTAATTTCACATATATGTTAATGGAGGAGTAAGAGACTTTGGTGTTACATTGGATAGCTTACTGAAAATGTTGACAATGTGTGGCAACTGTAAACACGCACACAAATTGCCTGTTAGGCGTCATCTGAAAAGGGATTGGGGGGAAAACTGCCCCACATTGGGCAAAAGATTCCTGCATTGCAGGGGGTTGGACTAGATGACCCTCATTGTCCTTTCCAACTCTACAATTCAATTATTCTAACTCTATGATGCAACCTCAATATTGAATACTGTCAGAAAAAATATTTCAAAAAAAATATACATTGCTTGATTGTTAAAAAAAGCCTCAAAACAGTTTACAAAAATATAAAACAATAAAATTATCAATAAGAAGAATTAACAAAAATTTAAAAAATTTAACACAATAAACTAAAAACAAATGTGCATCAGCGTTCTAAATATCTGGGTAAGACTGATTAAACAAAAAATGTTCTTAGACACTGAAAGAGTACAGTGAAGGTGTCTGCCTCATCTCTATAGGCAGGGACTTCTGAAGTCTAGATGCTGCTGTACTTAAAGACTGGGTTCTTACAATGTGGAACAGGTATATGGCACATGTAACAGTACCAGTTCTGCAAATCGAAACAGTCAAGTGGGCATATATGGGGTAAGGCGCTCTCACAGGTCCCAAGTTTATATACTTTACTAGTAGTAACAACTTGGACTTGGCCCTGCAACTAATTGGTAACCGGTGCAGATCTCTGAGCACAGGTGTTTTATGCCGGCAATGTCTCCTGTCAACAGTCATGCTGCAGCATTCTGAACTAACTGCGGTTTCTGGATCAAGCACAAGGGAAGTCCCACATGCAGCACATTGCAGGAATCCAGGATTGATGTAATGAATGCATGAACTACTGTGGCCAGGCTTTCCCAGTCCAGAAACGGCCATATTATGTTTGGTAAAAGGCACTTCTAGCCAATGAGGCTACCTGAGCCTCCAGTGACCGAGCTGAATCCAGAATAACCCCCAAACTCTGAACTTGCTCCTTCAGGGTAAGAACAACCCTATGCAGGGTAGTAGGGTAGCCATATCTTGAAGAGGAAAAAAGAGGACAGTGGGAGCCGCTGCCAGCCTGAGCCAGGGAAACAAGTGCGTGGGCACGCCTCTTTCCCTAGCTTGGACTGGCAGCTGCCGCAGTGTGCAGAGCAGCCTTAGCCCGGGCTGCCTGAGGGCCCCCAAGAAACCCAGACATTTCCTTTAAAATGTAAAAATTCACCCAGAGGGGCATGTTGGCCCACAAAAAGGTTTTCTTTGGATGTATGTCAGAACAAGCAGATAACGCTCTGACGATAACAAGGGAGTGCTTTCTCCCTATTCTTAGTTCATCTCTCATCTCATTTGGGACAAGGGTTACATCAAGAATGTGTCCTGCCTGATGTGTTGGGCTGATGACCATTTGAGAGAGACCCATGGTTGTCATGGAGGCCATGAAGTCTCAAGCTGGCCCAGCAGCAGCCTCTAAGACAAAAGAAAGTACTTCTTCACACAGTGAGATTTGCTGTCACGGGATATAGTAATGGCTACCAACTTGGATTACTTTAAAAGAAGATTAGACATGCACCAGCCATGATAGCTATGTGCTACCTCCATTAAATGCACACCAGATTACAGCCCTAGTTGTATAGCAAGAAACTTTAAAATCTGCTTCATGCAACAGTTTCATATTCTGTGTGAATACATGTTGTAACTGCTCGTTAAATGTGCATTGTAGCTGGGTTTCCCCAGAGTGGCTGAGGAAACCCAGCCAAATGGGTGGGGTATAAGTAATAAATTTATTATTATTATTATTAATATATAAGTAGAGATACTGTAAAGCAGTTCTGGGAAATATTACATTTAATTATATGTTGTATTTAATAGTATTTTTAAGGAGGCTAAGAAAGACACGTAATTTAGACATTAACTTATGAATACCAGTGTTATCTGCAATATTTTCCTGAAAATCATGAACAGAAGAAGAAATAATAATAATAATGGGGAGGGGAAAAAATCAAGCTTAGTCCCACTGATCTCAACCATAAGATTTCTGTTAGCGTCTATTAATCAGAGAACCTCAAATATCTGTAGTTGATAATAAAGAGGGAGTAGGATGCTGCTCCAATTAAGAAGTGTGAAACATGTTTTTCTATTAATGACAGCAGGAAATGGGAGGTGTAGATCACAAAGGTGTTAAATATGCTAAATATATAGGAATCTGCATAAAGAAAAATGTTATTTATGTATACAGTAAATATTGCATACTAATCTTAAAACTAAACATCAAAGTGATTTTGAAAGCTTAGTTCTAGTTTCAGAAGTAACTCATAGGGTGATCTGGTACTATTTAAGCCCACTTAGCACCAGTTCACATGATCATTAGAAGGAGTAGTTATCAAATCACTTTATTACACTATGCACAGGATAACACTCTTACAATCTGTGTTAATTAATCCGAAAAAACTATTACACCCTCTTGTTCTGCATTTATTTC